GATACTGGAGAAGCGTCGATGGGGGTAAGAAAAGGCGCGAAGGATAATTAGAAGGGACTCCTCGAGATCCTTCTCGACGACCACTATGAAGCTGTACAAAAGTGTTATTGACCTACCGCGATGATGTTGCAGACGGCATCGGATGACGATCGTCCAAGAATTAATCGGAGGACGGGTTTCGTTAAACGACGATCCTTGTTTGTTAAGAATCAGGAATGGAAGAACGGAGTAATGGTTGCGTGGAGGCTGTGGTAATTAGAGAGATAATTACCGTGGTAATTTGGCAAAAGGAAATCTCTTGATTCCAGCGGAATCGAGCAATGAAAGAGGCTGGAAGAAGGACCGCTTTAATGACGAGCCTTTTTAACGTTGAATAATAAGGTTGCGGTACGAAAGGGAATATAGCGATGGAACGTGCGTGCGAGCTGATAAATGAACCGAGTGGACAGAGGACTCGGGGGGGAAAAAATGAAGAATTAGCCTGTCGTAATCCGTGTTCATCGCGGTCTTTGCTTCGCAGAGGTTCTTGCCTCTTCCAAGCCACCGTGTAAATTCTATCAAAGTCTGTCTTACTGTAGGCCCGGTTACGATCATACCCCCCACTTCTGCACGACTACACGTGAAAAGTCACGCTCTGCTGCATTCAGGTATAGTTAGTCCCTGATATACTGGGTGGCTTTCTACGCCGTTCGCGACTGATCGCAAAACTATATTAACAACGAAAACTTTGTCTCGTTGTTAGATATGGATAGAGACTGGTAGCATCGTTGGCGTGTTGCAAAAAGCGTTCCACGAACTAGTAAACGGCCCTGACTTCGATCACGCGATCGACATTTTATTGGGAACGCAAACCCGTAGAGTTACCGTCGTTAAATAAACCGTGGAAAAGCAATTGTAGGAGCTACGCGTGGAGTCGGTGAGTACGGTCCTGCGCTGCGCAAATTGTTCACGGTTATTAATACCATGGGAAATCCTGTTGCAATTAAAACAAGTCACTCGATCGTTTCAATATCTAAATAGATAAATAAAGTCCTTCGTGCGTGGTGGTTGTGTAATCGTGGAGATACCGGGGAGGTAAGGGCAAGAAAATAAAAGAGAACGGTCGCGAGCAGCTAGGCTCGAAAAGTGCGGCGCTGGGCCGGTGCCACGTGCCCGAAACACCGAGCGCCCAGCACCCAGCGCCCAATGCCATTCCATCATCCGCGCCGCTTCACCGGAAAGCTATCGACACGGACAGGGCCCTTATTTTTCGATCACACTGTACGTGTGTGTGTGTATGTGTCCCGTTCACACAGCTTTTGCTATGCTGTTGGCCTATTCGCTCGTTCCGAGCTGAGTCACACACAACACATCAGCGCGGCGAGCCGCACCGCACCGCACCGTTCCCTCCCACCATTCTCATTCCCCTCTGACTTCTTCCTTCCATCGCATCGCATCGGTTCTCCCTTCGAAATCCTCCCTTTCCTCTCGGTATCCCTCACCTGTGGCTGGTTCCTGCGGCCGCAGGGGCCGCAGGCTGACTCCCCAGGTCGACTGACTGAGCTGACTGTCTCTACGGCTGGCTGGCTCCGCGTAGCCAACCACCTTCCTTCTCTTACCTCTGGATCGCAGGTCGACTGGAGTTTACCTGGCGTTACCTGCCAGCCTGCAGCCTCAGTTCACTCACGTCACTTCGAGCAACCGGTTCGCCGCCTCCTCCGGGCTGCGCTCCTACGACTTTAAAAGCCTCCTTTTTTCCTTTGTACGCGCGTAACCGCCGCCTACCGCCTCTTCTTCCTCTTCTTCTTACTTTATCAACCGCTCTCCAACTTTATTTTCTTCTTCGTCTTCTTCTTCTTCTTCTTCTTCTGCTTTACCCCTTTCATTGTATTCCTCGTATTCGCGTGACGTTTTCATCGGGACGAAAAAGATATCGCCCGGTGGTGACTGGTTCGGTATCACGGAACACGGTATCCAGCTGAAAAATCATGTTCCGTGCACGACTTCGCTCCGGTCTGGTTCAACTCGTCCGAGAAGAAGTTGAATGTGGTCGCTGAAACTGGACAAGAGTGAAATGTTGACGAGACCTCGGTCGAAGCAGAAGGTATTACCGGTCAGTGAGAGAAGGGGAGGTGGTTACCAATGGCGATCGGTACACAGCATCATCCTCGTTCGGCGACTAAGGTATCGGGAATAATCGTTTTCGCAAGTATCGATTAATTAAGTTTCCGTTAGAAGCACGTAACACGGTGGACACGAGCGGAAATGTCATTCGAGCGTGATATAGTTTGAGAAAGAACGCGACGTCGATCGACGAACGCTTCAAAGTCCGACGTCGTACGAAATACGAGTATTCGCGATTCAGCGATAAAGAGTAGCAAGTTTTATGTAAGAAACGTGTGGATGTCGGCCACGCTGGCCAACGTACATAAGTATTGTTCCAACTTGCCGCGAGTTAAATGCCGCGAGTATTTCTTTTATCGCCGGTGAAATCTATTTCGTTCCGATCCGCGAGGGGAGCACGCTTCTCAACGGTTTCTCTTTCTTGTGTACCTAAGATTTTCATCGGGTCACTGTCCTCCCCGTCGGTACGGTCACCGTTATTCCTCCTGCTCGGTCTTCGCCACGAAAAACATCGCATCGGCGCGGCGCGTCGTGGAAAGGATGATTGCGCAACCAGAAATCACGGGAGGAAGTGAGTTTTCGAAACGTCCTGGACCTCCTCCTCGCGATTCTCCTCGATTATCCTCGATTCTTTCGATCGACCGAACGATATACCTAACCGTAGGATTAATTACCAGCTAGTAAATCGATAGTAACCGGTATTTGCATACCGTCGCGCGTTAGCTTTCACGCGGAATGCAAAGAGAGCCGCGATCTATCCATCGATTTATCACTCGGCAAGAATTCACCCACGTAACGACCGAGTTTCTCAAACAGCGAATCTATGTCACGATATAATAATTGCTTCGAAAGTCAGCGAGCGCGCCGCGGCGCTCGCTTTCAGGCTTGTTTGGTATTTTATTGTTTCCGATCCTCGCCCTTTCGATCGACCGTCCGATTTTCCCGGCGCATCGCGCCGCTCCTGAATGTGATAAGATAACCGTAAGAGAATTCGGTTCCCTGGCGTCTCGCCACCATGAAATTAATCAGACCCCCGTGATACGTTCGATTCCAAGTCGTTTTATAAGCATTACGCAATGCTTACAATCACTAGGAAAATCACTAGGAAGAAGAAACGCGTCGGTTTGACGAAGGTCAGTAAAGAAACGCGAATAAGCGTACAATGCACGCGTGACCACCGACAGAAAATGCACTCTAACGCTTCGGCTACATAATCTCTGGCGTTTATTAGCGATTGTCACGGTACCCTGGCGTTTCTTCCTCCTTTTTCCTTCATCTTCGATCACGTACCTTCGATTTGATCCGAGCGTCAAACGTGCAGGAACGTGCCCGGTAAATCGGTAACTCCTCTCTGAGCAACTGCGAGAACCGGAGAGCCGCTGATCGCGACTAGAGAGGAATTCAACGTTTGACCTATTTGAAGCGAACCGAAGGATTTCGAGAACCGAGTTGCGTTAGAACTATTGTTCGTTACCGTTTTCTTTTTCTTCTACGCATCGCTGCGGAAGAAACCTTGCTGCGAGCGATCGAAGTAGCCATTCTTTTCTATTAATGCTCGAATTAAGCAAAGGAATTCTCTTGGGAACGAAACGGAACGATAGGGCTACCAAGTGAAACCGACTGTTTTCGACGCAAAATTCTAACCACTTTCGAGCAAGCGTATTTATTACAGTTTTACCTTATTTGCTTTCAGTCACGGGAACTGATCTTCGTTACGAACAGGTGTAGAAGAAACGGATCGTAAATCTTGACCAATCTGCGAGATGTCGTTGGCAAGAAAACCGATGAAAAATCGGTTCCACGGTCTTCGTGAAAATTGATAAGCCACGTTTCAGAGACGATAGCGTGTCTCTCCCAGAGTCAATAAAGATAATCCTCAAGAAGTTTTATTCTTGTTCGATGGTGGATGTAATTTGAAGGGATAGCAGGAGGGTGAACTAAAGGACACCGATCGAAGGACTGTTATTTTCCGCGTCAGGTCCGTGTCCCGATGTTCGAAGCAGGCGTGAGAACCGGAATGATAGCATGACCGGAAGAGCGGCTTGAGAAACTGAGCAAAGACTTGCAGATAGTCGTTGAAGAATCGCTGGTGTATACGGTGTATATACGACGGCGCGGCGCACTGAGAAGATTCGAATCGTGAGAACGAGACGGGAAAACGCGGCGACCGGGTTCCCTTGCATATCAGACCTCTCCAACTTTATAACAAATCGCTAGAAACCGTTCGGTGATTGAATTAATGCTTGTAAATTAAAGCACGGAATTATTCGAAATGGATCTCGAGTGGGGGGGGGGGAGAAAGAGGAATCGTTGGAAGGTTACTTAATGATTGTTTAGCACGATGGCTATGTTAGGTACCGTGGGAAATAATAAATGAAAAATTGGAGAAAATGAAGAAATTTCACGATAGAGGGGAACTGGATGAACGGACGAAGAAGAAATCGTGGCGGTAGGCGGTAGATATGGCGGACGCGGCTTCCGGGAAGGATCGTTGTTCCGTGACGGAAGAGGCAAGAAGGGAGGGAGTAAGAGCCGAGGATACTTCGACCGTGAATTATCCTCGAGGAATTTCTTTCTTTTCCTTTAGTTCTTGCTCCGTGCTATTCCTCGAATGGCGCACAATTTTCTGGCTGTCTAATTCTCTTCGGCTTGTCACGGTTCGCGGTGAATCGAGCACCGAAACCATCTCGTTTCCTTACGTAGTTGCATAACCGAACAAACCGGTCGTTCACCTTCTTAGCCACGGATATTCACTTCGTTTTATTTCTTTCTTTCGGTTTACTTATCGTTAAGAGATTGGAATAACCGATAACGCGTTGTCAAATGGGGTGAGCCTTGGATTCTGTAAATGGCACTGGAAGAATTCACGGGGGATTTATGAAACGGGCCCGTGGAGCTCCTGTGTCATACACAGCGTCCGACCGTGCTACGCGATAAGCTCCTTCTCGAACCTGGTTATCGGTTTTTAAACATCAAACATTTATGCAAAGAAGCTGATCGAGCGAACGGCTGTAAAACCGTTCGGCCATCCAAAGGCATACATCGGCATCCCGGAAATCGTGCCAAGACTTCGCCTTTATGTAACCGGTATCGCTGAACGCTGTGATACGAGGAAAGAATCAAACCCTTTTTCGAAAAGAAAATTCATTAAAAATAGATGGACAAATTTTGAAAGTAAAATATTTCTCCAAACCGGCTGAAACGGTGAATCAACAATGGCGGCTTAATGGGACAGGTAAAAAGCTGGGAAGAGGAACGTTTTAACGATAACATTTATTTTTCGCGACTGGTGCACGTGGTAAGCAATTGGCCTCAACTTGGCAACAAACGACGACCTTCTGCTTACGGATGAACACGGCCTGCAAACGCGGAGACGAGACGCGACGCGTTGCGTTTGTCGAGCGAAATGCTCGTCCACGAAGAGGGGAGAGGCCGAGGGACACTGGCAAGCGGAAATGCAGTTCGCTCGAGCAAAAGAAGAAAGTGTCGGAGGGAAAGATTGCGAGAGTGTGCGCGAATCGATTCGCGACGCGACACCTGTCTCGCACCCTGACCAAGTAAGTGCCTTCTTTATTCCATTGTCAGCTGTGAAACGTTTAGGGGATCTCTCGTTTAAATCCTGTTTCGCTTGTCATCCTGTTAGCGGGGACCAGTTAATGGCGTTTTTACGCGGGACCAAGTTTAGGTGAGTTCCAAGACTTCCTCTTTACGCTTTAACCTTCCAACGATCGTGACCTGTGGGTCAACCTTAATTTCTGACAGAGAGGTTGACAAGATTCTTTTTTCTTCTTCTTCGTACCTTATTAGCATCGTAATAATATTAAACGGATCGTGTTCGCTATATACAATAACCGAGGGATCAGAATGCTGACGTTTGATTACCTGTTGCATCACACCTGTTGCTATACTCGAAGCCACGTGACGACGGTGGCCATGAAGAGATTTCCTCGATTGTCCCGGTCTGTATTGATCGTACGGGTAGTCAAACAACCGATGTCAACGTATCGCGTTGTCTATTGAAAGCAACTAAAGGATACACCAAACGTAATAATTGGACACTTGCTGTGTACACGTGTGCGCCAAGTCATACGGAGGACGTTTGTAAATGCATGTATTACGGTTTCTGTTAATCTTTGAATCAGGCCCACATAAGGGTAAACCGAGAGAAGCGGGTAAAGAATAGATATCCAATCTTTGTTCACGGGTTTTAGTCGATTTTCTAGTTGAAAGTTAGGGTAGCTTATCTCTTATACAGGTAACAACACTGTCACCGTCGAGTTTAAAAGCGATATCACCCTCGTCAAGTTACTGTCCGATCTTTTTTTTTTCAGCTATTACCCGCTTTTACAGATACCCGGAAGAACGTTCGTAAACTGGTTGTAAAAGGATTCACGATCGTCGAGGTCTTTAGCCTGAGAAACGAATATTTTCGATCCTGTCTGTCGATAAAGCAGCTAGCCGTTTGATCGTGCTTACGTCCTCGCAGGAATCTCTCGATCTCATTGTTCGTGAGCAGCAGGGCAGAAAGCGGTGCTTCCGGTTTCAAGTTGGCTCGTACACGACGCACGGTTCCACGACAGGCATCGTTGCATCGTCCAGGTAAACACCTGCACCATATTTCACGGGTAAAAGGATCAAGGTCGAAAATAAATATACATCGTTGCCTGATCCGTTACATCCTTCTTTCATTCCGCTGTAACGTTACGATCGCGTGTTTTACAGGCACGTTCCTTGTTACGTTAAACCTGATGAAACTGGACACGTTTGGTTGAAAAAGAAGTCAAAAGAACCAGCTAAAATTACGTTGCAAAACTGTTCACCCTCGGTACGGTAAGTACATTGGCGAGCATGGTAACGTTCACCATTTTTTTTTCCTCCTTTAAGGAAGCTTAACGTGCTCAACATTTTCCTAACGATGTTATTTTCCATACGCAATTTGCAATCTATTAACATTGTAGCAAATAACGAGGAACGTAATTACGTTTACAGTCACGGACGACCACGCTGGCATTATCCTGGTCGATGGAAAACTGTCGTGGTACCGGAAGCTCGTAACGCCCCGGGGAACCGGAAGTTGTCGTGGGACCGCTGGGATACTTGAAAATATCGCGTACAGCCTTCACGTTCCCTGGGAACCATGGGCTTGACACGCACTTAGATAGATTCTCCTGTGTGTGCTTTCTGCGTTGCGTGTAATGCGTGTTCAGCTACTACAGACGAGCTTCACTCTAACGTCACAATTTACTAGTACAAATCGTGAGAATACGGCCTTTTTAGTGAAACCGTCTGATATCGTTTAGCATTGTTCCTTGCTCGTATAGTTGGGTTCAAAGATTTTATAAATCATTTTTAATAAGCTCTTGATTCGTTATTATAATAGTATTTCTACGTCCATTGTAATAAGTCTAGTCGAAAGCTGCAAATGCACTTGAGTTATATTCTGAACAACTGCGCATGCGTATGTCTGTACTAGGCTTTAGGTTTTAGATTGTACAAGTGTTACGGTATCGGGCTATTTACCAATCGCCTTAGATCGTTAGCGGTTTTAGTTAGTACCAGAATATCGATCGTTAATAACTGAAATTAACTATTCACGAACACGCCTATCCGCTTCCGAGTACGTGTGCAACCTACGGCTGTATGTTATGCCATCAGAGGATGCTTACCTCTATGATTCATGGAACTTATCTTTATGGCGAGGTGAGTAACGCGTCGGTCCCATAACAATGGGGAAAGGTGGCCAACAGATGAATCCTGACGATCTTATGTGTTATTACATACTAGGATGTGCGGGGACCCGATATTACGGGCTCGGGCGAGCTCGGAAAAAATCGGGCTGACTCGGGTCCGACATGCGTGCAGTCGGATAGCCCGACTAATTCGGGTCAGGTCGGATAAAGTCGGGCAGATTCGGACGAGCTCCCGTGGGCCGCGGCCCGCGACCCAACTCTCATGTACTTTTGTGTAAAATGAACATACAGGTGACATGGAATGAAATTCATTTCAAATAAATTCGTTACAAGTATTATTTTTCCACGTAAATATTATCTTATTCCAAAATTCCACATAAAACAGATTTTGCACACGCTTATTGCAAGTATTAACAAGTACATAAGAATTAGGCCGTGGCCTGCGGGAGCTCGTCCGAATCTGCCCGATGTTTTCCGAACCGACCCGAATAGTCGGACCGCACATCACTGTTACATACGCTATGCGGTATCTCTTTCTCGACAACATTTTGTCACGTGTTAAGTTAACGAGACATTTGTTGGCCCTTTCACCGCATCGCGATCGTCGAAGCGAGAAGTCGTTTAGTTTGTCCAGACGAAAATTATGTGGTATATCTATCGGTGTAATAGGTATCACTTCGAGTTTCTAGACGAGGCTTGATTCTCGTCCAGAAGTGGTGGGCGAGCACGTACGTCATTAGTGCTTGCAACTTCCTCAAAGATACTTGTCCTTGAACGAATATTTCTGCGAGCAGAGAAACTAGTTGTCCGCACTTCCGTCAGTGTCAATGCTGAGTGTCGTCGCCGCTTCGGATGTCCCCAATTGTAAAAATAATCGTGAAAGGACGTCGTCGCAGAGAAAGAAAACATTTATCAGACCTGTTGGTCCATTTTATTTATCTCGCAACTGTTTCTCGTGTATGTTGTATCTTTTGCAGAGACATTCGTCTTTAACGCTTTTGACTACCACCACGAGCCTGACACATCGATGTAATAAAAAAAAAAAAAAAAAAAAGAAAAAAAGAAAACAGAATAATTTTAAAAATATTATCTGAGATGACAAATTGAAAAGTTAAATTTAAAACTGAAACGGTTGTATCTTTACCACCTTGATTGTAATTGCAATTATTCAAAGGTAAGATACAGAGACTGCTTAGAAAGAAAACAACGATGCTCGAGAAAATACAGCGAGTCGTGTACGTAATTAGAGGCCCCCCCCCGATCTTGGCATGGAATGAGTCTGTGAAATAGACTCCCGGAAGCTATTATTTTCATTTTGGTTGTTAATGACCGGCCTCGTAACAGCGAAAGCTACGTTGATACGTCATCCTCTGGACACGATAATTACTATTCATTAATGCCAACAACACGAGCGATCCTATGTAGCGAAGGCCTATGGGCTTGGTTAGGCGAAAGAAAAGATTCATAAAAATGATGTAACCCCTAGACGTTCGCGTTTCACCAAACAGTAAATCGCGATCGTGCTGGCATGGCGTGTCGATAACACGGAACGCGTCGCTACATTATTATTAGCAAAGTAAATATTAAAGTTTCTCGCATCACCGTTATTAATAGGATGTTGTAGGTTATTCGTAACAAGAGCTACAAATTCGTATCGCATCCGCGATGAATTGTACAGTACATACTTACGTGTCCTCAGTCAAGGATGCTCGACGCTCGGTCCAATTTCGATGCTCCTCGAATCGTAGGCAGACTAGAACTTTGCTTACCTATCAGAAATGATTTTAATTAATTATTTTAAACAAATTAACCCCTTGGACAGTGGCGGATCTATATAGAAGAAGCTGTGTATAAAACATGATAGATTAGCGAAAATTGTAGACATAGGAGGAGCCGATACAAGTATTGGATCGTCTGGTGGTTGTAGGTGGAGGTGCATCTGGACCAGGGCCAGGCTCAAAAATAAGCCGAAATTCGATGGATTGGCCGACGATGATCGGGGACCACTTCGCGTCTCCTCCTCCATCCGTATTACTGGAACAACAAAGATTAGATTCTCTTCTGTCTCTCTAAAGATACACAATATTCCCGTGAATCGTCTCTATTTCCGCGATGTCGTTTTCATAAAGAACACGATCCCACGCTCTGTCTCATCCCCCCCGAAATAAACAAAATTTCCAGTAATAGTGACAGGGTGTCTATAAAAAATTGCAGCATCGTCACTCGATCCACCTACCGTGATTCACGGACAACCGATTTAACCCGTTCGCTAGCGGGCCTGTTATGTTTCCTTATGGTCGATCCGTTAAAACTTAAGTTTGGCAATTTGCATTTAACTACCCTAATTACCCAGAGAAGGGTTAGAAATGAGGTGTACGAGGCAGGTTTGGGTGATTTCTCACATCTCGCGTGGTCGTTGACGCAACCCTGTAACGGGTGGACGTATGACGACTCGACGTCATCCTCCACACGGCTCGTATTTTTAAATGCCGCCTTTTATCCCGCGGCCAGCCGCGAATCTTCCGCGATCGTCGTCTATAAATCACTCGCGGATCCTCTCCTTGCTACCAGAGACACCGAGAGAGGCTCTCTCTTGAAAGAGATAGAAAGAGATCGGTTCAGTGAGAGTTGCCGCGTGAGATAGGTGGGAGAAGAAACGTGGTGAAAAGGGATGGAGGGGTCAAGGAAATGATAGGTAGGGGGGGGCAAGAGAAGGATAGACAGCCTTTTGAGACCCCTCGGTGACCAGTTTAGTTCTGCTTGGCATTCGGACCACACGAGAGATCATGTGACAGAGAAGACAAGATAGGACACACCTCGGATCCAGGATCTGACTATCGGATACGATCGGATCGGACTCGATGAACCCAGGTGCCTGTGAACTCGTTAACTCGATCAATTGACAAGTGTTCGTTGTATCCGAATGGACCGAGTGTAGAAAGATCGATAGACTCGTTTACGCTAATACCAAGTGTATGTAAAGTGATCGAATCGTTGCTCCGATTTACCACGTACGATCCAGCTGATCAAGGATGACCACTTTTAAAGACTCCTACTACCACCGAGTGGATACGTAACACACGTGTACTCCGTTTGAATCAACAAACGCAGGAACGCGTAAAAACACCGCACCGGTCCCTCTGGCATACGTTAACACGAGCAGGAAAGAGGGAAAGAAGGAAATAAAGGAAAGGAGGAAAAGGTTGGCTGATTCTCCGACGGTGCGCACTCGCGGCCGTAAATGACACTTGTGAAATCAACGCACACATTTTCACCGCTTCGAGCGAGGAACAGCAGCGAGGAGGGTCGTTGACAGCGTACAGTGTACGATAAATATACCGGTTCGAAGCGTCTGCTGTTCCGTGGTAGCCTTTCAGGAAGAAGAGCACGCGACTCCTACCTGTCGCGTGTGAACGATTCCCGAACATTTCCGCTCCTACCACTGTTATTCCCGCTGGATATTTAAAGGGTCAAGATATGAGGTCGACCGTTCGGTGGTAGACGATCTAAGAATACCGCGAGTGGAACGTTGAACCGGGCTTCCTTTCTTTCCACGTGTCCACGCGGACAGATAAATCAAGAAACTTTCTTCCTACGGCGAGAAGAGTAGCTTGGTTAAGTATGTCGGGTGACACGACGTCCGACGAGGAGGGCTCGCAAGAGGATAGCCCGCGATACGACATCGACGATCTAGAAATCATCAAGACCATAGGTGAGCACGATCCGATCTTAACAAAGCCCGTGCCTTTTCGATGCCTTTCACTGGCACGCCGGTCTGCTTTCTATTCCTCCTGAATGCAACTATGCGTTTAGAAACTTTACGACCTATTCAACTGGTAACTTTCCCTTCGAATCAATTCCATCCCTTAACATTGACAATGAATATAATTTCTCGAAATCAAGTTGATGAAATATCGATGATATTAGTTAACGCTCGGTGAATAGAGAAACACCACCCTCGAAGTGGGCCAGCGAAGAAGGAGAGACTACCGGGTGTATATTTAACTGGTCGTTAAGTTCGAGTTACACGGAAGATCAGTAAAGCGCAGGTGTTTCGGAAGGTTGCTGCACGAGGAATGAAGGAAAATGTAGATACGATAAACAATCGAGTACCGTGATATTTTCGAAGGATCTTCTAATCTCCTCGTGAAACTGGATAACGCAGGACGGTCCGGTATGGAGTTGGATAATTCTCGATATCACGGTACAGATACGAGCGTAAACATCGTTGTAATAAATCTCGAGGTACATCAATCCTTTATCGCTTCGTTTACTTGGATCGAACCGTTCGATTAAATTCGCCTGTAAAACAGCACGCGCGCGGTGATCGATCAGGACAGATGTGCGAACCGTTTGCTTGTCGAGAGACGTAGAACAAGTTTTGGAGCCACACCAAAATCTTCTCGACCATTTGTACCGGTGAAACCGTCTGCGGCGGTCTGGCTCGCGAAATTCGAGATACAGATTTTTGATCGACGACGAATGAAATGGTAATATTAAACCGATGTAGCTAAATTTGTTCTACATCTGTACTACTTTTTTTAGATTTAATTGATTTCAAAAGGATGATTTATGATTGTTCGTCTGGCAATTAGGAATTTACAAAATAATTTCACCGACTTGCCGTTACACATGTTCTCAGCTGGTTCTCCTCTAAAGAGTTCTGCCAATTTTTGTCACATTTATACGCGAAATCCTGTCAGAATTCGTGAGCAACACGTGGGCCCGGCCAATTTATCGCGTAATTTCAGAACGCGCCTCCATTGCCATCCGGTTAATTGGTCGTGGTACGTTGAACAGGCCAACTTTAGTCACCTGCGTTCGTGGGAAAGTCTATTAAACAGACTGCATTGGTAATGAATTGCGAGCTCAGAAGTATCTTGAATGTCTAACGAGATAATTATTACCATTGACCATTAGACGCACTTTGCATCACCTACGATTTAATAATCCTGACCATGAATCTATTTATATTATGCGATACTTAGATGACTACTGTACACTAGTGGAATTAATTCTGGACACTTACATTTTTACTTCAATTTCGCATTTATTCAAATTATTTAATATATAATCATTTTCTAATTTTAGGTCGTCACTGATATAAAAAAGTCAGTAAAAAGACGATTTACAGCCATACTTTTAATGTACAATAAAAATTACAATTTCAGCACATCAAAGGAGGTAGAGAAAAATTAATATTTCGTTGATATTTCACATCATTCGACGTTTCGTGTTGCCAGGCGTAAAGACAAAAATAACAGCACAGTTTAGATTTTTCAAATTAAAATTTTGAAATATTTACAAACGAAAACGTGTGGAAATATTAAGTATAAACATTATAGATTACAATAAAAATATTACGGTATCAATTTAGCACAAATATGAAATAAAGAATATTTTTATTCAGTGTCCAGTGTTAATTCGACCAGTGTTCACACTTTAAACTTACTTATTTCTGAGTAAGAGAAAAGAGCAAAAATCATGGGAATAACGAAAGGGTTGTTTGCAGGGACGGGTACATTCGGTAGAGTGGTATTATGCAGGCATCAAGGTACACCGATGGCATTAAAGATTCTATCGATGGTGGACGTGATCAGGTTGAAACAAGTGGAGCACGTGCGAAACGAGATCACCGTCCTGAAAGAAGTGAAGCATCCCTTTATCGTAAACATGTAAGTGGAGTTTGCTTTCTCCTTTCTCCGCCTCGGTCCGTAATATTGTTTCGTTAGTTACAATTAAGAAAGTGTACAGGTTTGTCGGTCGAACGAAGGAATTTCTGGAAAAGAAAGCGTAACTGAAATCGACGAGAATAATACTTCTGCTAATCGTTCTGCAAACGGCTCGGTTTAGCGGCTAATTAGCGATCGCGAAATTCTCTCTTCCGAAGATGACTAATGAAAACCAGACACGTGTCTGACATTAGCTGTGATATCCACCTTAATTATAGTCATTTGAAGAAGCAAAAAAAGACTCGCTTGATCCAAAGTTCGATTAATGAAAAAGTGTAATCGTTAGTCGAACGCTCGTTGGGTACGATTTACTTGAAGATGAATTCTCAGCTCGAGAATCGAATCTAAAAATCTAAGAATCGAAAAATCGAACTATTCGAATATTCGAGAATCGAATCTAAAAATCGAAAAATCGAACTACTCGAATATTCGAGAATCGAATCTAAAAATCTAAAAATCTAAGAATCGAAAAATCGAACTACTCGAATATTCGAGAATCGAATCGAAAAATCGAAAAATCGAACTACTCGAATATTCGAGAATTGAATCTAAAAATCGAAAAATCGAACTACTCGAATATTCGAGAATCGAATCTAAAAATCTAAGAATCGAAAAATCGAACTACTCGAATATTCGAGAATCGAATCGAAAAATCGAACTACTCGAATATTCGAGAATCGAATCTAAAAATCTAAGAATCGAAAAATCGAACTACTCGAATATTCGAGCTTAGAATGCATCTTCAAGACGGCTCGAATATTCGAGTAGTTCGATTTTTTCGAGTAGCTCGCTTTTGTATCAAACAGTTCGCCGATTTCAAGTAATTCGGCAAAATTCAAGCGTTCGGCTTGACTCGAACAATCGAAGCGAGTTCAGCTCGGCTTGTGAATTACTCTAATCGTTTCAACGTGAGTTGTTTCTTCAGGCTCTGGAGCGGAAGGGACGAGGCGAGGGTGTACATGCTGCTGGAGTTTGTCGCCGGTGGCGAGCTCTTCTCTTACTTGAGAGCAGCCGGCAGATTTTCCGGGCCCACCAGCTGCTTCTACGCGGCCGAAATCGTCTGCGCGTTGGAATACCTTCACAGCAAACACATCGTTTACAGAGATCTCAAACCCGAGAACCTTCTGTTGGATAGCCAGGGTCATCTAAAAATCACCGACTTTGGCTTCTCCAAGAAGCTCACCGACAGGTAAGATCAATCACCCGAATCACGATCAATTATCCCATCGATATAAATAATCGCGGTACAATTTGTAGAACATGGACTTTGTGCGGCACGCCTGAATATTTGGCACCGGAGATAATTCAGAGCAAAGGACACAATAAGGCCGTCGATTGGTGGGCATTGGGCGTTCTGATCTACGAAATGTTGGCCGGTTTTCCGCCATTTTTCGACGACAATCCTTTTGGCATCTACGAGAAGATTCTCAGCGGAAGAATCGAGTGGCCAAAACACATGGATCCGATCGCCAAGGATCTAATAAAGAAACTTTTGATCGCCGACAGAACGAAAAGGCTGGGAAACATGAGGCAAGGGGCCGACGATGTGAAAAGGCACCGTTGGTTCAAATTAGTCGAATGGCCAATGGTAATGATTCATTTGAAATTAACTGTCTAAACTTTGATTTCATCTAATTTCATTTCATTTCATTCGTACGTACAGGTACCTCAGAGAGCTTTGAATCCTCCGATACAACCACGAGTAAAGGCACCAGGTGATCCCAGTTGTTTCGACGATTACCCGGAAACCGACTGGCGTTCGCAACCCCCTTTGCCACCGGAACAATTAGCCCTCTTTCAAGACTTCTGAAAAATAACATTTCTATACGTTGCGTCGACGATACGGTTCAACGATCGTTATTGTACCAGATTCTGGCTGACGTAAATTCGTCTTTGGAAACGAGATTAGGATAACAAACGATCGTTGAGAAGGTTGTTGGTTGATTTTAACAACCCACAGATGTGTACAGAAGCGTGCTTTGAACATCACTTCTGCTCCCCTATTTTTTCTCACCTTGTACATAGCTGTCTTTTTTTTTCTATTTTCTCGTCGTTTATTTATTGATACCGATTGTATAGAGTAGACGTATTTCTTCGTTGTTTTACATTGTAAATAAATAAGTGAAAGAAGAACGGATCGAACGATCGAAATTGTGATGAAATATTTGTCGTACCTTCCAACGCACAAGTGATAACAAAAATGTCAATAGAGATTACTATAATTTTATAAAAAAAAAAAAAAAAAAAAAAAACAATTAAACTGCGAATTATTTTTTTCAATTCCAAACCATAGTCTGCGAATGAGTATCGAAAACGAGGTGAAATCCAGTGGAAGGCGACGGATCGATGCTGCGTCCTGCTGTAAATCGTGATAAAATCTGCGTTCGATGAAATTTTCAACAGTCCCCTGAATAATTTACACGCGGAACTCGACACGCGACAGCCGATAAAGCTCGACGCTTCGCGTACCAACGAATCAGTACGTTTCAACTCTGCTGGAAAGAAAACTCTACCTCGCCATGTCCAGAAGATTCGGCAATAAGAACGAGGAATTTTTTTATTTTAATACCAATCGCAACGGTAAAATTCCGAAACGATTGACCAGCAAAACTATCAACGTGAACGCGAAATCGGTTGCGGAGAAATCGCCGGAAATGGAGAAGAAAATTCTAACTCCGCAAGATGTTATCAATGATTTCTTGGAGAGCACGTCCGTGCATGGATTGCAGTACTTTGCTAAAATAGATATCAGGGTTGGAATCTTGGGGAAGATTCTGTGGACCTGCGCCATGCTCACTGGATTTGTCTGTAGGCGAGGCTCCCTTTTTATTACGGATCGCGTTGAACTTCGCAGGGTGATTAGCATATGTTTTGTTTCAGGTTTAAGCCTGATGGTGGTGCAGTTTCTGACCCGCTATAGGGAAAATCCAACCAACACCTACATCAAAACTTTCACCGCCCCGATATTCGATGTGCCGTTTCCGGCTGTGACCGTTTGCCCGCTCACCCCCGTATCTCTTCGCAAGCAGTTGAAGATTTTGGACAGCGCTATTTTGCCCGAGAACATGAGCAAGGAACTGGCGATGGAATTTTTGAAGTAGGTATTAGAGGTGTGCGAGTACTCGTAATTTACAAGCCGAGGTGAACTCGCTTCAGTTGTTCGAGCCGAGTCGAATGCTTGAATTTTGCCGAATTACTCGAAATCGGCGAACTGTTTGAAACAGAAGCGAGCTGCTTGAAAAAATCGAACTAAAATATTCGGGTCGTCGTAAAACTTCGATTAACTTGAAGATGAATTTTCAGCTCGAATATTCGAGTAGCTGTTTCAAACAGTTCGTCGATTTCGAGTAATTCGGGAAATTCAAGCGCTCGACTCGGCTTGAACAATCGAAGCGAGTTCAGCTCAGCTTGTAAATTATGAGTACTAGCTACACGATTTTTTCGAGTAGTTCGCTTTTGTTTCAAATAGTTCGTCGATTTCGAGTAATTCAGCAAATTCAAGCGCTCGACTCGGCTCGACCGACAAACAATGATCGGTCGGTCGAGCCGAGTCGAGCGCTTGAATTTGCCAAATTATTCGAAATCGACGAACTGTTTGAAACAAAAGCGAGCTACTCGAAAAAATCGAACTACTCGAATATTTGAGCCGTCCCGCGTCGTAAAACTTCGATTTACTTGAAGATGAATTCTCAGTTCGAGAATCGAATCTAAAAATCTAAGAATCGAAAAATCGAACTACTCGAATATTCGAGAATTCAATCTAAAAATCGAAAAATTGAACTACTCGAATATTCGAGGATCGAATCTAAAAATCTGAGAATCGAAAAATCGAACTACTCGAATATTCGAGAATTCAATCTAAAAATCGAAAAATCGAACTACTCGAATATTCGAGAATCGAATCTAAAAATCTAACAATCGAAAAATCGAACTATTCGAATATTCGAGAATCGAATCTAAAAATCTAAGAATCGAAAAATCGAACTACTCGAATATTCGAGAATCGAATCTAAAAATCTAAGAATCGAATATTCGAGCTGAGAATGCATCTTCAAGTAAATCGAAGTTTTACGACGAGACGGCTCGAATATTCGAGTATTCCGATTTTTTCCAGTAGCTTCCTTTTGTTTCAAACAGTTCGTCGATTTCGAGTAAATCGGCAAATTCAAACGCTCGACTCGGCTCGAACAATCGAAGCGAGTTCAGCTCGGCTTGTAAATTACGAGTACTCCCACACCTCTATATACGAACGATATCAAAACGAACGATTGATAAAACGATGATAAATATTGATGTGCGATAGACGTGGTCGGCAAATAACGCTTCCCTACATGGCGAAAACGTTCGAGCACTCCGATAAATTTCAATCATTCTTGGAAGCGAATAAATGGAGCGTATTGGACTTTCTCAAGGTTTTATACCCTTGCGACGAAATTTTCGAATCGTGTCGGTGGAACAGCGAACGCACAGACTGCGATAAAATCATCAAGTACGCTCAGAGCTCTTACGGTTTGTGCTGCTCCTTTAATTATGTTCTGGAGAAGTACGTGGGACGCGATAAGCAAGTATTTCATTATTACAACAAACATTTTGATAATTGTATTATTTAAATCAAACTTGTTCCATTGTTTTTCCTATTGTACATAGAACGCAACCAAAAATAATACCACAAAGCTCGGTTGGTTTTGGTCCATGGAGTGGTTTGAAGCTGGTGATAAGGAAGGAAATACTTAGCTCTGCTTTAGAGGACAAGAATGGAACTGTGAATCTGAGCAACGATGGTGTCGGGGTAAAGATTGTTGTTAATTTTCTAGGGAAAAGAAGAAAATTTATTTACAGTTGAAGTATTTGGACACCGTTTAAAAGAGAATACCTCGTTTAAAACTGGACCAAATAACTTGAGGTTTTTTCAGAATTTATATAAATTAATTTACTAAGATATGTGCTTTTGTCGTTTTAAAAAATTACAATTTGTTGAAAGAAAATAGTAAAGGGTAATTTTTCATCTTTTTTATGTGAATCTATAATGAAATTTAAAATATGTCTTTCGTAGATTCAAATAAATTATTAAGAAGGTGACTAACTTTTAATTACTTATATCTTCTAAGTCTATTGACCATTGACCGATCTCGATGGAATTTTCAGCACACACATAACACTTAAATTTACAAATGTCATATTTTAAATTTTCGTTACAGGCTGAAAAAAGTTAAAAAATTGCCTTTTACTATTTCTTTCTCGACTTCGCCAAATTTTAATTTTTTAAAAGGACAAAAGCACATATCTTAGTAAATTAATTTGTATTTAAATTAACTTCTAAAAAAACCTCAAGTCATTTGGTTCAATATTAAATGAGGTAGTCTATTTTAAACGGTGTCCAAACACTTTTTACATTCACTGTACGTCTTTTTCTTAAACAGCTACTTATACATCACAGCATGGAGTATCCGGGACTCAATACCAATTTGTATGTTTTACAACCTGGACACAATTTAGAGGTGATTATATTAAATTAAACTATTAAGTAGAAACGAAAACATGAAATTATCCGCAGGTCGCCATACAACCAACCATGATTAAGAAACCAGCCGGAATGTACCATCGCACCATGGAAGGCAAATTAGTCCCTGTCTGCATACCGAATGAGGAAAACAATCTGGAATATTTACCGGTCTATCGATATTCAAACTGTTATGCGAATTGTAGAATCAAGGCCATGTTAAATATTTGTGGATGCTTACCATACACCTACGACTATTTAACTTTTCATCATAAAGTCAATGTAAATAATAAAGGAAATCGGAAATTTAATCTCGAAACTATTAGGTTGTGTAATAAATTCCCGTGTTTCTTGTATTTTATTTTTTTCCCGCAATTTTGTGTTTTGTTGGGTAAAGTCTTTTTCTTGCTCTACAAACCTATCTGCTTCAATTTTTCGAATTAATTAATTTTAATCAATTTTCAGGCTTTTGAAATGGAAATTCCAAGAGGCAAAAGAGTATGCTCTATTTCGCCTTTCGTCCAAAAAGCTACGGAAGCAGCTCGCGATATTTGTGACGTGTATGGAATAGATGCTATAGCTTCGAGGACCGCTCGAGATTGGTTTTCCAAGTTCAAAAATGACAATTTCGACCTTGGCGACGCAGCTCGCTCCGGCCGACCTTCCGACTTCGACGAAGATCGTCTCCAAAGGTCGAAATTGCCATTTTTGAACTTGGCAAACCAATCTTGAGCGGTCCTCGGAGCTATAGCACCTACTCCACGTCACAAATATCGCCAGCTGCTTCCGTAGCTTTTTGACCACGACGAAGCAGATGTCGAAAATGAATTTTTTTGCCTCCTGAAACTTCCATTTCCAAAGCCTGAAAATTGATTAAAATTAATTAATTCGAAAAATTGAAGCAGATAAGTTTATAGAGAATGCATATATATATATTGCCTAACAAAACACGAAATTGCAAGAAAAAAAATAAATACAAAAAACACAGGGATTTATTACACCTAATAAAACCTAATAAAACGCGTTCATTTTCAGCAATGCGATACGAATGGATTAATCTGTATCCAAGAGAACATGAAATTCATCGCCATCGTGAAAGACAGTGAGAACCAAAATTTCTCGTGTTTCTGTAGAACATCGTGTAATAATGTAGACTACGAAAGTTTTCCTAATATCATATCTCAGATTCATACAGGTGACTCGCCGTTTAAGTAAGTCAACCTGTTCTCCGAATCCTGTAAAATCATAAAAGATTTGATTTTTCTGAGGAACGATTATGTTGCAGCAACGGATCGGTCAGAAACGCCGTTTTGACGGTCTTCATGGACTTGCAGTCTCACCTGGTATTGGAAACGCTCCCGGCTGCCGACGAGATCTACCTTTTAGGTAACGAAACGCTAATTCCCGTAGTCTTAAAAAATGAATCTTTTTATTTATTACAGCATCGATAGGAGGAATCTTCAGTCTCTTCCTCGGATGCAGCTTCCTCAGTTTAGTGGAGATCATTTACTTCGCCGGTTTACTCTGTCGTGCGATTTTCTTGAACCGTAAAGCTAAAATCGCCTCGCAACGGGAACAAACAACGCGGGATAATTTTATAAAACGACGCACTTATTGATTCCCAATAAATTCATTCGGTTAATAAGCAGGCTATTGTGTAACACTCTCCACCGAAACGGAACAAGCAAGAATCTGGAGCAATTTAATCTATTTCGAGCGATTACTGGAGCGCCGTCATCTCGCGTTCATCCAACCTCATAAAAATATTTACTACCTTCTGTTTTCGCTTGGATGTTGCATTCCCAAGGTAAATCATTAAAATGATTGCATCAGACGAGCTCCTTAATAAATCAGCTCCTATTTTGGCAATCAGTCTATTAAGTAAGTCATTAATAAAATTAAAGTATCCATGGTACCAGAGAAATCATATTTATTGATGGATGTCGATCACGAGGGAGAGAAAGAGGAGAAAGAGTCGCGGCACATCGGGAACGACCGATCAATGTACATCCGTGACATTCTATTTATAAGTAAAAATATTCCAGGCTTTTCGGAAACGTACGAATCTGTAATATGATACACGACGAACAGCAAACCGATTTCGATTGCGTAACAAGCGGGAAAATTGATTTTACCTCGCTCATTTACCAGCTCCCGATATTCGGACAGGTGAGATAGATACGTTCGTAGAGCTTCTATTTTCGGAATTGCTATCGAAAAGACCGATTTAGTTCTCCCTGTGTATCTGGTGTTTGATGTTTGGTGTGCGCTGTGGAAAAGAAGCTGGGCTATTTTCGACGAAAACGCCCACGTGTTTCTTGCCCATCCGGTACGTGTACCCCGAAATGTTTTTTCTTCCTCGTCTCCTTAATCACTTGTAAATAGCGGCCGAACGAAAGAGTTTCCACATTCACCGTGTCAACAACAGACGCGCCTCTGGGTTATAATTTTTCTAATTTACGAGAACCTCATGCTGTTCGTGCCTCCGTCTCCTTTCCTCCTCTCCACCAAACTGTACGCTATTTTTCTTCTCTATTTTTATTAAAAATAAAACTACATTCTTGTCCAGCGATGATCATAATCTTGAGATGGTACGGAGAAACGATGAAAATGTATGAAAATCGTTACTTGTTTCGTTCATTTTGATTCTTTTTTTAGATGAAAGTGTAAAAATGCTGTATCTTGCTTAATCCTGGGAATATCTGGTCGTCGAAGAACGCGTTCCCTTCGTTCTTCTTCACTCCTGAAATCGGTAAATAAAAATAGTTTGCGAGAAAGTGCGGAGTTAGTTGGACGTTCGCCTTGGAGATTTCAATGATTCTACTACAATAGGAAGGGAGCATTGCATAGGTTCGAAAACATGCATCACTTACCATGACGGGGAATGTATTCGAAGGTTAAAACAATCCCGAATACAATAACCAGAGACAAATCAGCAGAAGAATCAGGATGAAGTAGGTGGTTAAGATGTTCTTTGTCTCGTGTGCTGGTTGGGGCATTTTTCAGCGTTCGCGGAAAGTACACTCTGACACTGGACAAGAATAAAAGAGAACCTGTTAATCTTTGTTCACATTCGAAAATCGACGAATCACAATCAAAAATCCACCCTACCCAAGATAATAATTATTGTATTAACGTCGAATTTTCGCGTCGATCGATCAGGAAAAACGTGGAAAAGAATTGCAGAAAAATTCTTTTGTAAACTTTGCAAAGTAATTGTGCTTTGACCACTGGAGACAATGAATCCGATGGATTCGATGGATGAACCAGCACCTCACCACTTTGCGTCCAATCTTCAACTAGATCACTCAACGCAGGATACTCGGCGATCCCGAAATTCCTCCAGGAACCGCGTAAAGTCCCCACCAATTCGATCGCGGATACCAGCGTTGCACACCTTCCCTTGTAACTTCTGCTCCAGGATTGGTAGCTCGGGTCCCACCGCCGTCTTAACCACCAACTTCCACCGCCTCGGGTTATATTAAGCATCGTGAATATTAGATAGAGTTTCGATGGAAAAAGCTTCAGTTCGATTCATGATCAACTTAAAGATAGTCAAGGGTTCAAGGTCGTCTACGTGGTAATATATACCCTTTTGCTGCTGGTGCATTGATCTTTAGAAAATTTTCAGCTAGAAATTTTCGAAAATTTTCAGTTACAATAGAAGACGGCTATACTCGTTGTTAATACGTATAAGGGAAAAGGGCCGAGCGCCTAAGGTTCTTATTTTTAACCGGAAACCCTATCGAGGACACCCACGCGTCGAACTTGGAATTCACGTGTGGCGCCACGATGTTTTCCACGTGAGAGGATCTAATAAAAATACGTTCGTAAGCAGGAAAACATGCTGAAAATGTAACAAGATATGTTGAAAGTATTTTCATAGAAGTGAAGAGAAGATAAAATCAATATGTATCCTTCAATAACGTTCGATGGTTCGAGGGTCCTTCAATTTTGATCGATGGCTAAAAGTTATTTTGGTGTCTCGAGAAACGTTCAATTATGCTCGGCACCGTAGCTCTTCTTTAACTAATCGCGTTGAACTCGTCCATCATTTTCAGGCCTTCGTCTAATTTTAACTCGTTAACCAAACATTAACTTTGATAAACAATGCGGGGAGATGTCCTATCTGTGAGATTCGAGTTTACGTAAGATTTTCCAAGAACAATCATCGATTTCACACATGCTGTTACTTTTCGAACGAAAATAATCGAAAGTATGCGATTGAAGTTACTTTATTCAAATTATATTTCGTTACAATTCATACATTCTTGTTAAAGTTTCAACAATATAGGTACAGAAATATGGCATGGATTAAACTAACGATAAATAAAAGGTAACCATTCGGGTAGACATTTTTCAAACTTCAAATTCTATGGACACACGTGGACAGACTTGGAAGAAATTATAAAAAATAATGATCAACAAACATTTCTGTTGGGTTATTTAAATGAACAGTTTTATACTATAATGCCAGAATATTTATTAACTAACAAAATAAAAGAAACAAAAGAAAATAAAATATATGAAAAGGCAATAACTTATATTCTACTGCCGCGCAGAAAAGACTGATCGCAAATTTGAAATCGGTCTACCTGCACGCCGCCTTAACACCTGACCAGTGGCGACTCGCGTATAGACACTGTAGAACTGCAGCACCCCCTATTTCTACTTAATATTATCGATAACATTTAATATAACGAGTCCTTTTTCCTTTAATTCTTTCTTTATACTTGTACAATATATAATCCTTAAGCTTAATGTCAGTAGCCATCCCCCAGTTTATGAAAAAGATACAAAAATCTTTGTATGGAACTGTGCGCTTCACAGTTCCAGCAGCGTGGTGTTTGCTTGTGTGCGCATGCGCACATAGGAAGCTGCGCGCGAGGCTGCGCGGAAGAGAGAGCACTGTCGCTCCCGCAGTGTAGGTTTTTTAAAACAAAGGCTAAAAATTTTCTTGAGCTGCACCCTCACTAATTTTAGCTACGAGCCGCCACTGCACCTGACTAAAATCCTAATGTCACAGTCGGTAACACTTGTTAAAAATGAGCAGTTATCGATCATCTAACACCACTCCTGTCGATATGTGCTACTAGCATTAATAACATATGGCATAGCAACTCAACTTAAATGTAACATTTCTCTGCGCGGCCATACGTTAAGAGAGCATTGAGTAAAATTTAACTTAATATTAAGGTAATATAAAGTTAAAGTTAATATAAATTTAAGTTAATATAAAGTTTAAGAGTAATATTTTTTTTCTTGTTTTCACTTACTTTGGGCTACTACTGCATTAGGAGATGTGTACGTATACGATCTTGCAGTTGTTGATGTAAGTTAAGATATTTTCTATAAGTATGTTAGACTTAGTTAATAAATGTTCTGGCATTATAGTATAAAACTGTTCATTTAAATAACCTAACAATTTCATTGGCACAAAGTGAAACAGCCCATGTGAGCATACTTACGTATACAAAAACAGAAATTGAAAATACTTCACACGAACGTAGCAATTTATCACGAACTTCCTTCGAGACTCGGTTCCTTAATTAATCGCTACGCGTGTAAGTACGATACAATAGGTAGAAGGAAGCACGGAAACAAGTAGGTGCATATTGGGAACAGCAATTGTTTGACTGATATCGCTGTCGTAGTAAATACTTAGACCTATTTAGACGTTAACGTCGTCTATTCACGATTCGAAGCGTATTCTTCTCATGCTTTCTATTGAGACTTCAATCATGCCAACGAGAATCCCAGCACATCCTCCAACGAATAATCGAACAGCCTTAAATCTAGTTTGTACAAGTTTGCTAACTTCCGGAGCTGCTCGTACGTCAACGTCGAATAGTATTTCTCTAGTTTCTTTGAGGTTGGCTCGCTGTTGCTCGGTTTCGATGGAAAACTGTACAGACATTGAATGCTCATTAACACTGATATCTTTCGATGTTTTTATTGGGTTGTGTGATAAATTCCTGCGTTTTTTATATTTTATTTCTTTCTCGCAATTTTGTGTTTTATTAGGTAAAGTGTATACAGGATGTTCGGTAACTGCTGGTACAAACAAAAAAGGGGTGATTCTACATGAAAAAATTAGCCGAAAATATACAATAAAAATTTTTTATGTGGAGCTTTGTTTTCGAGAAAATCGACTTTGAATTTTCGTCGAGAGATTTTTGAAACCAACATTACTAAGGTTGGATTGGTCGTGCTGGAACAATAGCTTGGCCGCCACGCTCTCCTGACTTAACTCCGCTTGACTTATATTTATGGAATCATATTAAATTAACTGTGTATTCTGAAGAAATCATAAATTACGAGCAATTAAAAGAAAAGCTTATTGTAGCCTTTCATACATTAAAACAACAGAATACGTTCGAAAGCGTTCATAGAAATTTAATTAGAAGAGCAGTATAATGTATTCGGCAGAATGGGTAACATTTTCAGCAATTTCTATAATAATATACTTTATGATTACTTCAACATCCTATTTCATTACGTGTTCCTAATTTTCCACTACGATAAAAACAAACTTAAACTGCGATAATATCCATCGAGACAATGATCCATAGTGAGGTCCGTTATAACGAGACATGATCAAGTGCACGCGTACCCGGCGAAAATTCAAAGTCGATTTTCTCGAAAGCAAAGCCTTACATGAAAAATTTTTATTCTATATTTTCGACTTATTTTTTCATGTAGAATCACCCCTTTTTCGCTTGTAGCACCAGTTACCGAATACCTTGTATATGCATTCGCAAGTCTTTTTTTTGATCTACAAACTTATCTGCTTCAATTTTTCGAATTAATTAACTTTAATCAATTTTCAGGCTCTTGAAATGGACGTTCCAGGAGGCAAAAAAATTCATTTTCGACATCTGCTCTATAGCATCTACTCCATACACGTCACATATGTCGCGAGCTGTTTCCGTAGCTTTTTCACCACCACGAAAGGCGAAATAGAGCAGATGTCGAAAATGAATTTCTTTGCTTCCTGGAACTGCCATTTCAAAAGCCTGAAAATTGATTTAAATTACAGTGGTACCTCGGTATACGTCTGCTTTGGAATATGTCCTGTTTGGACGTGACAAATTTTGCTCGGTATACGACATAAATTTTTTCTGTGAATTTTGTGTCATTTTTAAATAATTATCTCGGAGGAAAAATTAAATTAATAATCAATTATATTCGGAGTTGATGTATTATTAACTGACTGATTATACAAGTATGGATATCATATAACAAAATATGGGAAAGGTTAGTTTGGTATACGTCCTATTCGGTATAAGTCCAAACGTCGTGTACCGAAGTACCGCTGTAATTAATTCGAAAAATTGAAGCAGATAGGTTTGTATATATTTTACCTAACAAAACACAAAATTACAAAAAAATAGAATTCAAAAAACGCGGGAATTTACATCAACGAATCAGACTTACTTGACCGACTCGACGCCCATCCGCTCCAAAACCTCGGTCGCATCTTCCACCAAACTCTCGTACTTGCTGACGAGATTGTAATTAACTAAACATGGCTGGCACAGCTCGTATATCGGCTTCCAGTGCTCGTTCCGTGTTTCGTTCGAAGAATCGTCGGTTACAAACTCCACAAACTCCCGGAACGTGACATCGTCTCCATTCTTCAGAGATTCTTCGGTCGCGTTTCGTCTGTACCTCTATTAAAAAAACATTTCTTCCATTCGCACGTTCTCCAACAATAATAGAATAGAATAGAATAGAATGATAAAATACCCTGATTATCTTCTTGCCGAAACGAGTCTGAAAATACTTCGAACTTTTCTCGTGCTTCGCCTCCAATTTGTTCCTATAGGCTGACAACAATCTTTCCAGCGGATGTCTGACGACTATCAGTTTGTCGTAAGTCGTCAGCATTCGTTCGATTTCCGGTAGAGTATAGTTGCTTAGCCTTTGAAAAGTACCCGAGGAATGCGCTCGATCAGCCGGTATCTCCAAGGGATCGCTACCTGCCCATTTCCCTGTGGCCACCATCAAAACTCGTTTCCAGTTGGTGCACGCAACCTGCAGGGAACAGATGACTTTTAACGCCAGTTTAAAAGAGACGGATCGCAAAGTACATACACCGCGGTACGCGTGTAAGGGAAAGTTATTTGCACTGTGATAATATTTACTCGTCTTCGCTTAAATGATTCTCACCTTTGGAACGTAGCAGTACAACAGCTCGTGCTGTTCGTCCACGAGAATATTCCTGAACGATTCCGGATTCAGATCCTCGTTTCTAGGCTGTTCATCTGCTAGGATCTCCTCGCAGTTGTACTGCAATCTCTCTTGTCGTTCCACTAAAGCGGATCTCGCCAAAGCGTTCGGCCCTGTCCACGAATACATAACTCCCTCCGACTCGAAAGATCTTCGCTTATCATCGTTCACTGCGCTTCCTTTCGCTGTTGAGATATCGAGCAGGAGCAGAACTGTCGCCCAAACAGCGCATCTTGTCATCGTCCTTCTCGCCCACACGGCACATTGATTCAAGCTTCAAGCGTGTCTGTGAAAAAGTTTTCTTTGAAAAAGTTCATTCCCAAAATGGACGAGCAGCGGATTGGGAGCGGTCGAATTGCCGTACGAAGCGTGAGCCCGCTTACATTTTTCTCCCCCTCTTCGCACGCTTTTATCGCGCTTATTCAGCCAGTAAGATTTCTGTCCCGGGGGAAATCCGCTCTTCGTTCGCTTACTCACTCGCCCACTTTATTTTCGACAAGAATTAAGCGTTCGTTGATTTCAATTCCAGTTCGCGCCTGTATCGTGCGACTTCTGCACTGCGCGCAGACCCGTGAAATGGATTCGCGATTTCTACCGCGTGAAAAAAGGTGCCGAGAGGAAACAGCTGAGACATAGAACGAAAAACGAGAGATGTAAGAAGCAGGTCGACCGTCTCCGTTTCGTGCTCCGTACGTTCCAATTGAAATCCTTTAAAGCCGGTTGTGCGAACGGCTAATGCACGGTACATTTGACATGTAGATATGTAGAGCACACTTTTCCTTTGATAAGCATCGTATTTAAGGTCAGCCGATTTTACGGAGTAAAAGTTGCTATGTGGATTTTCAAGGAAAGAACTGAATCACAGCTGAAAAATTGCTACACACCAAAAGCCCGTTGAAGGAATTTCGTAATTCGTGCTCCTTTCGGAGCGTGGCGTAACTCGGCTTTCAAAGAAACCTAGCAAAATTAAAAGTTGTATTTTATAAGAATGATAGTGGCATCGTCAGAATTCATCAATGAAACTCGTCGGCAGGAATGAACGATTTCTGCTCTGAATACTATCTAAATCATCGTCGATCGAAAATTGCGATCACCGTTATTCTAAGATTACGATATTTTATATTTGCCAAGCAAAATCGATACTTTTTCTCCTATCGACAGTCTCGGTTTGCGTCGAGGTTTTTTCTATGATGGAAAAAGGAGGTGAGCAAGATCAACATGTCGCCTGAATATCGGTATGAATATTCCAGATATCGAGAAATCCGATCTTCTTTGATACTTCCCAGATGCCGACCTTGTTCAAACGCTACACGCAAACGCGACTTAATTGCGTGACCAATTAAATCAAGTCACGATGAATCTCGACACGATCTACGTTCGGAATATCATTGCAAACATTGAACACTGTACGCGACATCGGAGCAACCACATAATTGCTGAATGATGAACATTGTCGCCAATGAAATCTCGTATTTCGTTGCGTAACGCGATTGGAATTCGTTCTTGACCGTACTATCCGATCTTACCAACCCCTCTACCTCCTTAACGGCACAAAACGGAACAACAGTTTATCGGTATCCGACATCGATACGAGTCACGCGTCAGGTGAACAAGAGCACGTGAAACGGTGTGTCAATGAAAAAATGATTTCATTGAAATTTACCTGTTACGCGTTGCGCGATCCGAGCGTGAAACTGTACGTGGCATGATCAGCGGGCTCCGGGAACACGTGCTGCGATGCTGCTCGAAAATTCATGAAGATCCCTTCTAGACTCGCCAACGTATTTATCCAGGATGACAAACGATCTCGTTCGCGGTGTATGAATTTTCAACCGACTGATCCGATTTTTACTTTATCATTGTAATTTCGAGGAACGAGAGGAAAAGATCGGTAAAAAGAGCGACGGATCTCGGAGCACTGGCTACGCACCGAGCGTGCCTGTACGAACAACTACCTATTGCCTTGTCTCGAAAGACCTTCCCTGACATAAGGATGGAACTTGGTCGTTTGTAGAAGTGAAAGAAGCTGCGGGCGCGCGCGCCGACAACCTTTCATCCTTCTTCAGCAAACGACGCTCATCATCCTTCTCCACCTGTTCCCACTTTCGGCTCCATCTCGGGCTCTCTACCAGAAATTTCAAACACCTGCCTATCTGCGCTGTATTCATCTTTCGGGTAAGAAAAAATCTCGTTTCGTATTATTTTATTTTGAATTCCAATTTCTCCCCGCGCCGCGCTGCTCCGAAATATTATGGACATTCCTCGAAGTCTAATTTTCGTATAAAACAATTTTCTTTTGCAACGAAATTTGAATGCCTAACTGCGCTGTATTCATCTTACAGATAAGAAAAAATCTCGTTTCGTATTATTTTATTTTAAATTCCAGTTTCTTCCCGTGCCACGCTGTTCCGAAATATTATGGACATTTCTCGAAGTCTAATTTTTGTATAAAACAATTTTCTTTTGCAACAAAATTTGAATGCCTATCTGCGCTGTATTCATCTTACAGATAAGAAAAAATCTCGTTTCGTATTATTTTATTTTAAATTCCAGTTTCTTCCCGTGCCGCGCTGCTCCGAAATATTATGGACATTCCTCGAAGTCTAATTTTCGTATAAAACAATTTTCGTTTGCAACGAAATTTGAATGCCTAGCTGCGCTGTATTCATCTTTCAGATAAGAAAAAATTTCGTTTCGTATTATTTTATTTTGAATTCCAATTTCTTCCCGTGCCGCGCTGTTCCGAAATATTATGGACATTTCTCGAAGTCTAATTTTCGTATAAAACAATTTTCTTTTGCAACGAAATTTGAATGCCTATCTGCGCTGTATTCATCTTACAGATAAGAAAAAATCTCGTTTCGTATTATTTTATTTTAAATTCCAGTTTCTTCCCGTGCCACGCTGTTCCGAAATATTATGGACATTCCTCGAAGTCTAATTTTTGTATAAAACAATTTCCTTTTCCAACGATTCTCATATATCTCAATAAATTCTTCTCATGCGATAATTAGTCCGATTTTTTGCAATAGTTAATTTATGCAATAATTAATATGTACATTACTCGTGTGACAAGAAAAAGCATCGGACATACATAACGTTTTCGATGCGCATATAATTTATCTTTAATGTGTTTACATTCAAATTAAGAGAAAACTTTGAGTTGCACTCGAAGTTTATTGATGAATAATATACGATGGTATACAAATGATTATTTATGCAAATTTGAAATCGGTATAAGTGAACTATGCACATGGATGGGTGCACTTAAAGTCTATTGTAACTTACAAATACCTACTGTTCGTGTTGACGTATAGAATATTCATAATGAGGTGATTAAGATAAGCCTTATCTACTTGATTCACAATAAACAAGAACTTTCAGATTTCTGCTTTGGATTTTGAAGGGATCAATTTGTCTAAGGAGGCTATCTCCTCCCTGATTTAATTAGGACAGAAAATGAAGGAATTTTTAAATTGTATCATTTTGCATACTTCGTATTGGCATACTTCCAAAATCGCCGTGGTCATGATTCGTTGACTAACGGGTCGCATTACAGACAGAGAAAGTGCCTTACCTTCGGTCGCTGTTCCTACTGCTGGCAGCTTTAGTCTCGCCACGGCTTTCGTTAACGATTAACCGATGATCAGCCCGTCGATCGAAAAATCACCGATCAAACATCAAGGAGATCGAGCAATTAGCATAATAGATTAAAACTCACCAAGGGAAGAGAAACTGGAAGGGGACCGAGGTATGAGCCATGACAGGATGTCACGATTCTGAACATTAATTATTTGTGCTGCATTCGCAAGAGACCGAAGAGCCTCCGAAGAACTTGGGTAACGAAACGATTTCACAAAATTAACGAAATATCATTTCGACATACGGTGTCGTGAATTTTAAACGGCTTCGATCACGAACACTTGATTTATTTTTGATTGCTTGAAAGGTTTACTCCAATCAGGATTGCTGTCGTATATCTATTGAATAATATAGATATGCAGAGATCAGAGTACAACAGCGTTACCTAAATCGTTATCAAAAATTTTCGTGTTTTCGAATGGCACTTGCTTTTTAAGCTATCATTCATTTAGATAATTAGACATAACGAACAGTTGGCGATATACATATAAATTAAAGCAAAATGTATCTATTCTTAATGGAAGATTTTAAAATGTGACTTTAAAGGATACTTTATTGCTGTTGAAGGAAAATGATGCTGCAAACAGCGTTTTGGCTGTTGTTGGGCTTGCTGTTCGTTTGGCTGTTGTTCAATTACCTTAGCAAAATCATCGATTCTTTGTGGGAGATCTTGACGCTTTTCATCGACACGAAACCGGTCGATTTACGCTCCAAGTTTGGCGAATGGGCAGGTAAGAAACTTATTATTGTTTGACAAATACAACGTGTACATTGGGACACGACTATTTCAGTGGTGACAGGATCTACCGATGGAATCGGCAAAGCTTACGCGAAGGAATTGGCCGCCAGGCAGATAAATTTGGTGCTGATCAGCCGAACGTTGGAGAAATTGGAAAAAACTAGAAACGAGATTTTGCAAGATAATCCAACGATCGAAGTGAAAATCATCGTGGCGGATTTCAGCAAGGGAAAAGAAATCTTTGCGAAACTTGCCGAACAACTGAAGGACGTTCCTATAGGAATCTTAGGTGAATAAATGGTGCAAAGTATAGGGCACTTATTAAATAACTTATAAATTACTACATATATATTTTAATTATTCAGTGAACAACGTGGGTACGCAATATAGCTACCCGATGTATCTTGGGGAAGTTCCGGAGGATCAATTGTGGGACATCATCAACGTGAACATCGGCGCCACCACGTTAATGACACGATTAGTTATCGGACAAATGCAAGAACGTAGAAAAGGAGCGATCGTCAACGTGTCGTCTGGTTCGGAACTGGTACCGTTGCCGTTGATGACCGTGTATGCGGCATCAAAAATTTACATTAGAAGCTTTACCGTTGCCCTCAGAGCCGAATACTCTAGATTCGGAATAACTATACAACATTTATCTCCATTCTTCGTGAACACGAAGATGAACGCGTTTAGCGATCGACTACAGGTAAAAAATTATTCCATTCATTCATTTATGAACTTATCGTTAACTTGCACCGATAATGAATTACAGGTATCCACCCTACTTGTGCCTAACGCAGTAACTTATGCGAAAAATGCGATCGTCACTCTTGGAAAAATGAATTCGGCTACAGGGTACTGGGCTCACACAATTCAAAAGATTTTCACGTTAACTGCTCCGGAAAACCTTAGAACAAAAATAGGATTATTTATCAATCGAGGCTTCAGGCAAGATTATATAAAACAGAAAAGAACCAACTAAATACACCGATAAGACTCGCATTATTTTATATTAAAATTTGTTTTTCTTATATTGTTCTATTTCGTTATTTGTTAATTTAATGTAATTTAACGTATAATTTAGAAGTTTAAGCCGGAAGGAGAGCAATTTTGTTTGAAAGAAAGTAACCTGATTCGTGTACGTATTATTTAAAACTAAAATACAATTAAATGTTCGTTAAGAATCCCAGTATTATAAGATATATCAATTCTAATATATGTTACAATGCATTTAACATAAAATAATATGTACAATTTCATGTAATAACAATTTGAATCCTTTTCAAAATTCCCGCGTAACGTGTATCTAATAACATTTATCATCTAAAAGCGAATGAAAATTTTTTTAAGGTAAGAAGATTATTGTTATATTATGAAAAATGCATTATTAAACAATAACAAGTGAAAAAATATTCTTAAGGTGATGGGAGCGTCAAGGGCGAACTTCGAATTCCGCGTCGGTAAAACAGTCAACGTTTCATCGAAAATTAGGCCAAACAGAAACTGATTTCAGCGCTACCTTAGTTATTGCATCCAACTAACGGCATGCTATTCTACGTCACTTTTCGCATACACCTAAATGACACACGGATGCTACGATAGCTATATGTATTATGTACGTTACAACCAAAGTATAAAATACGATACTGCACACATGACCTAGGAAATGTATGAATGACCTAACTCCTTCAGCCAAATATTATATACATATACATTTCTTGTAATATAACATAACCAAGGGAAGAATATTCCTACAAATCGAATGCCTAAAGTTAGTTTTTTTTTTAAATAATATGTCCCCATATTGTACTCCGAATTCCTACAAATCTTGCTCTTTCCGACAGAATAGGAGAATAGTAATGTATGCACTGTTGGAGCATAGGCTTATTAGCGAAGTCGTCAAGGCTATTAGTCCAAATTGTATCATGTTTGGTATCATTTTAATCAGAAAAATCTCACCAATACATTAGTAAAAATTTAATTGAGAAAAAGTCAAAAGTAAAAAGGTTTTATCGTTGAATTAGTATTAATTACACCGATACGTTTCGACTCCTCGCTTTGAATCCTTGGACCTCTATCTCCTCCCACTATCTGTCCCTTTCTATGTTCACGCTTGGCTGGCGCCGCATGTAAACACAGATTAAAACTTCTTTATTGTTAGTTCTTTTTTTATGAAATTTTTACCAAATTGTTTGTGAAAAACTCCTGATTGTTTAGAAGACAGAGTTCAGAAATAGCAAATACTATTATAAGTAAAAATTGTCCAAACCATATCGTGTTTGGTATCATTTTACTCAGAAAAACGTCACAAATATCTTGGTAAAAGTTTTATAAAAAAAAATGAAAAATAACAAACTTCAGCCGTTGCATTAGTATTACCTCACTGATATACCCGATCCCAGATCATATTGAATCTTTACTATTGACTCAAATGCCTGGGCCTATAGATTTTTGGATATATTATAGAAATCGATATTTTAAACAACTTTTTCCTGTACATATAAACGATGGTCCAAAAATCATAGAAATCGGGGAGGACATATTTGTTTTGCAGTTTTACCAAAAAAAAAAAATAATAATAGCAACCAAAAATAATGATAGAAATAATGATCTCGTGACATATGGGTTGAAAATCGCTATCCTAGTCCCTGAGCGTCGAAAACTTTACTGACAGTTCCTAGAAAAATCCCTAGACGCGAGTTCTCAAATTACGTCGTCATTTCTAAACAGAATGCAAAAAAATTTGAGGGACATGTCCAGGAGGCCCTAAAAAATGGTAATCTGGTCCTTATATTATCCAAATCGTCAAAAAATTATAAAATATTGAAATTTATGTATGTCAACCGTCAAGAAAATGGCGGATCGGATTCACCTCCATCAATTTATTCGTAATATAAACATTTCTGCCAATAGTTTGTCTATAATAGTATACATATGTCCTAATTTCTAAACCTGCGCAGAAGATCCATAAAAACGGTTCGGACGGAGCATCTCTGCGCGCGCATTCCTGAACCACGTGACCTCGGCGTTGGGATTCTCAGTAAAAGGGGGCGCTCATTCTTCACCCATGCGTCGCGAAGGGAAGACGTTCGAATTTTCTATACGCTTCATATCACGGGCAAGATGAGTCAGTAGTTCAAGGAGAGCTTGCACACGCAAGTGTGCCGACACAACTAATTAATCATGAAGTAAGTAATATATATTATTTTAAAAAACGCCGTAAATTTATGTTTAATACCAAAACTGTTGCACGGTGCGTCAGCCATTTTGTGGATTATACTGTCATGTCCGGGTACTACATACCTTTCACCAAATAATTTACATATTTCCTTATATATTCAAATATTATACTTACTTATTGTTTATAAAACTTTGTATCATATATATAATTATCAACTTTATTTGACAAAATTTTACTAGGTGATAGATGCAATGTTGCGTCATATAGCGTTGTTGGTTATTTAATTCAAAATTATATAACTGTGTTGTTATAATTATGAATTGCTTTCGAATTATACTACTGACAAATAATCTAGAAATATTTCATTGCAATTCTGAGTCATAATATGTGTCCTGCGATATGAATTCTATGTGTTATTAAAAAATTTATTTTAAAATAGAATAAACTCCTTTTGCTTGAGTATATACTGTTTATTTTATTGCATGTGTTTTTTTTATATTATACCTAATGTATACATATTTCAATTTTTCAGAGCCAACATGGCGCTCATTTTGAGCTGCGTCGCTCAGACGACAGAAATTTCTTTTCATCATTTTTTAATTCATCTTGATTGGGATTGCATCCATAATGACATCCAGTCAGGACCAGGAGATGTGGATATGGAAGTTGGAACCAGCGTCCCCTAGTGGGACGCTGTCAAATGAAGTTGAAGATGATTGGGTTTTATTTAATGATAAATCTGTAGATCCTACTAACAATGTTGCTGAACCTGTTATGTACGAAGATCATCCTACTCGTGCACAAGTGGCTACAAAATTATTAGAAGAATTAGATGAATGGATTAAGGAAGGTACGTGTAAATCGTTGTAAAAGTTTATGAAGATGTTACTGAGAAAAGGTAAATTTCTTGTAAACAAGGTTTGCATACAGCTATAATGAAATTTATGTATTTCTCTTGTTTTTGATAGAAAATTAATTGTTTTTATAACTTACATTTAAAATATTAGAGAAACAAAAGAGTAAATTAGAAAAATCTTTTAAACTCTATGCTACTGTACATACATAAACAAAGAAGTAGCAAAATATGTAGCAACCCATATATCTAAGTAACTTAGAAAATGAATTAGTATCATTTTACAGGTATGACATATAGTACACTTTTAAATTGGCGAATCGCTTCCAAAAATAGATGAACATTTAAAGTACTGTTATGTATGCGTATACGTCTATGAAATCAGCGTTTTCTAGTTCTCAAAAATCTACATATTAAAAGGATACGAACTAACGTTAACATTTTGTCTGACTGCATTCTCGCTACTCCTATCGCTTTCGTTCTTCTCACTTCTTCTATCGTGTATCTCATTTTCCTTTCTTTTTTTCTGGAAAGGAGAGTGGGACAAACTGGTTAACCTCTATATAAACGGCTTTGGTTGAAGGCCGATAGGGGAATGACGTGTGTTTAATAGGCACGAGAGTAGGGGCGTCAGAGGGGAAAGTCCAAAGATAAGCAGGAGTGGTCTCTGGCAGTATTGCAAACTGATCGTTCGATTCCGTCGATTAGTGTTCATTACGAGTGGACTTTCTGTTGATGTTTAAGAATTCTATAAATTTAATGCAGTTTATCGTTTGAAATTTACACGAACACCTTGGATTATAACCGTAAGAGAGTGGGAAAATTCGTTTTCCATCCCGTATCAGATCTATCTCAACTGAAACTTTTGTGTTGACGATCGTGTCAGTGATCTTAAAACAAAACGAAGTAACTAATTCTTCATCGTGAATCCATGTATCAGACTGCGATTTTGACTTTTAACGCGTCGTAGACGTTGTTTGTTGGTGAAAAGTTGACTGATTTTTCTTCGATACGTGATCTATCGTAACATACGTTACTACGTTACACGTGTTCTCCGTAACTATTTTGGTTAACAGTGGGACCTACATAAAGATATCGTCAACTGCAACTAGCATGTTAAGTTACTGGAGTAACAGAGACACTCGTAAACTGTGATCTTTAATTGATCGATACTGATCCATAATCGATAAGTGATTGGTGTAGTGCGTATTATTCCTATGTGTATAAATTCAGTTTGAGACGCAACCAAGTATAGTGAGGATAAACAAGTAGAGTATATGCGTGATTAACAATTCTCGTATAGATTGAAACGTTAATAATACTGGCATCTTTAAAAGTGAACGAAGAAAAAGACCTAGCGTCTCGATGCTGGAGTGTGCTAATGTTGTATAATAGCATGCAGTTCGCATATCGTTACACGTGGAACCGAGAAATAATTGTCAATTCTCAAAAGCTCGTGAAAAGACGTTGAATCGAGACTTTTCATGGTCCTGTAGATGGGCTTGACTGTTTCACTTTGATAAAACACCGTATTATATATTAAGGATAATTTTTTTTTTTTTTTTATTTAATTATAACATACATGTACGATCCCCTGGTTCCCTTTTATTAATAAGGGTTCATACGAAAACAAACGCACGTGATAATGGCTACTATATGTTACAGTGGTAGGTTTCCTTTCGCTTACTTTAATTCCTCTCTCTCTCTTTTCAGCATTCGCCCCGATGGAAAAATATCTTTATTACGCGTATCAGAACACTGTTGCCACATTGCTCAATATTATCGAACAACACAATGGGATCGAATCGTCTATAAAAATAGTTACAATATTTTGTCAAATTTTACATAAATAATTACTTCTTAACGTTCTATATCATCTGCAATGAATTACTCGCGTTTTATCACAAACTTGTTAACTTCAATCGCATTTACAATGGTTCTATAGTTTAACAAATATTTTTGGAGTTTTAAAACATTTATTTATTATCTGAATCAATTGTTTAGATATAAAAAATATGTATGTTAAATATTATTTTTTCAAATCATGTTTTTATACTTGATGTAGTCCTACAAATTTAAATTGTAAATAATTTAGTTATTTAAAAAAAAAAGAAACTAAAATTTAAAACAATTTTTAAATAAGCTTTTAGGAGTTAATGAGTGGTTTTTACTTTAACTTTTCTAATGACAAAATCATACTTGTACTTACATGGATCTATATAAGTAAAAAGTATTCTTATCTAACCCCATGCCCCTTGTATTTAAATGAAGATAACTTACACATGTTAGACTTCTGATAAATTTTGTAAAGAAATAGGTTAGGGCTAATTTGTTAAACATAAACAATATTTTTTTTATACTTTTGTGTTACTGTACATTCAGAAACCTTTCACTAAATGTATTTATTAGCCAACCCGTATCTAAGATTGAAAATCTTGAGTAAGGGGCTGTAGCATTTAGACTTTTAGTCACTCTTATACAGACCAAACGGTAAGAATTATCGAAAAAATTCTTGCACCATTGTGTTTAGTGGATCAAAATCTCAACGAATGGCCGAAAAAATTTTTTTTTCTGCCACTTCCGGTCTAACCGGAAATGGCCGAAAAAGGGTTGGCTCTAGAGCGAATCTCACTCTAGTTCACTTTAGCTTGTTTAAAGTATTTTGTTTACTGTTTTATAACACATATCTGTGTAGTAGAATCTGGATACTAAACTATAATTTTTTAAATAATTTTTAATGAAATAAGTTCCCAGTTATTATCATAAAACATTGAATATCTTTGATGTTAGATTGTGTTCTAAATAACAAACTATAACAATGTTAGTTGCAGTAAATGTATTAGAAGCCAAAGAAATTGCAAATCAAGAACTTGTTTTTCTAGTTAAACTAGTAATGTCCATGAAATTATATATACATCACTGTACCACTCCTACTTATTCTTCATGCAAGACACGAGTAAAAGTACTGCTAGTTTCTGACTATATACATTATCAAACTGTGTAAACTATTGTATATGAATTTTTCCTTGTATTGTAATTATATGGAACTGAAACTTAACTACAGTGAAATGAGGAACAATAATTTTTATATTCCTGTTGTCTCAACATTGTTGCATATTTAAAACTTGTACGCCTTTTAACAGCTAGTTAAAAAACCAATTGATTTTCTTTTGTATTTACAGAGCCTTTTTCAGATTGGTTGGAGGAAAAGATAGAACTTCCCATTTTTGAAGAATTACCAATTTCTGAAAGTGGACAGATAAAGCCAACGTCATACAATGAAATTACAAAAATCCCTCAACAAGACAATACGCAAACTTTATTGCAAGAATTTGAAACTGTACTGGGAGATGTGGAAGCTTGCCATCAAATAGTCCCTTCGTCAACGTCCACTCTTACACCTCCACAATCCCCTCCTCCGCATAAACCATTAAATGTAGATACCCAATTACTTGTTACTTTGCAACCTGTACAACCATTGTATTCCAACCATCAATCCATATACAATGTGGTAAATCCTGAAGAAAAATCATGTGAAAATGAGGTACCATTAGAGTGGAATACAAAAAATGTATCATTGGATCCATTGAACACAGATGTTGCACATGATTTAGCTGTGGTAGATGAATATGTACGTTTACATACAGAAGATATTCCACCACCTAGTCCATGTACAAGCTCTGGTGGCAGTTACACTTCATCAGAAGATTCTGTTGATGATCCAGATTGGGTTATAGAATCAGGAAAGAAGCACATAAAACAATCTGCGTACATTTCGTCTAAAAGTCGTCAAAAACCTTACTCCCGGCCATCTGTAGAGGACAAAAAAGTTCGTAAAAAGGAACAAAATAAAAACGCGGCAACACGTTATAGACAAAAGAAAAAGCAAGAAATAAAAGAGATATTGGGTGAAGAACGTGAACTTGCTGAACATAACGAAAAATTAAAAAATAAAGTAACTGATTTACAGCGAGAAATTGGGTACTTAAAGGGTTTAATGAGAGACTTATTTAAAGCCAAGGGTCTTATCAAATAATCCATTTATCTATCAATCACTGTTATGTTTATTCATTTTTATTGAATTTATTAATGATATTTTTTGACACTAACTTTTTTTTATATTAATACTAATCGTGTAGCGTATAGATTTAAAGTACTGATTATTTTCTTTTCTTTAACTAGCCACATATCTAAAACAATTTTAAATCTATCACAGCATCTTAGTAGGACTACAGAACTGTCACCACATGATGCATAATATATTTACACATACTCAAATTTATTTGTGGTCCGTTAAAGATTAAGAGTCAAGGTGCATTAAATAATGATGGAATTTGTAAAGTATGCAGCCCTATGAAACTCGTCGGAGTGGAAATTTGCTGTTACTGAACATTCTGTAAACAATTTAATGCATCTTAATGATGCAAATATTTTCATTCCAATTTTAACCCAATCAAATTGTTTTCTTACAGAAAATATTGTATTAGAAAATAATAAATGGGTTATTATGTAATAAAAATTGATATTATTGTTAAAAATGTCCTTACTGCATTTCCACAACAAAATTTTATTGATAACTGTTATTCTAATTCAATTGATTTATAAACCATATAAATTATAAATTCATTAAAAGTCATAATTTTTGTACACTTAGTATATTAATTTGATGGATTTACAAAAGGAAACATTATTTTATTGCAATAACTTTATTAAATGGCTAAAGGTAAACGAGTTATTATTGTTTGTCATTTATCCCCTCGAGTAAGTAGATTTTTTTTCTTTATTTACATATACTTAATAAATGTAATATTTAGTACCTCAACTCAGAGTAGAACTGTATAAATAATTTATAAAATAATAATATCAAGTAAAACAAATTTATCAATCAAAAAATATGAAATAATCTGTACAAAAATAATGTAGAATTTATATACACGTTCGTACAAATTTCAATTGTTTCCTGTCTATACTTTTTTAGTTATCAAATAAATATGTTAAAACACATACTAAATATTCCACGGTCATGAAATAATAAAGAAACACCTCAATACACTAAAAAAGTATTACAGAACGAATACAAACACAATTATAATATAAGAAGATCATGACGGAAAAAGGATTTCTTTAACATCGATTACTTATATGTCATTCTATTATTAATGTAATAATTTACAACTAATTAATTGCAAATGACTTGACATCTTAATCATATTATAATAGTTAAAATTCATTGCATTTTATATTAATATTCATTTTAAAATGACTTCTATGCAAAATTGCACCACAAACAAATACATATATTTACACGTACATAATGTACATATATAAGATAAATATCGTGTATATATATATACGTATAAATATATATTTACACGTCTGTAGATACTTGCGCATTCGCGCATGGCTTTAGTTAGTAATACTAGTTAGACTGTTTATTCCGAAACTTAAATGTTTTATTCAATTTATATATGTATATATTATTTTTTATTTTATTGCAAGCGATAATATATTATGTTCAACGTATACATTCTGTACGTGTGTACGCATTAAATGAAGAAAAATCGCTTTATTTATAACTAGAAACAAATATGTCGGCAAACATGAAACGCAATTACCGTCAGAAATTGAATAATTTATCACTTTACACTTTATAACAGTCTAATTTTATTTTTGATGCATTATAACATGCTGCTTTCATTATTATGATCTACAGTTTATTATAGATTCAAACAATCAATTAAGACATGAATAATATTTCTTTACATTAAGAAATCGTATTTATGACATTATTAATAGTAAATATTATTAACTATATACGTATTTTGTAACGAAATTTACAAATGTTGTAAGTTAAAATTTTCTTCACAAATAGAATAAAATGATAGAACTTATGAACCACGTAACTTTCCATATATCTCAATAATAAGATACACTGAATAAATTCTAGACAAAAGTAGCGCTTATAAATAAGATATTACGCGTTATAATCAATAATTTATATTTTAGTAAAGTGTCTCAATTTTGCTAAATTCAGAACAAACGTACATATAGATATACATTGTTTATTGGATATTATATGCATAAATATTCATTTATGAATTTTTATGTTAGGTGTTAAAAAAAAAAGAATATTACAAACATATGGAAAGAATGTTGAGTATTGTTAAAGAATATTGCATAAATATGCAGGCAATAAATCACGTACATGTACAAGAATCTTTAAGTAAATACTTGATATATAATTTACAAAAGATAACACAATTTTGGTTACAACAGTTAAACCAATGCAATGCAACTGCAATTTCTTGGAATGTCATAAACAGAAGTTATGAGTATTTATAATCCGGTATGTTATATACGTTTAAGTTATGAATATCAGACACAACAGGAAAAGAAATGTACCTTATTTTTCAAACCCTAAATAACAATCAAGTAGCAATTGGATATTAAGTAGCTTTTAGTAAACGTAAATTTTTTACTTTAAAACGCTATTAATATGTACAAATGTGTGGGTACTTTAAAAATTTTCAATAATGCATTAACACAGTCAAGATTTTGTTTGATTACAAATAAGATCCTTAAAGATCATTAAAAACAAAATAAAATATTAAGTTTGTATGATAAAACTATTTTACAAGCGTACTTTACATTAAGAGATTTTACAGAATGATGTGTTTGAAATAGAGATATTACATCTTTCATCCTATTCGTTGCAATACACAAGAACATGTGATGTTCTAAGTTCAATGTATATCTATATAAATCACCAATTACTTGCTCATATTGAATACTCTAAATGTTTACCATACTGAAGAAAAATTATAGGAATATTGTAACTCTTGGTTTTCTTATGTTGTAGTATCACCTTCCTCCTGTTCAAGTCTAGACGAACCACATACACGACATTTACAGCATACGATACATGGGGCAGCCAGTAAAAGCAATGGCGATGCAACAAGTAAGAGTAAACCAAATCCAGCAAAAATTCCAATAACTTGTGTTCTATGCCAAATGACTGATGCACGTGAATGACCCAATTTATTTTTACATGGTCCTTTGTCGTAATGTCTCAGTAAAAAGTCGTCCTAAATTATTTAATATGAATGTAAGATTAAAAATTTTTTAAATAGGATTACCATTGTTACTATTAGGAATAATTATACTTACATCTAAAGAAGTCAAACAGTACCAACAAAAAACATGTTTACATCTTTTACACATCATTTGAGCACATCCTTCATCCTTTTCAATAGGTACAGAACACATAGGACAGCACTTGATATGGTCACCATCAAATGGTATACCTAATGATAGATCTGAACAAGGACCATTATGCCAAGATTCTCTACATATAGAACAAAAATCTGTAGAGCAATTAGGACAATGAACAGGTCCAATAGGAGTTCCATTTGATCCAGTGGCATTTATTGAACATATTGTTTCACAACCTGCTCGTGGGCACCAAGCACGTGCTTTATCCATGGATACATCTGTATGTTACAGAAAATATTAGATTAAATTGAATTACTGAATCTTACAATACATAAGTTCTACACACCTCTATTCAAGCGAAATTTATGATGTTTTTCCACAAGTTCAGGACTAACAAGACTTGATATTTCCTTCATAGATAATATTGCCCCATGTTCACATTGTGCATCAGGACAACTAATTTCGTATGCACCTTCCTCAATTTCAAATTCAACATATGCTTTCATACACTATAACATTAAAATGTATTATTTCTTAAAAAATTTTGCATAAAATAAAATACACTAAATACAAATTTATACATACATCTTTACAATAGGAACAACCACAGCCCTCTATTTTAAATGTTTTGGAAATAGAAGTATCAACAAGGCATAATTTACAGAAAAGGCGTCCAAGCGTTTGTTGAGAACCTGCAGGAACAAAATTGCCTGCGGCTAAACTATAACGTGAGCTAGATGCCAATGATAACAAACTTGAACAGCGAGAACAAACTCGACTTCGATTTATAGGTCGACCTTCTAGGGCAGAAGTGCTTAAACCAACAGCAGTTTCACATTTTCTTAATACTCCAGGACCCAAACTTAACCAACTGTTACCACGTGCTTCTAAACTTGCACTACTTTCAGGTCTGAGTAATGGCGCATCCACTCCTTTTCCCAATGCAGCTCTTTCTGTTAATGAAAGATTTACAACGCTTGCTTCCTTGCGTAACAAAGGTAATCTGACTCCAGTAAGTTTATTGGACTTATCAACTTTCTTTTGATTAGTAGTGATTTTATTAGAAGGATTTACAGATGTCACAGAGCTGGTGGCAGTACCCATATCCATTAGTGGAGCTCGTCGTACGACGAGCGAATGTAAGCTGGGCATCCCCTAATTATCAATGTAAGTTTCACTAGCTGTTACAAGCAAGAGCAGTTGCCATATAATAATAAAAGATGTATATAAATCATATAACTTGAAAATGTCACACCCATAAAATGATTTGCCACTGCATATTTCAATGCACTCATTCTGACATAATTTCATAGTACTTCTCATACTTCATCATTTTCTTTACAGTTCTCAAACTTGATTTCATACATTTTGAAAGTAACTGAACAAAATATTGACTTACACTGTATTTTTTTTTTTTTTTTAAATGCTCCTACTCACTTAAATATAAATCTATTAACACGCTAAATTCTAGATTTAATTTTGCAAAAAATACACGATTCGTGATAATTACTTGGAAAAATAAATTGATAAGCCATCAAGAATATATATAGAAGCAAATTTTGTTGAAATGTAACACGACCAAGAAATATTGCTGTCTTTGAACGTTATTTATGTTGTGCTTGTCAGTTTAAGACATGTCGTAAAAGTAAGAAAACTTGCTACGTAATATCTTGCAAATATTCATTATTTAAAAACGTGCTAATCTACTCATATTTCAAATATTAATCTTCACAAACGTATACTCAATCCATTTAGATATTGTTCGATTTTATAGTTTTCTTTCTAGTTTCACGGACTTTTCTCGTACTGTGTCACTAAGTACAGCAAACAGTATGTGTACACAAATTACTGACTATTTCCGCCCCCACTTGCTTATATTTTTTTTTACAGTAACGAAAATAAAGATTATCACCGCGTTTGTATTATGATATTTGTAAAAAAATTACCGTTACTTTTTTGTAACATAATATTGCATTTCTGCAACTCACTTAACGCCTGACGCAGAGAGTAGCGATAAAATATACTGTGCAGCATGAAATTAGGAATTGTTCGATATTAAAATTTTGAACACTAGTAAATTTTTAATATAACACTTGTAATATAATTTTAAATTTTCGTACACAACAATGGAAGATAATAAGTTACTGCAACTTTGTTTATTGGTTATTTTCTGTTCATTATGATTTATATATCATCGTTACATATATATATGTATATACGTAGATAACAAATTTGAACATGCGGTAAGTTTTTAAATATTTTCATAATATTCTACTTTAGAATTATTTTATTTAATACATCTATCGATAGAAAAGAATCTTTAATGGATATGTCTTGATAAGTTTCTAAATCACAAAACTTCTACGTGAATAATAGATTTATTTTAAATATTATTTATAGTTAAGAGAATTTAAAAACACTTCAAGCTTTCTCACCAATTCATGTTCCATATTCGCTTTGCACATTGTAATTACTAAATTATTTACGTCGCAAGCAGTAATAGCAAATTAAGATATGAACTTTTACATACTACATATTCATACAATATGACATATGTACCTGTTACCTTCTAAGAGCTGTACACTAAAAAGCGGGAAATTCGATTTAAATCCACGTTATTACCGTCACATTTACTATTTCTTTTGACTTTTATATGCCTAGCATGTGTAATTATTTTTTTAAATAGGTTATATTATTTATGCTTTTTATGACAAAATTTAGGAATAATACATGGCACTTTCGAAGTATCTTATTTCCTATGAAACTTTATATTTAAACAAAATTTTATGTTTCATGAATAGGCATTGTTTTTCATTACAAACTCATGTAAAAAATGAGCAATTGTTTTATTATACAATGTTATGACACAATAGTAGTTAAAACTTAGAAATAAGGTATTAGATAATTATATTATACAATTTAGATGCAAGATCTGAATACTTAGACATGAATGTATATACTAATTCGAAGTGATTCATGATCTTTTTTTGACATCATGAAATTTATGGAGTATTTTATTATTTAATATTCAAAATTTATTACAATAGTATCAAAATTGAGCAAATTATATGTTAGCAAATCATGTCAAGCAATAATGAGAATGAACTAAATTCAATAGAAAGTTACACTGTGTAACATAAGGAAGCAACATTTATGAACACTTTCAGTGAATAATAATATCAATATCAGACTTTTAAACATTTGCATGTTTGTCCTGCAATTGTAGCAGTCTTCGTGAAAAATGAATATTAAAATAATTGTTAAAAAAAAAGTTTTGTGACTAGAATATCTTGTCTTCCTCATAAACAAAATTTGGTGACTGATACCACGTTACTGTTATAAATTATTCATGTAATGCTTTAAATGTGAAAAAGATTAAAAATATTCAGTAATTATTGTATACTATCCAATGACATATGTATAAAGAATACATTATGAAGCATGGTACAGTTCTAATATTGATTTATACAATATCATTAGTAAAGACAGGATATAAACTATATATTGTTAGTAGAAAACTAAAATTTCTATTTTCTGTCTTTATAAATTAATAAACATGAAAAAACTGACAAAAGAAATGTTAATTATAACTGTACCGCGGTTACCAGAAATCGTACGAATAATAATAATCAAACATATACTTATTACTATTCAACACGTTCATTTGTACGTGTAATCTATACACTTGTAATTTCAGTAAATATATTTTACATGTAATAGGTGTAATAAATTAGACGATAATTTAAGAAGACTGCATGAAATTTGTTTTCGTTATATATCAAGACTTATTGTAAACGTACGTTAAAAATAAAATTAAAATAATAATTAGAAAATTATTCGCACATTTTACAAAGAAATGTTGCTAGGTATACTATACTGTCCTTTTCGGGAATGTGTATCAACTGCTCGAACTGCGAAGTAATAATTATTACCTTCGGAGAACTGAAAAAAAAAAGGTTGAGATTAAAAGTGTCCCTACCATTCATAATGTTTATTAAAATAATATTTGTTCAATTTACTTGTGTAAGTGTACACGCCATAGGCAGTGGTAAAGCTCGAACATCACCAACTTTCTTCCACAACGATGTATTAGGAGGAATACCAGCAATTTCTTGGTATGCATATAACTGATAACTAGCAATATCTGCATATTTGTCGGATAAATTCATATTCCAAGACAGTACTATACCTGTATATAATTATAGTAAATTTTTTATTCTTAGCTTTCTTAATTTCAGTTATATATATCAATTTGATGTTTTTTCTAACATACCATTTGCAACTTTAGAAATTTTTAATGACGGTGCAGGGGGTGGAAGTTTCCAATGGGGATTTGTAACATAATTTCGTGTATCCGGTAATGGTGCAGGATGCTAAAACAAATAAATAAATAAATAAATAAATATAGATATAAACAAAAACAAATATTTAATACCTTGTTCAATTGTACATTTGAAGGAGCTGGTGTTGTTAAAACTCGAACCGATCCATTTGCAACTGTTGATACTCCTATAAACAACATTTATTTGCATTCATTGCTTTTATTATATTTATTGTCATTTAGATTACATACCAGTTTTATAAGTTAGAGTTGAGAATGGAGGTCTATTACACGAAGTTACTGGCCGCATCTATAATTATACATTTTTATTATGCGTAATACTACTTTTTAAAGTTCATTTTAGCAATAGTATATCATTAGTTATTTTACCGGGCTAGAATTTGGTGTTATTAATAATTGTCTTGTTGGTCCTACACCACTTTGCATTACGTATGTTAACCGAGGAGCATTCATATTATTCTGAAAAAATAAAATATAAATGTATATTTATATTAATTAAAAATGTATAAGTATTATCTGTTTACAAACCACTAAGGCAGTAGGTGTTGGTTGGCTAGCTGGCTGTACTACTCTTATACTAGGAGGTTGATTCGTTATAGCTACATTTCCAGGAATTGTTTGAATTACCCTTTGGAAGCAAGATTGTGCTAAACTTATTTGTGGTTCACTTATTGTAGTTGTAGACACTGGTGCACTGGCAGCTATAAAGTTTCAATTTTTCTTAACGCATGCTTTCATTTATTTCATATTTCACAAAAATATCTCACAAAAGTCTCAATACCTTTACTTTTCTCTTCTTCATCTGTTAGATCAATAAGATCATTTGTTCGCGTTTGTGTAATATTCGCTACAGCAGGACCTTGTCGATTTATTTGATTCGGAAGTTTTCCATTTAAAACTATAGTTTGTTGAGTCTGTTGTTGTTGTTGTTGTTGTACTGGTGACTAATAATAAATAATACATTTGTTTATTAAATAAATAAATAAAAAATAATTTTAATATAATACTTACATTTGATATAATTTGTTGAACATTAGATTGATTAGGTAATGGTAAATTATGTTGTGTATCTACAGATTTAGTAACAACTAAAGCTGCAGGAGTTATGGTAGGCATAATGTTTGAAGACTGAGTATGATTTTGCGACACCACCGGTGTTTGTGCGTTTATTGAATCTGTTCGTCTAGGAGATCTCACTTTAATACCTCTTCTTGGACTCACTGCGTTATTTGTTTCATTGTTAGGTATATTTGGCGCATTACCATTATTTGGAATTTGTAAAGCTTTCATACTGGAATTCTGTTGCAATTGTCGCAAATTTTGCATTCCATGATCCTATACAAAAGTAATACAATAAAAATAGTAACAAATTTTATAAAATTACTCTAACATAAATTATATATATGTCATGTTATACCGTTACAAAATTAACTTGTAATCCAACCGATCTATTGATTTTTATTGGTGGAACAGGCTTATCGTTATTTGCTCGCCTGTCAGCAGCGTTACGATTTAATACCATTTCAAAATCTTTGATTTGCTTAGCTAACTGCTGGCATTTTGCTCGCGTTGCTTCCTGATTTCGTTCCGAGATTCGCGCTTGCTCTCTCAATTTACCTATTTCACCGCGCATTGTAATTGTTTCAACAATCTTTTGTATTAAAAGTTCCTCTAATTCCTTAAAGAAATTATTAGCGTTAAAACATAAAAAACTTGTGTGAAATATTTGTCTAATGTATTTATATTATCAACATACTTCCTGCTTCAATTTAGGCAGTTTTTCCTTCAAATCTCTTTGAAAGAATTTATGAACATAATTAAGATTCTTAATATTTTGAGAATTATTTTCTTTTGTTGCTAATTCATCAGATAGTTCTGTAGAACCTATTTTAACTTTCTTAACAGTACCATTCATAGTGGTGCTATCAATGTCAGAATAACTACGTTTTAATGAAGGAGGAGATAATGGACACATATCTTGACTCATTTTATGATTTATAGTAACAAATTTTTCTGAATCATCACTCGATTCCAAATCGCTATCGCGATTAAGAAATTTCTCTCTTATTATTTCTTCAGCATGTTTTGCTGTTTGTCTTTTTTGCCTTCCGCTTTCCTTAACTATAACGAAAAATGTATAAAAATTCAGTAACTTACAAAAACAAATAGTTACCTATAAAAACTCAGTAATGATTTTTTTTCATTTGTATGTACCTTGCTTATCTTCTTCAGTAGAAGCTTCTTGTACTGCTAGAATCATTTTTTTCGTTCGTTTCCTTCTTCTTTGTGTATTTGCTGAAACTTCATCAGTCCTTTTATCACTGTTATCACTATTGTCCCTTACACCTGTAGCAAAACCCGATGATTCATCTTGTGACTTTACATTAAACAAGTTGTTTCTATCCAATACGGATTCAATAATGTCACTTAATTTTATTGTACTATTTGTAGCAGTTGTAGGTGAATTTTCTTTTTCTTTTTCTTTACATTTTTCATTGTCTTGAGTAACATTTACATTTTGCTCCTGAAGATCATGATCATCCGAATGAGTTAACTGATTTTTAAAAGCAACTACTTCAGTTAGATTTGTACTGTTGTTTGTATTTAACTGATCATTATGACATGTCTCATCTTTACCTGGTTCAACTGATAAATCATTTTGTATGATCCTAATTTCATTATTAGTTTTCTCATTTGTCAAATCATTTATTACTGTAGTATCCGTCGTATCAATAACATTATTTTCATTATTTTCATTATTTTCATTATTTTCATTTTCGTTTGAATTCGTATTTTGTACATCTTCTTGTGTTTTAAAAGTCTCTTCTACTTTATCATTTGTTATTTCTTCATTTATTATTACTTCATTATTTACTATCAATTCTTCTTCTAAGTTATTTGAAACACCTTTATCACTACTTTCAGATAATTCTGTACTCTGATTTACTGTTGATAACTGATCATCAGTGTTAACTTCGTTTTTCTCTGACGCACAGATGTTCTCAATATGTTCAATTTTTTTCGTATCCGTATCAGTCGTAGTTTTAATTGTTTCATCTTCATGTTGATTATCTATGTTATTCTTTTCAATACAGCTTGTGATTTCAGTTTCATTCGATGTAGATTTTACATCTACACTCAATATTTCCACTTCCTTAGAATTATCAGAAATATAAACATTTTTATCAATTGTGCTACTTATATTTATTTTATCTCTTTGTTTATTACTATCATGAGAACTCACAGATTTTTCATTGGAAGTGTTACTGGATGCACTTGCTTCAGTAACTGAAACATCATTACATTCAACATGATTAGATAATGAATTTTCCTCTGAAACCTTGATTTTATGTTGCAATTCTGAAAAGTCGTTGATACAATTAGTATCCGCCTGACTTTCTTCAGAAACAACATCATCACTGACAGTACTCTCTACTTTTCTATTAAGTAATTCATGTGATTTATCGTCATTATTTTCATTTATAATTGAACACTCACTATCCAATATATTATCCTTTTCAGTTGCCTTATTAACATTTTCACTTATAACTATGATATCATTATCAACTTCAATTTTTGAAGTATTTGTATTTGAAGAAGATGCAAAATTTTGATGATATTCAGTTGAACCATTAGATTTTTTTGTAACACAAGGTTTGAAACCTCTCTTTTGCTGCCTGTTATTATACATTGATTTGCTATACGAATTGAATTTTCCACTGCCTCTTCCTTGTTCAAAAGAAGGAAAAGTATGATTAAATCTGTTATTATAATCATGTGACTGAAGTCTGTAATGTCCCCTAGGTGTTAAATAACGATATCTATTATATGGAAAATGATTAACACCACGAAACGAGCGAGCATTAACAGAATTCATAAATCTCCATTGTGGTTCATAATTTTGTCTATGAGGCATGTGAAGTACTTGTGACCTTGTTGGTCTATTTTCATTTCTTTTGATATCCTTTGTTTGATCAGTTACTAAGTTTTCATTTATGGAAACATTACCTGAACAATCTTCTTTTTGAATTTCCTTCACAGTAATATTATTTTTCACTATGTTTTTTTCTGGGACAGGAGAAAGTTGCACATCTTCACGTTTCTCAGATCTTATTTCTATAATTCAAATAAGATAAATATATTTTTGGGATGATACAATGATTCAACAAACCAATTAGTAGACTTCTGGTCAATATTTTATTTCATAATACTTACCACTTTTACCACTTTTCGATTTATTTTCTTGATTATCTAAAGCAACTGTTAAAACATTTTCTGATTCAATTTCATCATCATCAGAGAGTCTCAGGCGTATACTATCATCTGAAAGTGCATCTTCTTCATCCCCATCATCACCTGTACCATATAAAAGCTCCTCTTCTTTCTCTTTTGATAATTCATTAATGTCATTTGTATTAATACAAGATAAGGAACTTATGGAATCAGGAGTATGTACATTATCATTTCTTAAAGTCTCCATTATAATAAAGATGAAATACTTAAGACAATGTCACAAGTTACTCATTTACTGTTTTTTAGCCTGTAAACAATTAATATAGTTAAAATTTATCTCTTTTAAATTATAATATATCAACTTTCTATATCTACATTTCATTATACATGTATACTTAATAAACATATAAAGAGTAAATACCTTCATGTGTTCATCATCATTTAATTATTTCAATTAATCAGAATAATTAAAACACATTCTAAATATATATGATAATTATTTAATATGTGATATTACACAAAAATGAATATAAACAAAACACTATAAAAACTGCCAGTTTTATTAAATGCTTCAAAATATTATTGTTTAATTTTATTTTAATAAACTTTTATTGTTATAATTTTACAAACATAACTTAACATTAAGCATTATTACATGAAAACTTTTAACTCATTAAATAAGACAAACCAAAAATGTAGTCATTATATATTTGTTTAAACAACATATTAAGTAAAGCCTAAAACACTATATATATATATAATAGTGAAAATTTTTATTTTCTAAATTTAAAAATCCGAGTTTTTGTTTGAATTAATGTTTTCCATTTAGAATTGCTACAATTAATTAAATAACTTATACATAAATATAACTTTCATTTCAATATGTAATAAAAGATTACAATTTTCTTGATAAAAATAGAAGACAAAAAAGATGGGCCCTTCGATGACGTACTAACATAAGTCGTCCCTGGCCCATAAGTACTCAACTAACAAAAATGGCGGATTGAAATTGTATTCTTAACACCTCTTATTATATTGCAAACAGCCAATATGTCCTATTACCTCCGAAATATGTTGTTACTTAAAAACAATGAAAACAAAATCAACGTTAATTTTATATTAATAATCAAAAAATTATTTTCTGGAATAAAACAGTAAGCGATTTATACTTCTGTCACCCTCGGTATTTTAAAAATGTTACTTGTATAAACAACAAACAAAAACACACAGCACGAATAGTTATAATTAATAACCGCCCTACAATAATTTATAATAAATGTAATTTAAGCTACGAAAAATTTATGTTCAGAAAGGCGGGTTTCTCGACCAGCTTGTCTATTGAGCGAATACTGCTGAACATAGGTCCCGATGTGTCCTAACGAAATTCAACGATTGCACACGAAGTCATCCAATATGGCGTTGGAGTTTAACTCCCAACAAAACTAATTCTTAACAATATAATGGATATATAAAACTAATAAATAAAATTTCTCTGTTAAAAATATACGCATAAAATGTAAAATTCTAGCTAAAAATTTCTCTCGTAAGTTTTAAGCCAAAGAAATAATCGGTATTTAAAAACTGTGAGTACTTAAGGCATCCCCACTCTTCCTCGTATCCACTCCTTCCTTCCATTTCTTTATGTTACTTAATATTTTTATTATTGCCTTTGTATTATTAACCTTATTTTCCAAATGAAAAACAGGATTTATAGCATTAATACAAATCAATAAATTTATATGTACATATATACATATAATTATATAATAAAATATATATTGAAGTTAAACAAAATTATTTAAGATTTGATTTTGAATTTTAAGGTCTGAATCAGGTACACATATAATTTATCAAAATTTTCTTGATATTTTTGTAAATTGTCATATTGAAAGTTGAATACATAACCCTACTCCTTCGGGTTTTCTGCCCAGTGACGAGGTCGACATGCGTCATACTGGTAATACAACGTTGAATTCATTGAGTGGGAGAACTGTAATACTTTCACAACTCACCATACGATTGATTTTATGGATCTATGTAGAATTTAAGAAACTAATTGTTTCGAAAGTGTTATTTTTATAATCCGCGCTTTTATGCATTGTTAAAATCATAAGCGTAATAGTAATTAAAAAAAAATGTTCTTGTTAAAGTCATGCTAATCAGTACTTGATTAAAAATAAAATTATATTTTTTAGAACAAGTTTTTAAACAATATTTTATAATTGTTTATTATATTTATTTACAGCTATATTACGTCTATTTTAAAGCTTGTTTGTATTAATGCATTAACTAAAAACATTTAAAAAATTAAATCTTTTTTTCAATTTACATAACCTTAGTATGTTGTTTAAAAGAATTATATATATACATATATGTACATGTAGAAATATTTTTGAACAGTTATAATACTAACTATGTAATATTGTTCCATCTTTAGTTATTATTAGTATTGTAATTTAGAAAACCTTTTATACAAATTATATAGTGTAATTCTTAAGCTTTTTGGTATTACTGTTTCATCGAGGTACAATATTTCGCGTACAAAAACTATGTGTACTATTTAAACGTTACAATTATGTGACGTAATAACAAAACAAATGACATCATTTATAAATAATAAGTATTAATAAAAAAATATCGTTTTGTTTAATTATAGAATGTTTTTTTTTTGAAAACAACTATCAAAATTCTTTAATCATTTGAAGAATTAATTACTTCAGTAAATGTGTAAGTGTTAATACTACATCATATCGGAATGTAAGAATATGTATTGTCAGCTTTCATTTTGTATGACAGAACAACAAAATGGCGTATCTATCCTATATAAAATGGCAGCTATTCATATATAGTATGGCATCTACAATATCTTTATATTTGGGACTTCAGGCCCAAATTCTTACATGCAAAGTAAGCGACATAACGATACAATTTCAATATTATTATTATCTTATGATAAAGTGGAATAGTATATGTCGAAATTTGATAGGAATACTTTTAGTTCATCAAGATTAATGAGATGTTAAATTATCAATTTAATTTTGAAAGAATTTATTATAAATTTTTTTGGCATCACAGTATCCTATAATTTTGGGCAGATACTTTCAATCATATACATAATAATTTGGAGCAAAAAATCAAAATAACCCATTCTTAATTTGTGACGTGCAAGGGTGCATACCGATGATGAACTTACGTTGTAGTATAATGTAGTAGTCTTCAATCAGTGATGTATATGCTTTTTGTCTTACAAAAATACGTTATATTTACAATAAATGCCAGAAACGAAGATACACTGTGATACCCGTTCATCGAGTAGCCGCAACACCGCAACCTAAACAAGCGACAAGCAATGTTGCCACTTTTCTTGACCGTTAGTATATGCAATGCTTTTAAACTTAAAGTTCAGATTACATCTACTATACCCTTGAATTGTTTATACTGAAAACGTGTCTTAAATAAATAATTTGTAAGGTATAAATTTGATTGGCAAGAATATCTCTACAAAACTATTGACCTATACAGATAGTGTAATTTACATCTCAAATTTTGTCAACGCATGCGCTATAATGTAAAATACTTTGAGAACATAAGATGTGAAGTATTCGCAAAATACTTTGTTTAAAAGTCAAAATATAGCTTTTTCACGAAAGTATCAAGTATAATTGATGATATAATATTGATAATATATACTTTAAACATTGTGTTCTCTTTAGAATTATGTATATATATATATTTCTTGCATACAATGTTAACTATGTTATGTTTCTTAAAAAATACTATTACGGATATAAAATCTATCATTTACCATAAAAAGGAAAGCTAAGGTATAAAATTTGCCATGTAATGTTTTGTAAAAGATTAAAATAAGACAAAATCATATTATTATCACTAAAATATAGGTTAAGGTGTACAAAATGATAAGTATCTCTATGAGGAAAGTGTATTAAGTTGAAAAGACCTGTATCATATGATACATGATACAAAACAAAAATTATATATTGTAAAGGAAACATATATCTTTTATAATTAGAAATGAATTATTATATTAATGTATATTTACTTGCAACACTTTTATGGAAATATTAATGGTAAATGATATTTTAATAATACATATGATAATGAATATCATTCTCTTAATGCATGTGTGTGTTGTCAACACAATATAATTGATTATTGTATTAACTTTTTATTTCTAAAAGCTATGCATACACTGTCACAACTACATCAATAAGTTTAACTTCTTATAATACATTTATTTTGTTCAGTTACATATTGCAGAGCAGCAAAACATAAATAAAGGAATATCACAAAATGTTTTACCTTTTCCGCAAAAACACAAATTATTGAATTACCCGCGCAATCTTGATGATGCATCTCAATGCATCTCAAATGTTAATAATTGTAATACAAAGTAAATGTACAAATAAATTACCCCTTTTTCGTAAGATAATTGTATTTTATCTAACAAAATTGATATAATTTTTCTACATAAAAAATAAAAATGTATGTAGTTCAGCATAAAACTTTGTAGATAAAGTATATCGATTAGTAATGTTATTTATAAATTAGTATTACATTAGCAGCTTCCCTTATTATTTCACACCTAATTTTATACATGTTATTATGTATTTACAATTATTAAATTCTCTATCTTGAGAATCAGCCTTACAAAGAAAAATTAAAAATATTCACGTCAACATACAAGATAGATTAATATACAGTATTTTACCTTTTATTCTAATTTTTAGTAAATATTTTGTTCAAAATCTGTTTTAAATAAATTTAAAAAAATGTATAGCTTTAGTATTCAACATGCAATACTAAAAAGAAAGTAGAAGTACGGTATTCGAGAGGTTATAAAAAAATACTAAAATTCTTTTTATTAACCATAATGTATCATAAAGTGATGATATATTGACAAGTGAGAAATACAATTGGTACTCATAGAAAGCCGGTATAAGGTTGCAAAATATACTTCAATGCATTCTACAAGAATGGTGGAAGAAAGTGTAATTGGAAAGATGTGCGAAGAAGGGAATATTTGTTTGTTGTTTCGGAAAAGTTGAATATAATTAACGAAATCGTTCTAAACACGTGCCGAATTGTACAATTTTCTATAAAGTATATCAGTTAGATTGAAATCTAACACGTCCGCATGCGTATTAATTACTTCTTTTTGCAAACTCGATCGAAATACATTATCCGACAGGAGAGCACTCTTTGGGCTCCAGAGGAAAGAAAAGTTGTTGTAATGGCTGCCGTGTCATGAAATGAAGGTGCCGAGCCAGTTTTGTGGTTCCACGATGGAGGACAACTCCAGTTCTGCATCTCAAAATCATAATGGACAATTATCTAGTGGTTCAAATGTTTCACTGACAAATAAACATCAGGGCAATGACAATGGTAGCAATGGCGATGCTAAGGATAAACGACCACAATACTCTATGCCTGGCGTTCTACATTTTATTCAACACGAATGGGCTCGCTTTGAACTTGAAAGATCACAGTGGGAACTTGATAGAGCAGAATTCCAGGTATAAATTTAATTTCTTTTAAATATTGTCAATATTTAGTAATATATCTTTCTTTAATATACCTTCTTCATATTGTCATTTCATCTGTCATGTGACAAGAACATTGTAAAGCTATGATTAATTTAAAAACATAAAACATTACACAGTGTAATATGTAAATAGGTATATTTAATTTCAGAAATTAATTTAATTTAATGTATGTTTCATAAGAATATTTTGTGTAATGTAATATTGTACCTTGAATTCTTGGAAATGTCAATGTATTATTGTGTTAGATACTGTCATATTTGGATTAAATTTATAGATAAGAGTTTTATATAATACATTTATAAATTTTGTGTACTTTACATTTAAGTTATTAAACGGTGGCAATTATTTTAATTGTTTGTGTAATCAATAATAGCATAAAATGTATAGAAAGTTATGATATGTAATTCAATTAACATTACATTCAATAATATGAGTGTAATTCAAATAAAAGTATTATTCGAAGCAAATATGTTTAAATAAAAAAATCTGTACGATAACATTCCTAATAAATGCAAAGATAAAGGTGAAAATTTTATGATTTTTTTATAGGCTAGGATAGCTTTTTTACAAGGTGAAAGGAAAGGTCAAGAAAAATTGAAAAATGACTTAGTAAGAAGAATAAAAATGTTAGAATATGCACTTAAACAAGAACGGTAAGATTTTTTTCAGCCATAATTATTAAAAGAACATAACTATTTTTTTGTTACATAATTATTTTCATTATTTTTATAGAGCAAGGTATCACAAATTAAAATATGGCACTGATTTGGTAATACCAGGAGATGTAAAACCTCCTATTTATGAAGAAGGTAGTAGTACTTGTGCTAATTCTGATGTTGGAGGCGGTGGAGATGGTGAAGCTCCCTTTACATCTGTTAGTAACATTAGTTGGAGACAAGGGCGTCAAATTTTAAGACAGTAAGTAAAATATATTTTATAAAAGTATTGAGTAAATTTGTTTTTGTTACAACCTGTACATTTTATCTTAGATACTTACAAGAAATTGGTTATACTGATACAATAATAGATGTACGATCAAACAGAGTTAGATCATTACTTGGTTTAAACAATAACACAGATTCAGAAGATTTGAATACTCCTGCATTAAATGGCAATGAACCATCAAATAAGCAAACAAATGAAAATAGTGTTCGTAGAGTTCCAGGAAAAAAGGTAGAGGTAAATAAGTTTATTTGATTTTTTTTTTTTTATTATTATACATTTATAGTTTTTATTGTTAAAATTATTTTACAAAGTTTCATTACAATTTCTGAGATTTTTAAAAATATTTATTTAATTTTAGTCAATCAAATGTATTGAAACTATTAATATACAGTGACAGTGACATGTTCTTTATACTGCAATGTTTTTATGCTGGCAGCAACCATCTTCTATAGCAGAAGCAATAATATTAGATACAGAAGCAGCTGTAATGGCGAATTTTGAATTTCTGGCTCATACAGATATGGATATGGAAGAAGAAGAAGAGGATGTAGAAGATGACACTTATGATACAAATATGGATCCTAAACCAAATAAAGTAACAAACATTTTCATCTTGTATAACAAATTTTGTTGCTTAGTTCTTCCCAATAAATAATTAACACACATTTTTTACCATTATTTATTTTCAGCCATCTATTCTTTTAACAGAAGATGTTGATGCAGAAGCTGAAGAAGTATTAAATGAATTAAATCTTCTCACAGAAATTGAAGAATCACCACCAGGTTCTATTCATTTGGAGATAGATTCGTCGGAATGGAGTTAGTATCAAGCACATGTAACTTTGTACATAGTTTAATAGTATTTCTAATATTTAATAACTTTGCAGATGCAATTCATAGAGGTTTACAATCAGATCCAAAGCGTCCAAATAAAGAAGGTGATTCTGCATTGGAATTGGGTGAATTGGAGCAGTTGTGTGTTAACAATGAGGCGGAAACATCATACGATGTAAGTTCTATTACTGTTTATGTCATTGTTACTAATGTACATAGGCGTCGAAGTCTGTGAAAAATAAGAACTACGGCACTGACTCTTGAACCCGGTACACCGCCACAGCCCGCTAACATCCTAATTATTTTCATGATTCTCCATGTTGGGTCTGGAGGTTTCGACCTCGTATATTCAAATTCAATTCCATCTGTATTATGATAAATATTTAAAACATATATTTTCACATAGATGGTAGCTACTACAAAAGAGACCTTAAGAAAAACATGGAATGCAAAATATACATTACGTTCTCATTTTGATGCTGTTCGAGCTCTTGTCTTCCATCCCACTGAACCTGTTCTTATAACTGCAAGTGATGATCATACACTAAAATTATGGAACCTTCATAAGACTTTACCAGCAAAGAAGTAGGTTATTTAAATTCAGAAATTTATTATCTATTTATTTATTTGTTTTTTTTCTTGTTGTATGTATTGACATTTATTTACATAGTATTCTTTTTTTATTTCAGGTCAGCTTCATTAGATGTAGAACCATTATATACGTTTAGATCTCACAGAGGTCCTGTATTGTGTTTAGCCATGTATGGAAGCAGTCATTGCTACAGTGGTGGCTTAGATGGTATGATTTACTGTTGGGCACTTCCATCGGCGAACGTAGATCCCTATGAAACATACGAACCAAGTGTCCTTCAGAACAGATTAAGAGGGCACACAAGCGCAGTTTGGGGTTTAAGTATGTGCGAATCTCGATCGCAATTGTTATCGCTTAGTGCTGATGGAACTGTAAAATTATGGAGCCCAGAAAGTCAGTCACCACTACTTCATACGTATGTTTCTGAACAAGGTGCGTGCATTACACGTAAATCTTGTTTATGTATACATATATTTGATTGATGTATATATTAATTTTGAAAAATTACATATATGTATATATAAATATTCTTATATAAATGTTTTTACAGATGGCATACCAACGTCAGTAGATTTTATTAGAGACGAGTCGCATAAATTAGTTGTAGCTTATGAAGGAGCTTGTGTGGTATTTGATACAGAAACGGGTGAAAGCGTAGCTCGTCTTGAGGCTAATGAAACAAAGGGAGTAAATCGTGTTGTGGCGCATCCTACATTACCACTTGTTGTCGCGGCCCACGAAGATAGACACATTCGATTTTATGACCATCGATCAGCTACTCTTGCCCATGCCATGGTTGCTCATTTGGATGCCGTAACTAGTCTTGCAGTAGATCCTCACGGTTTATATTTACTTTCAGGAAGTAAGTAATGATAAGATAAATAAAAATATGAAAAGTAAGTACCGATATACTATGAATCATATAAATACCAGTTTTTTACTTTCAGGTCATGATTGCAGTATAAGATTATGGAATATGGATAATAAGACTTGTGTTCAAGAAATAACAGCACATCGTAAGAAGTTTGACGAAAGTATTTTAGATGTAGCATTTCATCCTTCGCGACCTTTTATAGCAAGTGCAGGAGCTGATGCTCTTGCTAAAGTGTATGTGTGAGATGTAAATTAAGATACGCATTTCTACTATCAACATACAACAGACGGAACAGATTTTGTACTCATTCTTTCTAGATAGTTTTACTTGTACGTGTCACACTTCCAATTTTGTTGTTATTTAAATATAAAACAAATCAGACGCATAGATATCTCTCTTATACATTCGAAATTTGCACATAACCCTTGTCCGCGTCAATTTATTAAGACAGTGATTTTAAATATAAATACTGCTTACTGATGAGATCTTCATTAAGTAAGTACCATTAATTGGGATAGCGGAAGGGGTCTGTCTTGTAGAATATTAGTTGATATAGTTCTGATTATTAGATAAAGAAATACCCCTTACCCAAAATCCAGGAAGCACACTGCCGCAGTAGCATAATATTTATCCCTATGTTAACTATTTATTACCAATATTACAGTTACTGTTGCACAGCTACTGGAGATTAGTACATACTACTCAAGGATAAACTTGTCCTATATCAATTAGTCTCCCATTATATGATTTCTATGCTACCTTATATATTTATCAAGGTCAGCATATAGTAACAAGAAAAGCAACAACAACAATAATAATCATAAGTTAATTATAATATAAGAGACATAATATTAATAACAGTAAATTATAACTGTGTGTTTCTCTGTAATATATTGTATTTAAAAATAGATGAACTGTGTAACGTACTATAATGAATATGTTTTTATTAAAATTCAATTCCATTTCTGTTATTTTTCCTACCCCAAGTCCCTCTCCACTATGCATGTATGTGTGGGTGTGTGTGGAAGTATGTAAGGAGTGAATACAGATACAGGAAGACAACATACTTTGTTCCTGTTGGGGCACGATTTTGGGGGTGCGACCCCCGGTATCGGCTACATGAAAAGTACGCGAGATGGGCACCTGTGTGCCAGGCGTGGAAGGCCCCGGAGTAATATACATAAGGTTCTGGAGCCCTCCTTTAGCGCCAGTATCGGTCGCCGCGGGGTTTTAGTCAGTAGGAATCGAACACTCCCCCGCCGGCTTCTCTCAGGGGACGGTGGGGGGTCTTATGCAAGATCTCTTCGCGTTAATAAAAAAAAATATCTGCAGACACTGATTAAAGTAAAGGTAGTCGGTTGCGGGACCATCCTCAACCGTTCGACACTGAAATGAAGTGAAATCCCCTCGTACGAGGGGTACGAGCCTACCTGTTAAACATACATATACTCTTATTTTATTTTCTGCGTTTATTTAACTTGCTGTACTTATCTTCTTGGCTTATTAAATAAATTCATTTGAAGGATAAAGGTGTTGCTTTTATTGTTCCTATGTGCCTTGCCTATTATTTTGTCCTTTTACTTATTATTTTACCGATACTATATCCCTTACATCTCTGCATTCCTCGTACCCCTGCTTTTATTATATCTCTGCATCCCTTACATCTTTGCACTCCCTACATGCTTGCATCCCTTACATCACAGTAACCCTTGTATCCTTGCACTACTCCCTCTAACGGCAAAAATTCCAACTAAAATTCGCTCGTCGAAACAGCGCCCTCTGGTGGCAAAAATTTCAACTAACGTTCGTGCGGCGAAACAGCGCCCTTTGACGGTAAAAATCGGAACTAAATTCACGATTTCTCGATCTTCGATGAGGTACGGTGGTACAAGAATGTAAGGGGTGCAGAGATGTAAGGGATGCAGGGATGTAAGGGATACACAGATTTAAAGGATGCAGGGACGTAAGAGAACACAGATTTAAAGGATGCCATGATATGAGGAATACACAGGTTTAAAGGTTGCATGGATGTAGATACAGGTTGCCGGCATATAAGGGGTAGGAAGGAATTTTAGGAAGGCGAAGTAAGGAAATTTGCGGTTAGAAATTTACTGCTAGTATCAGGATCACAGAATATGCGAAGAGGTGGCACGATTCTTGCGATAGCGAGAATGCATGTTTTCTTTTTATTTTTACGTGGTGGAAATCTAAAAGACGCCCGTCGCACCCTCGGGAGAGGGACGACGGATAGTGGGATTTTTATCCACTAAAACCACCACGTGACTTTTATTGCTCGCACGTTTTGTGCACTTGACTGTACCTTTCCCGGGGGAGGTATAAAGTCGGACCCCCCCGCCCTAAATTGCCATCTTCGTGGTCGCGTGTAATGTCGTCCGGAATCTCCGTTTCGGATGCCAATGACCCGAAACAAGGGATATAAAGGATAGGAATTATGGGAATACAGGACACTTGGGTTGCACCCACAAAATTGTCGCAATTACAGAAAGGACATTAAGTAAATTAAATAATACAAGTTTGTCTTACAATTACTTCAATGTTTTGGTCTTGGACTAGTTTTGATTAATTTATAAAGATAGAGATAGAGTCACAGAGTCAAAGATATCTTTTCCGTTGATAATGCGAGGTGCGTTAAAAGTGAGATTGGTAAAACAGGCACAAATGTAATACCAACCGTGCTAAACACACCTAGGGGTGTCTGGGACCCCTTCAGTCGCGACCCCTCGAGGGAAAGGGATGTCTGATTGTTTTATATCTGTAGTCACTGCACTGACGTAGGCTTGTGTAGGTGTGTGCACCTATACATACATTAATTATATCTAAAAGTTATTTAAATTTTAAACATACATTTCGTAAGTAAACTTACAAATGATGAAATTTGTAACATAAAGAAGTGCACATAAACAATATAAGCTATTATATCTTTTGAATTAAATTAGTTATATAATAAAATAAGATACTAAAAAGAATAATACTTAATTTATGTTATATTGTACATAAATATATGTAAAATTTCATATTTTATTTATGACATTGTTATTGCTAATTTCTTTGAAATATAATTTTTAAGATATCAGTAACTTATATTTATACATATGTAACGCCCTTTGGATATCCAATCGAAATACAGCAAACGCTATCACACTAAACATCTATAAATTGCTATCACGATGATCAGCTGAGTTGATATTCGTAGTGCAACTGTTATAAGATTGCAAAAAATGTTCATTGTGACTAAAATTACAAAATTATAAAATATAATTGTTATAAAGAATAATAAATTACAGTAAATTGCATGTTTTTAAATGATTTTAAATTTAATTACACTTAAAAAGTAATTACAGTTTGCTAATCAAACTGTAGTTCACACCCTATTAAGTTTTCATGTTTTGGTAAAGTGTACGACTCTTTCTTTATGAAAGAAATAACATTACTTTGTCAATAAGATAATGCTATGCGAGCCAAATTTGGTTAAATAGGTTATGTGATTATGTTGTTTGAAGTGTACCTACAATTTTTACGTATAAATATCAAAGCTATTTAATATGTTTATCACGCTTTATAAGCGTCAGTATTAGTTTAATAATTAAGAATGGAACGAAATGGCGCGAGAGAAATGGAAGAACGAATATGCATAAGAAGTAGTGGGAAAGCTTTGAAGAAATATGGTAGTACAGCCAAGCATATTACACGAACTGAAAACCTAATAAAACACACTGTATCAGCAACTGATACCCTTCAAGGAATTGCTCTAAAATATGGAGTTACAGTAAGAATTCATTATTTTATTTTATTTTATTTTATTTTATATATTAATGATAATAAAGATAATAGGTGTTACAAGTTTGATATTTTACATTTTTTGTAGACTGAACAAATAAGAAGAGTTAATAGATTATGGGCTTCTGATAGTTTATTTCTAAGAGAACATTTACTTATTCCTGTTAGTCCAGAAAGCCCACTGTCATTACCAATGGACAATACTAATGAAATTGAACATAGCGGAGTTCAAAATGTAACTATTGTTTAAAGTAACTAATTAATAAGTTGTTATTTAGTATTATTTCAATTTTAATAATTTTCTTTTAGGTGTCTAGTCCATCTTCGGTAACATCGTCTATAGATGATGATCATTCGATTAATGACTTTTTAGCTAAAATGGATAATTCTATAGCCAGTGTTAAAAGAGAAGTTAAACGTACTCAGGGGAATAGTGAGTAAGTTATTTACCACTAATTAAATAATTATATTTTGGGCTTTTTATTATCAACAGCCTAATTATATAAATTTATTGAAATATTACATTTTAGATTTTGCACAGATAATGATATTTATATACAGCAACATAGAGCATCCGCTAAATTACGTAATTCACTTCCTGTGACTTCAAGTACATATACAACACCGTCTACTTCAGAACCATTAAGATCATCATCTTCTAGCGATATGCATAACTTTCCAACTGCTGTAGTTATGACTCAGGGTAGGAAAGTAAAGACATCATTACAGAGACTTCAACAACAACAAGATGAAATATTCCAATTGTAGCAGCTAAATTTGATTAGACTGTAATATGTTACAAGTTAGCAGCATCATTAAAACATTTGAGAAAAAGGTATATTAATACTGAATAATGTACTGGAATCAGTAGAAGGCTATTTCATGTTTGAAATTTGTTGCTCCGGTGTTAATGTAAGTTACATTCATTGTTTTTCATAAACTTTATATTATATTTTCATTATATTCTAATTGAAAATATTTACAGAGAACAATACTGACCATTTCTATTCTGTAGTCTCAGTACTATGAACAATGAATCAATTAGCTCTCATATTGTCCATGCATATTTTTAAAATATTTCCAAACGTATGTCTTAGTAAACCATATGTGCCTTTGATCCAAATTAATTGTGTTCTCTTGTCTCTTTACTGTTACTTTTTAATTTAACATTTTGAGCTATCTATTTAATGTCCTTTTTGAATGATTTCTATGAATTAGAATTTTCTTTTGAGTAACAAAATTTAAATACAATTTAATTTCTTTGATATTCTATTATACAACTCATTTTTCTAAATCATTATCTTGTCTTCCTAATAGAATATTCTCAATATTATTTCTTTATATAATTTATTTTACTTTTAAGCAGATCAAACGCCAAACTAGGCAAATAAATGCAGCTTTGATAACAAATTCTTAAATATGTTAATAAAAATGATCCATTTAAATATCTGAAATATTAAAAATAACTATAGGTTATAATAAAAAATAATATTAAATTTATTCATAATTAATGTCAGTGCTCAATTCTTAGTTTTATCTTTATAATAAATAATTTTGTGATTTGTAGCAACGATTTATATTGAAAAATTTAATGGAACAAAAAATGATTTATACATATTGCACAAATCATTTCAATATAAATTTATAATAATTATGAATACATTCGTGAAATTAATTTTAAAATATTTAAAGTAAAAGTTTTTGCTTCTACTAGCAATAAAATTTCCAAATCAGTTTACATTCATTGTGGAAAATATTCCATTTTTAAGAGATAGAAAATACTAAGTTAATTTAGTACACGTTGCATGTAATTATTTTTAGAGTTATATAAATTTACTGTTGATACAGTTAATAAAGATTTTATGAAAGGAAAGATAGTACCTGTTAATACTGTCTACATTCAATATTTTGTTTATTAGTATATTAATAATGTTATTTGCTGATATTATATATGTACACAGTTTTAGTATTGTTATGTTGTTTACATTATGTTAAATTTAATAAAATTATATATTTTATGGAAAGTGTATTAAAAATTCAACTATGAGTTTAATGAACAAATAATAAATTTACTTTAAAATAATGTAAGATAATTGTAGAAAGTATAAAGTTTGTATTAAACAATGTTACATGGTCTAACTTACATTTCTACATGTTATGAATTCATAACAATTAATTCAAATCAGTTTTAATGCTATGCATTAATGATTTATTGTAAATATATTAAAAGTAAGAAATATTTTGCGCATATTATATGATTTACTAATTGAAGTATAAAACAACAATTGTTGAGTATATAAAATGTACACAATCAATTTTTATATTGAGTGTGCACGCGTCTGTACATGTACATACTCAATATTTAACTACTATGTATACATGTAAAATAAATATTACTTGCTGGTAAAGTAATTTACATTTAAATATGCAATAAAGAACATTATTGTCATAATTCTTTGTTTATTGTAATAAGGCTTAATGTCTAGTATGTTTACTTGTGTTTATGTACCTTATTATATTACAAAAGTTTCTTTACAATTGTGAATTTATATATAACTTATTGTATGTTTCACTTCTAGTTATTTCTAAAATACTTTGAACAATGGTTTTAGTTATATAACAAAACTGTTTTATTTAGTATCATATACAATATCTACTTTGCTGTTAATTATTCTAATAGGATGTGTTACAAATTTGTTGCAATCACATCTTAATACATTTATAAAATTGAATGAACCTATGCGATTATTACAGTGTGAACAATGAAGTCTACCTTTTGTCCAAGATTCCTGTAGATAATATATTATTTTATATGGATTTCTATTTCCATTAATGGAAATATTTATCATACTAAGTAATACTTGGAAGTAAAATAAATACATTGTTAAGATAATTTACAACTGTACCTGATTTACAACTTGTTCAATCCATCCTGGCATTCTGTCTATTGATATGTATGAACAAGGTTCTGGATTATTTGTTATACACCCTACATTCATAAGACTTCTTTTTATTTCACCATGAGAAGTTAATAATTCTACTGATGCTTCATTAAAAAGGTCCTTTCTGCAATGTTTACACCTTACCTCCATTACCTATTTATGAAAAATTGTAAAAGAGAACACCTTTTAATATTCTTCTTATTTAGCTATTTTGATAAATATTAATGGTTAATATAAATAACATTTATTTAAATAGAAATTATTGAATTTAGACTAATTATAGTATAATTAAAAGTACAAAATTGATGTAAGTTTGACGTTAAAATAAAGTTATAGAGGTTATAATGTCCGTCCCTCAGACTTGCTCAGATTACAGCATTGCGCCGTCTATTCAAAAACGGTGGAAACTACTCGACAATTTGTCGACTGATATTCTGAAACTAGTATAGAGATTAAGTTGATAAGATGCTCATTACTTCATCAAAGACTTCATAATAAACCCTTCATCTAGTGTAGTATTAGTGATATATTGAAGCAATCTGCTGTTACCGTCTGCTTGCGTTAGAATGTTGCAGTGCAAAGTGTTTCATATTTTTATACTAGGAAAAAGCAGATAGCGCTCGTTCTTGAGGCACAAATTCAAGACAACAAAGGCATATGTCCAGTCTTGTTGGATCTGTACAGATCTATAGTTATTGTATACAGTTCTGATAGAATTGGGTGTTTATAAAAGTTATTTGTAATAATGGGGCGAACTGTATATGCCGAGGATCGTCTTCATACTTACCTAATATCTTTAGCAAAACCAGATGAATATACAATAGGATTAATTTTAGGACAGGTTCGAATTTTGTATGTTTCAATTTGATGTCAACTCACCTAACATATGTACATACCTGTTAACCAGTACAGTTTAACATTATTTCGTGTACACGATATTTTTAAGAAATGTTTACTAATTTGTTTACGAAATTATATATTTAGATATAAGTTTTAAGGAAATTCAGTTTTAAAGTTGATTTCTACCATTACATTGTAACAGAGTGCTGGACAAAAGGATTATATTGTACACTTAGCAAAAACACCACCTCCACTGGGTAAAAATGTAGTGGAAGAAACATTAATTAGTCCTGCAACCAATGCTCATCAAGGATCCACTGATAGCTACATTAAATCAGTAAAAGATATACCTGAGAATTGGGTTGCAGATCATGCAAAACATGTACGTTAATGTAACATATATGCCACCTACTATTTTTATATTAATACTTTAATATTGTTTATAGGTCACAAGAATGCTACCTGGTGGGATGCAAGTTCTTGGTATATTTATTGTTGGTCCAGAAGATACCATAAATAATAATACTTATGTACAAAAATTTAGGTCTGTTCTGACAGCAATTCAGAAAAATTTGTCACAAAATAAATATCTCTGTGGAAATAGTAATGATGAGAATTTGATCTTATGTTTAAACAGCATTACACAAAAGTATGATGGATTGTAATATGTTTATAATAATTATTCTGTCTCTAATATAAAATTTAATATTTTCAGGTATACTTGTAAATCTGTAGAAACCAATAAGACTGGAATGTTAAAACCAACAGAATGGAAATTTCAAGCAAAACCAACCAAGTGGCATCAACTTGAAGCTCTCATTGATTTTGATCGTTTATTTCTTATTGCAGCTGATACAGATCCACAAACTCTTAAGAACCAGCTACAAGTATTGACTGTTCAAAAGATATTAATACATTATTTTTATGAGAAACGAGTACATATAATTCAATTTTACAGGATATTTTAAAAGATGTATCAGACAGCATTGAATCTTCTCTTATTGTTATTGAAGGTGAAGTTAGAACACCGGAAGATAAATTGGAAGTAATTAGTAAAAGCAAGAAAAATGATAAAGAATGTAAAAACAGTGAAAAAAATGCTAATAATAAATTAATTCAAGTTGACTTATACATTCCATGCGTAAGTAGTTGTATTTACAAAAAATTAATGTTACAACTTTTTTTTAGTGTTATTTAGTAACTTTCTAAACATTAGTAGTAACAGTATTTTTACCAAATGCATTAAAATTACATTATAACTCGTTAAATAGATGTAACACAATTTATTTTGTGGATTATTAGCAAGAGAAAAATATTAACTCGGATGTAAGGATAACACCGTGCAGTGCATCGATACGACTTGTGGGACAGTTAGTGAGTAGAACTTTTGTTCATCAAAAAGCAAATGTCGAAGAAGCTAGCACTGCGATAAAACAAGACATAATAAGATCACTAGCAAGTAGATTAGAAATGCATTGGGATAGTTTAATTGAAGAAGAAAATGGATCTCCAGAAGGTGCTTATCGCAATATATAAGTATAAAAAATCCATGATATATTTATTATTTTCGTATCCTATTTCAGAAAATATAACGTTACACGAACCTCCAAGAAGGGTATTAATAGTGTTACCAGAAAGTAAAATAACATTATCGGATTACTTATTTCCTGGTGAAGGTCCTCAAGAAGCCCTCTTATCATTGCAAGAACTTCTTGATTTAGAGGTTCAAGAAAGTAATGTTCAAAAAGATATAGAGCTCCAAGCTGGTAGGTATTATACATGGTGTCCCGTAATTCTTCTAACTCCCGGAAATGGGGGGTTGCTGGGGTGATTCTGAACAACATTTTCCTTTACCAAAATGTCGTTTAAAGCTTGGTTTTTGAGTTATTAACGAAAAACACTGGCCAATCAGAGCGCGCGCTGAACCACGAGAGCGTTGGCTTTCGGCCGCGCTCGGTCGTGGTCGTGAACAAACGCATTGGCACAGCGTGGGTATCAAGGGAAGCGTGCGATAAATTCGTTATTCATGAATAACAAATAATTCCGCATTGTTCTTAATTTAAGACGATGTAACATTTATCGCACGCTTCCCTTGATATCCACGCTGTGCCAATGCGTTTGTTCACGACCACGACCGAGCGCAGCCGAAAGCCAACGCTCTCGAGGTTCAGCGCGCGCTCTGATTGGCCAGTGGTTTTCGTTAATAACTCAAAAACGAAGCTTCAAACGACTTTTTGGTAAAGGAAAATGTTGTTCAGAATCACCCCAGCAACCCCCCATTTCCGGGAGTTACAGGAATTACGGGACACCCTATACAGTTAATATAGGACGACTAATTATATATTTCGATCACTATATTATTAATTCATCATAGATCCTACGGAATTTTACTGTCAAAGTGAAACTGACATGAAACCAACAGATCTTGGTAAAGATTCGTCCGGACATTATAAAACTAAAATATATATCGCAGGTTTTAGTATTGCAATCTTAGTTGTGATTCTTTCTATCATAATACATAATTTTATTAATATAAAATCGGATCTATAAAAGATATGAGTTTATGTTTTACTTTAATACGGGAAGTATAGAAGAAAATTTATGGTAACAGAGGGTGAGTAACAATATTATTGTGATCAACGCATTGTTTGTAAATTATTATATAAAAGTATTAAATTATTGATATATATTATAAATGTTCTAAGCATGTTTTTAATCACGAAAAGTAAAATCATATTAATTATTTTATTCCACTATTTTGTCATAATTAAATATTTTTGTAAATGAATACATGTAGTGTGTAAAACAAACGATCGAATAAAAATTTTCTTTATGTGAAAGGCTGTTTAGGTAGGTGTAATTTGACGTAACACGTTAATATATTTTTAACTTTAGTATATTATTTTAATATAATAACATCTACACAATATATACACAATATATAGTATCATACACGCATATTATGTACAAAAAGGCTCTCAAAATCAATATAATGGCAAATCTTATAAGATAAAATGACAATTAGCAATGTCGTTTCTTTTTTTTTACAATAATTATATAAATAATGTTTATCTTCCTGATTATATTAAATTAAATAATGACATGCAACGTCGATAGACGAGTTATCCGTAAACTAGGCAGTGGTACTTATATTTTTTAAATGCTTGGTACAATTCACATTCCCTTAACAAATTTTTTAAATACTTGCAAACCTGTACTAAAAATTAGGAAAATTTCTGTATTTACAAAATTCTTTACACTGTACATAGCAAATAGAATAAAAGAATGTAATATTTTACCAATGTAAAAAATTAAAATGAAGTAATAGTATTCAATAATCGATAATAAAATCGAAGAATTTCTTTTACTTATAATTTTTCAATATTCCAAAATCATCGTTTTCATACGTTTTAAATGCATACAAATATTTTCTAATGATATCATTTGTGCATATGTGTAATTAAATTGATATTCAATCAGAGATATTCATGAAAACTTAAGTGCAAAATTGATTTCAGTTGGAAGTGAAGCTTGTTAGTTTAGCATATTTTGTTATAAGAATTAAAGAATTGGAGCATGTGTTAACAAAAGAGAAAAAATGTATAAATTCGTATTAGAACAATTAAGTAGTACAACTTCCTTAACCCAACGTACTTTTGTATAGTTATTTATAATATTAGGAGTATCATAGTACGGTGAATCACCACATTTTTATAATCTTTTGTTTATACATAACTATTACACTGCAAGTAGAGACTATTCTCATTTACTAACTTCATATAATGAAGAAAATTGATGCGAATGGCTGGAATGGAATTAACAATGATAAATGTATCCAGTAAATAGTGCAGATCAAAAGAAGTCGATAATCAAACCCTTGATTAATTTGGAATTCAAATGAAGTTATAAAAATTCACTACAAAACCAAATGAGAGCTATTAATATTGTACACTTATGTCATAAATTATATAATAAATATTTAGTTTCAAACAAAGTATAGAATTTAATCTGCACTATTTCGAATAAGCGTCAATAATTTTAAACGTTGATGAATCTAACTAGATAAAAAGTATAAGTTTAATAATTATACTGCTCCCATTTTTATAAGCCCTGCTTGGCTTCCCCTACCAACACTCGCCTCTTCCAACGAATCTAAGTCTAAAGCAGATTCTATCATGGTTGTATCTTGTAACAATCTAAGTCTAGATGCAGACAAAGGTGTTGTTACAGTTACCGAAGGTATAGAGGACGTATCCAACGTGGACGAAACCACGACACTCTGACGAGGAGGTAGCGGGGCAATTTCGTCGATATCAATTGGAGCTATATTAAGTGACGCTAGTGGTACTTCATTGGTAACAAGTTGGCTCACGCTGTTCGTGGTGCTACCTAAAAACAAATTTCTAACAATAATCAAATTATCTAAATGAATTTGATATTATATAAATTTCATGTACAGTGTACAAAAATTATTAGAACTTCAATAATAATTGGCATTAAACTTCAATGAAAAGCCGTTATAAACGCTCATTAGCAACAAAAACTATATTATGCAACTTATTACAAAAGTGCAGCATTGGCTGTGTATCTTTGTTGCATAAACAGATAAACTGAAACTACGCTACAATCAAATAAATATCCCAGGCATTGATGCGTCACATGAATACATTTTCCATGTGTACACGTGTCGAATTGAAATAATAAAAAATTATTGCATAGTGATTGTTGTACAACGTATGGCAATTTCTATACTAACATACAGATATATAAAATTATAAAAAATATATCCCTTTAAATTTATACATTAAATATGTGTGTATTTGTTTGTACATATACAAAAATATGTATATTTATATACATGTTGTATTTTCACAATCCCGGCGCCCATAATAATGATCCAGATAAATATAAACTAATAAATTAGTCACAATCCATAAACCCTTGAACTGATATAACATTCTAAAATTAGTGTCTTTAAAAGTGTAAAAATACACGTCGAGTGTAAAGTGTTTATTGACAGCTATTATTAAATACCAATTCATTCATATTAAACATACACACAATAATGAATGGAATAAAACAAAATAAACTTACCAAACGGTATGCTCTGAGCCCTCGATAACAGGACGTAATTTTAAACAACAAAGAAATACAATTTATTCAATCATGTAGAAATATGACTAAACAATAAAGAATGTAAATTTATGCAACCTATTAATGGATCCGATCTATATCCAGATCAATTTCTTTACCATATTAAAGATTAGTATAATGACATAATTTACTGAATTAAATATACCATGTTCTACTAATGCAGCTGTACTATAAAAGCAAATAACTATGTTCACATATTAGTATTAAAAATTGCAATGAAATTAATAGTTCAGTCCTTTTTTTCAGTCAAGATATATACCATAATAACAAGGATATTAACATCTCTCTTCTTCGTTTCTTAAGAAAAAATATCCATGAGCTCAGTACCAAATTGAACAGTCAAAAAATAAATAAATCTCTGCTGATAACAATCAAATTCAACTTGAATGTATCTCATTCATAAAGATATAGCACGAGAAAACATGAACATGATAATAATAATTACCTTTTGTTAATGTTATTAATATATGTATATTAACTTACATATCATTATCTTTACTAATATGTATATACATACTAAAAAGTTTGTATATTGTAAGCTTCTAATAATGAACAATCGAAACATCAAAACTTATTTTAATTTCAACACGCTAAAAGAATTTTTCCTAACAAATACGCTATGGCCGTTTATTTAAGTTTCGTTTCAATATATTATATTGTTATTTTAAAAAAATGCAATTATTATGAAAAATATTAAATATCATCGTTATCGCTCATTGAACTCATAATAAATCTACGATTTAAAAGATCTTCTTCAGTACTGTCGCTAGGACATAGAGAATTTTCCGCATAAGAGAAAGTATTGGTCAATGGCCCTGAACCGAATCTGTTAACTGCAAGTCCAATCGCATTTTGTCCAATAATTGGCATCCCCCCTGCCCCTAATATTCGTGACATTACAACAGTTGGCAAGAGATTCTTTGATATCGGATATTTTAAACCATGAACAGTGCATCTCAGGTTATTATACTTGAGAGTTTGTTGGGATTGAGAAATTCGTAATGGATCTTCTGAATAACATTGGGGAAATTTTTGAAGGTCGGTGTAAATACTTTTATCGTCGATTTTATGACGTATCGGATCTTCGGAATATCTTTGCGGATACTTCTGAAGATCGATACCATATTTCTGATCGCCGACACACTGATCATACATTAAATTATTATCCGAACATCTGTTATACTCTTCCCTACACCTGTGAGGATATTTATGTAAATTCTCTTCACATCTACATGGATATTTTTGAAAATCTGGATTTCCCCTATCTATATCATATTTTATATGTTTTACAGAATCCTGAAAACAATGCTGTAGGGGATATGTCGGAACGTATGTGTCATTTATATACTGTCGCGGGTACTTGGAAAGATCCTCAGGATAACGGATAGTATGCCTTAAAAGGCTTAACTCACCGTTTATCGATTCGATCTGCGGCGAATGTTGACCAGAAACGAGATTGTTCATGGAACCCGTAAGATCTGGGCTAGGGTTTGCCTGAACAGTTGTCCCATTAGACTATGACAATAAGAGACAGTTTTATATAGGTAAACAATATGAACGATATAGATGAACAAATGTAAATCAATCTAAATACCTGTGGTTGTACAATTTTCACAGTACCATATGTTTTATTATTAGTAATCACACTATCATCGCTAACCCTTTCTTGTTCTGCGCGATATTCAGGTGTTACTATACCCCTTCGATCTATAAAATGCGATATTTTAGCGTTAAATAGTATTAACATACACGGAAACAATAACAGAAGAATCAAATGATGAATTACCAATTAAGCTAGGTGGTGCCGGTCCACACAATACGTAGAAACAATTTCCACAAATATTTCCTTGACTATAAGGATTAAAACTTTCTTGCCCTCTTTTAATGGAAAACGATCCTTTAATCTATAAATGATAATTATGTTAAAACTGTCTCCAAAGTATATAGCAGATTTACAATACGTACATCTTCATTAGTTGTCTGATTACTGGTAGTTAAATATGTATGAAACCCAGCTAGACCAAGAATACTCCAAACAGAGAAAAAACATATAACTCCTACAACAACACTTCCAGGAGATATCCTCACTGCTTCTAGAAATGGTCTATCATCTCTCGTAACTACAATTAATTTGATATAAAATTAGAACTATTCCAAAATTGTCTTCCGCTTTCCTGATTAATACTTACGCATTATTAAATGTGTTACAGCACACGCAAATATAAAAACGCAAAGAAATGCCAAGGACACAATAAAAGCATAAAAATATCTGTAATTTCTTCTGCCTACACAATTTCCAACCCAAGGACAGTGATGGTCAAATCTCTCTGAAATAGTAATTACATGATATTTCTGTATTTCCATCAAAATAATTTTTATAACAAATAACAAATATACATACCTACACAATTGTCGCATAAACTACAATGCGAAGCCCTTGGTGGTCTAAATATCTTACAAGTAAAACAATACTTTAATTTTACTGGCTGTCCTTTTACTAATATCTCTTTTGTTCTAGGCGGAGGTCTATACATTTTGGAATTGCCATTGTTTGGTACCTCTTTATTCAACATGAAAAAGAAGATTTTTATTCATTTTAATACTAAATTAAATTAGTTACAATTGAAACACTATGATAAATCATAAAATAATATATTAATTTCTTAATTTTCTTATGTACCAATTTGTTTTTCAATATAGGCAGCTTCATCAGGTGTTGCTCTTGGAATAACTCCAGGATCGCTAAAACTTGTTCTGAATAATGCGGACATTACAAAAACAAACAATAAACCACCAATAACTGGTATAGCAGGTGTTATATGAACTGCTAAGAATGGACAACTAGAAGAAAGGTAAATCCGTTAAAATTTGATTCATTTTACACGGATGTATGAAATTGTAATTAACAAACGATTATCTTACTCAAAAGCAAAAAATAATCCACTTGTTCCAGCAATAAGACACACAGTCACATAAAATACTCCAGTTTGGGGTGCCATCATCACCCTCCCGTCGCAACAGAATCGATTTCTACCTGGGAAAAGTTCCCATTTTCTTGTAACGTGTGGCATCTTGCAGAAGTAGACAGACTACTTTACACGTTGTTCATATATACAAGTACATAATGCCCAATTTGCACCGCATAATTCATTAGGGCCATACAATGTTTATTTAATACTAATATCCAAAAGTTTGAACAATCATGTTTCATCTTGGCTTATTGTTTTGCTTTATTGAACTGTAATACATATCATGGATAATTAAATTAACTTGAATGTTAACTTAAATCAATTAAAAATATTATTTGTAAATGCTTAAATCTTAGAAATTTTGCATTAAACGAATAAAAAAATAACATACCGTGCATTTATAAATTACCTTCTACGTTCTGGAGAAGTAACAGAAAATTATGCACTTCTCGTCAACTTAACCTAATTGCTCCGTTCGTTGAAAATACAATGAAATTCATATTTCGTTAAAACTTGCATTCTCATATAATCAAGCTGATTCGTTTACTATCTTCCGTATTCTAAAAACAGCCGTGAACTCACTTTCGATACATTATCGCCACTGTCTCCCAGAGACCACCGACTACGAAAACACTCACTGCAGGGTCATAGCTCAAGAAAATCACAAGTAAAAATTCATTTGTAAAACTAGGTCACTTTGATGTGACATATAAACACTTGTGCACTCTCAATATAACCTTCAAATCTACAAAGTACATTATGATCTGAGAAGCCGTTGCATCGTTTTGGTCAATCGACCTTAGTTCGATGACAATAACGTATGTATGTGTTTACAGGGATTGTTGGCCGTTGTGTTTGCTCAAGATTATCTGTGCTTCCCTCTAACGGAGTATGCGGAAGCGCCACGTGATCCTATTGCCACGTGACCTAATACAAAACTAATTTCGATTTCAAGTATGAATACTTATTAAAAAATTGATAATATAATGTTATTGGAACTTTATTCGTATAAATATTGCATTTTCATTTACAGCAATCTATACGATATCATTAGAAATCATATAAGACGCTGAAAACATTTTAGTATTCCTGAGAAATAAATTTTTAATAGAATTTGACCATAATGTTATAAACTTTTAATAGAACCATATCGATAGAAAAATAACATTTGTACGAAGTATGATTATCTAGGAAAACGATTATAGTTCATTTTGAATAGACAGGATTGATTATTTAATAGCAAGAGGTCTATACAATAGTAGGAGGGTGTACAACTTATTGCTCCTGTTGCAAAATGGGTCGTCGACGCAATGCAGTACATCGTCACACGTATACATGCACACATCGAAAGGAAATCTTGAAAATCGAAGAATCCCACTATGAACGCCATCTTCGGGTAGAACCAGGAACAGAACGGCGGCGATCCTAAAATTTTACTGCACTCACACTCACCCACATTAACCTGATAATATCGCTTCCAGGATCTATAGATGTTATGGTTCTTCTTAATCCTCCTTATGCTAATAATTCGTACATCAAGAAAATGTATTGTTTGTTAAATTACATAACACTGTATATTTGAAAATTATCTTTCGATTATCTCTTCTAAAGAAAAATCTTTGAACTTTTATTTTTTGTTAAAAAAAGTATTGATCAAGAATGATATATTTTTAGGATTAGCAAATCATTCGTTCGAAACCCTGCACGCAATCCGCATAATGATGCGTTCGATCGAATTTTAGCTTCGTCGAAGTATCGTGAAGCGATGCGCAAATTTTTCAATATCAATTATAAAACGTGTCGCCAAGAGATAAAGAGAGATCTTGTACCGTGACGAGAACGGTTGATATATAAAATGCAAATGTAATGACGAAACAAAAGGTGAACGAAAACGGAAACGAAGGGGAGAGGAATATCAACAGGCGTGAAGTGAACGTCAGGGTGTCGTGGATGGAGGAAACCGAGGGACATAGTCGTCGGCGTCGGTAGCGGAAAGGATCGTGAAGGGTCACGTTTAGTCGCGTCTGTACGGCTTAAGGTAGTAGCTGGCGAGGTGATTTCAGGGTGGGAGATTGAACGAAGCATGGAACATGGAAGCTGGGTGTAGAGGGGTGAAGGGTCGGGTGCGGCGGGGTGCACGGGTATGAATCGTGGAGCGGGCGGATGGACGGACGGACGCAAACGCTGAAATCAGCTCGGGCGATCGATGCGATAAATGGATGCGTGCGATTGGTAGCCGGGAAAATCGATGATGAACAGGGGGGCACCCTACCTAGCCGCGAAAGCGAGCACGGCTGCACCGCCGGAGAGGATGGAGCAAAGACCGAAATATCGATTTTTAGGCCCCTACGCGGCGGTTCGATGCTCATATCTGCCCCGTGTCCCGTATCCGCGCGAAGCGCCTTTCAAAACACCAACGACGCGTGCGAGACACACTGTGTGTGGTGCCGCAAATCTCATCGAGGATTATCGTGGAAATTAAAATACGCGAGAAAGAAGCCGAGTGACGCGTAGCGAAGTTCTGGTCGATGTCGTCAGGTAACCACGTTGACAAGCGTAACGACGCGGTAAAACGCTTCCCAGCCAAGAGAGAAGAATTCTCTTTCTCTCGTTGACGTTCGTGCGACCAGCGGTAATATCGTGAAACTGTACGAAATAATCAATGATCCTCGGCTAAGGAAATGATCTAAGATCACTGTTCTCGTTTCTGCGTCAACAACCGTTTTCCTCCCGCCTCGACAGTTTTTTCAATAACAAAAAACTATTGTGTACAATGTGTTTAATCATCGAACGAACGTCAACGGCTATTGAAACGAGGGTGTGAATGCATTACAGGGTAGTGAGGAGAGTGCGTAATTATTTCGTTTCAATTGTCCGATCAAATTGCATCGAAAATTGATCGAGAGGATTTTTCCTAGTGTTTTATAGAATATCGTGAAGAATGATGTTGAAAAAATAAATGTTCGGACGCCGCGTACTGACTTCGATCAAAGGGAAGAAAGATTATCGTGCATTTAAGCAAACGTCGTCACAAGTGATCATTGTCAAACAATGATTGTTTGTTTACATATTGTATAAATTATTAATAAGTATATTGAAAACAATAATATATATACACAAGTATCGATATAACAACAACGATTGTTTTTTTTTGGAAAATATCGAGATTATAATAAAAATTTCTACGTAACAACTGTTTTCTATTTTCGAATCATTATGAAACTCGTATCACTTGAAAAAGTCTTTTCGTTGATCGTACGATGCAACGAATTATGTACACACGAATGCAAATAAGATACGGTCGATGCAACAGGCTTAACAACTGCAACATTAAAACTTGTATGGAAATATATGTATATTGTTGTCTAACGAGAATTAACGGATCATTGTTTCTATTGATAATATAGAAAAAATGGCCATCGCTGCTTCGGAGAATTATCAACTTAAGTGGCACAGCTATGGCGCGCATCTGCACAGCTCTGTCGCGACGTTACTTCATTCAGAATCCTTCGCAGATGTCTTGTTAGCAACGTCCTGCGGCCGGCACGTGGCGGCTCATCGATTTGTCCTTGCCGCTTGCTCGTCGTACCTAAGTCATATTTTTCAAACATGCCATTTCGGGGCAAATACAAACGCTCCGATAATTGTCGTACGTATACCTAATCATCTATATAAATTATTCAAACGTACGGATAAATAAATAGATAAAAACATAATATGAATATTTCAGGTACTACCAACAGAAATTGGTTACCGAACGTTAAAAATTCTTATTCAATATATGTACAGCGGAGAGGCAACAGTGACGAATGATCAGCTAGAGGGTGTACTAAAAGCGGGTGATATATTGCGTGTTCGCGGTTTATGGAGATCCAATACCGGAAGTAAAAAAGAGAATATACAGTCGAATAATCAGAAGGTTGATCGAGACAAACGGGAACAGCCACCGTTGACCGGTCAGATTCAAAAGATCAAACTAGTGCAACCGGCGACGGAGAAGATCGTCGAGAATGTACAACAAAGTACACCGGTACAAAACAACGTTCAACCTCAGAAACCTACCTCAGATAGAAAGAGTATCGAGAAGACCGAGGAGAAAATTAGCGAGCCAGAAACTAAAAAGGTGTTGGAAGAGAATAAAAATAATGAACAAAATAAGAATAAAGAGAATCTGGAGGCTAACGGGAAGAAAAGAAAAACCACCAACAGCGACGTGGAATCGAATAAATCTAAAAGCGAGGATGGTGAAAACGTAAGAGAAGTGTTTATCGGTAACGATATTTTATTAAAGGGTTACGCTTAGTTGGGATCGGGAAAATGATTTTTTTTTACCGTCCTGATAAATATTTACTGTGAAGTGAAATATATCATCGAAAAATACATGTTTCAAAGTGGTTTCAAGATTTTTTTAAAAGTAAAATGATAAATAATGAGGGAAATACAGCTCTTTTCGTAGAACGCCCTTTTCTTGAGGTCTATTAAGCTATCTGAGCCAAATCATCAGAATATAAAAAAACATATATGAAAATTTGTTGCTAATTATTTGCAATATTTTCCCGTAAAAAGTAATTTTTTTGCTCCAGCCATTAAATAGTTACAAAGGGCTAGATAGCTTAATATTAAGCCATCTAGCCAATGTAAAAAATAGTATATAGTAAAATAAAACAAAAAATCAATAACATAAATTTTTTGTTATATTTTACATTGAAAAGTATTTTTTTTTGTTCCAACTGTTACAAAGTTACAGAAGGTTGGATAACTTTTTAAATTATTTTTAATTTATATCTTCCAAACCGCTTATTTGAAACCAAAACCAAAGAAGATTGAGTTAGTATATTGTATTGTTAAGGGCTTGAAAGGGTTGCGAAATTTTGATTTTCACTAAAATGACAACAATTTTACTGAAAGATTCGGTTTTTGAAGTGATCAAAAAAGAATTTTTCAACGGAATAAAAAATCCTTTGTTCAGGCTCTTAACAATACAATATACTAATTCAATCTTCTTTGGCTTTGATTTCAAATAAGCGGTTTGGCCATCGCAAGTGATCTCGAGAAAAGGGGTGTTCTACGAGCGTTCCCTCATCATCTAACATTTTACTTGTAAAAAAATCTTAAAACTACTTTAAAACATGTATTTTTCGATGGTATATTTCACTTCATAGTAAATATTTATTAAGACGGTAAAAAAAAAAGAATCCAAACTAGGCGTAACCCCTTAAATACAACAAAATGCATCATTTTGTTCTGTTTCAGACCGAGTTAAATTTGGAGCTTCTGGTGAAAGACGAGCCAATATGGGAAGAAACTATCGATCCATCAGAATCACTGACGATAGACCATGAGATTGATATCAAACCGGTAATCGGTCGATAAATTGATTTAATAAAATAAAATGTATGCGATATTAATGATCGGCTTTCACAGGAAATCGTACACAGTGCAGACGAAGAAGAAGAATATACACCATTAACGTGCGATATGTGTAGTCAAACATTTAATCGACCATCAGATTGGGTGAGACATATTGAATTTACACACGCCGATATGACCGAAAATCGAAGAAAAAAGAGGAAGGTAAGAATGTAAAAACGTTATTTTAATATATGAAATATTAAATAATAACGTATGATTTACAATAACAGGGTGATGTAGATGACGATAGCAAAGATTTTCCACCCTTAAAATGTGATCTCTGTGGTAATATGTATTCGACACCTCAAGAATGGGTTCGTCATATACAAACGGAACATACGGAAGAGCAATTAGCTTTAATGAATAACTCTGCACCTCCAAAGCCAAAAAGGGTTCACAGTCATCAAAAATTGTGTAACATTTGTCAAAAGGAATTTCCAAGCCATGCATCGATGGTGATTCACCAAAGAACGCATACAGGGGAAAAGCCTTTTCTTTGTTCCTATTGTAAAAAAGGCTTTAACGTAAAAAGTAATTTACTAAGGCATCTAAGGACATTGCATGACAAGTATGTACATCCTAGCTTATATGGGAGTAATGGTAACACTAATGCTTAAGTCCCTTTAATTTTCAGTTGTATATGTTCCTTTTTTTTCTCTTGTTGATATCTCATTTGCAAAGTAAACGTCACGGAACATCTTATACTTTTAGAATTATGTTTACAGACTGAAGGAGTAGTATATGCATCGATAATCTTGCATAAACATGTCAAATTGGTCCAAACAATTAGACACTACCGATGTTCGTGGCATCTTCTTTGAAAATGAGCAGGTATTAAGTGCTTAATACGTTTCATTAAATTCGAATGAATAATTTCAATATTCTCTATTTGTATTAAATTGTGTATTTATATGTATCGGTATGAATACGTATTCATCATTTTATTATGTGGATAAACAATTGTTTTATTTTCAAAATGCGATAAATATTTTGTTAAACACAAAAGCAATATCAGGGCTTTAAAACCAAAGAGGCTGATCACTATTGCCAAAGTGTATTGTTTCGTTGCGACTTTGATTCGTTCTTTATAAACATAGAACAGAATACAAAAAAAAAGTATTTATTTTAATTAAAATATTGATTTAAGCGTGTAAGAATAAGAAATGACGATATACAGGTCTTCGCATATGTGCGTGTAAAATAATTCATAGGATAAATCAACATCTATTGATTAATATTTAATTACTTAGTAACTATATGAGATCCAAATTATGTAAGATTTAACTGTATACTTCTAGGCTATTCCATCCAAGGTAGCCCTCTTATTCCCTCAGCTCGTAAGCTAATTATGTATTTTTATATTAAACTAGCTTATACACAAAGTATAAGATATAAGATAATTAAAATAAGTAAAAAATTTGAACTTCAATTAGGCTAGGACGTAAGAAATAACACATAATTCAAAATTTATCAAATGTTTTGGAAATATATTGAGTTCTTCTTACATATAAAAGATGCAATATTATCAAAACATTGTCACAGTTTAAACGATAACAATATAAATCTTACAAAAATGACACTACATTAACATGTTAATCATGAACGTGTCACTCTACTATGAATCTTAGTGTCAATTCTACGTTGCGCTAATACTGTGACGAGCCAAATGACTTTTAAATGTAAAATTTAAATATATTACCTTCAAAGTATTTTTAATTATTCTTAATTATTCCTTAACGAGTATTAAAATATACTTCTTTTTAGCTAAGCAATATTATCACTCTATTTTGAATATTTTATAAATATTTCCTTCTTAGTAATGTGGTAGTTACCAAAATTCAATTGTATTCCATCAAATTAGCTGTTGCTATGATACGTGATGTTGCACTTTACAAATCAAAAGAATTCCTCAGAATTTTAATTTTCTTCATCATCATCAATTTTCGGAGCTAGGTAATATCGTATATGTCCAATATCTCCAATTTTGTATTCGCATACTAAAGGTACATCATTAGACATTGATAACTGTACTTGTGCACAAAGAGGTCCAGCCTTTATAAAACAATTAAGATAACGGCATGAAAAAGTTAACTTTACTGGTTCTTGCATATTAACAACTACTGCATGTTCTTCATTATCTGCATCTGCTGTTTGTGCTAATTTAATAGTAGCTGAAAAAAAAAATTTTAATGGATATAACTACAATTTATAATAATGTTAATTGTACAGATTTATTTTTACATTTTGCAATACACACTTTTCATAATTGACTAGTAATTTAATGAGTTCTACTATATAGAGGTACATTTCCTTTAATACAAAACAATAAACAAACCTGTGTATAGATGCTGGTGTGACCTCTTTTTTTATAATAACAAGGTCAAAATAAGTAAATACTTTCTAGGACATTATTTAACTTCAATCAGTTGCTATATAACTATCGTGTTTGAAAGAATCCTACTAGCAAGATGTTACAGAGTCATATCAACTATTATACTTCCAATGTGAGTACATACATATTATTTAAAATAGTAACATATAAATTATCTTACTCTTATTCATTTGATCAAAGAAATTTACATACCTTGGCCATAATCTCCAGCAGCACTGAATTTTATACCCTCTTTAGAACATGCAAATGCTATTGATTCTCCAAATTGACTTAAATCTCTACAAATGCGGGAAAACTCTTGAGATGGCATTTTTACAACACAAGAATACGAAGTTTCCTATAATCATAAACAAATTGCATATAATTTAATTGTAAGAAACTCGGTCGCAAATGAATTTCATTCTATAACAATGAATCAAGAATCTTACAGGAATACCAAGATGTTCCTGGTCCATATTTATAAGTTTCATCTCATATTCTGCAAGTTTCTCTTTATTTGGTGATTCAAATATAAATACAATGTTTTCTGGATTATCCAATGCTCGTAAAGTAACTGTATCTTCTGAGCCAGCGCATCGTAGAATTTTAGACATACTGTAAAAGGTATACAAGTTAACGTGTGGTATTTAAAATTCATATAATTTTATTCCTCGATAACTCTATGATTTAAACAGGAGAAAATATAGAACAATAGAAGTATTTTCCTCACACATAAAATTTTGTTTTGCCACTTAAAAAATACATAACCTGTGTAAAACCTATATTGAAATTACTATCTTACCATGCAATGCTCATTCCCATCGATAAATTTCTATCACACCTATATTTATCAAATCCGTCACTTCTGAGATTAAGGGAAACTAAAGAAACATGAGCATTGTCCATAGCTTGAACCTGAATTCCAGAATCAGAACATTCGAAGGTAGCTTCTGTTAAAAGATCTTTTATTGCATCTAACACCTTCTTCAAGATCGCACTCTGTACCAAACGAGCTTCGAACATTTTTTCAGATTATTTTTCTCAATTTCCAAACTATACAAAACTGACTAATGCAACAAGCACCGGTACTTAAAAGAGTTATAAGACCAGTAGGTATACCCGCGCTTTATTACCGCCGAAACGCCAAGAAGTAGATGGCGTTCGTATTTACCGGAAATGTTTGTATTTAATTTTTAAATCGAACTACTTGACATACATGATGTATGTACCTATATGCAACGAAGTTTTGTAAAGTTTGTTCATCCTATTTAACTATAATCAAACGCTTTTATTTCATATAAATTGAAATCTTTTATTTTACATAAAAAACAATATTGCAATGTATTATATGTTTGCAGTATATATCAAAATTTTTGGAAAATTTTTCTTTGGAAACACGCATCGTGACTGTATGGATTATAAACTTAAATTATTAGGAAGATCAGGGGCCAATATTTTTTTAAGTAAATATTAGTTTTAGTTTAATATTTCGAAGGTATACTTTAGTGTTAGAAACTGTTAAAAAAGAGTTCAAATTAATATTATAATTACTTTTTTATGAAGGAAATTTTTGGAAAATTTATATTTATATTAATCGCTAATGGCAAATAAATGAAATGAATATATAAAAAATATTTTTAACTAAAAATACGAAAAATAAGTTTAATTGTATGTTCAATTTTGTACACAAAAAATTATGTGAGCATATTTAAGCGTAAAAATTTATAAAATAAAAATCATATAAGTACAAAAATATTTAAATACAACTCGATTACTGAATTATGTTTAAATAAATGCAGTCTCACTCGTAACATTTGTAAACTAGAGATATTTACACATTATGCATGATATTAAATTATTCAAAAATCAAACACTGATCAATACAAAAGAAATACATGCTCGTGAATTGTATTAAAATCCAATATCACCGGCCATATTCTCCAGTTCACTGAACATTTGGTCAAGATGCTGTAAGAAAAATAATTACAATAAGTACTATATAAAAAATGAATAGTGATTTTAATAATTAAATAATTGTTAAGTAAATTGTATTTACATCGGAAGGTTCATTATCTTTCGCGATTTCTTTGTGTTTTTCATTAAACAGACTTCCATTCTCATCTATGTCTTCTGTATCGTTTTCTTCTTCATAATCATCTTCATTATCATCATCATTATCATCCGAATCGTCTTCTTCTTCATCATCGTCATCATCGTCGTCATCATCATCATTTACATCGTCATCTATATCATCATCGGATCTAATGTTACACGACATATCCATTTCTTCGTAATCTTCCGGTTCCTCTTTGATTTCCGTAAGCATTATTGTTTCCGCAACTGTTTCTCTATTGGATGAACAAGGTGGAGGAGCTTCAGATGCCGAAGGTATCTGAGGTAATTGGTCGGTCTAAAAAAGGATCAATTTAAAAATCATTTGTTTGTCATTATTTTAATAATTTTGTTAATGACCAGCATTTATGTACTATTACCCATGGTTGCTGTTGTTGTTGCTGTGCTGATTTGGCTGATGCTATTGAGGTTGGCGTAGAAGATGAAGGGGATTGCGAACTCGTTTTTTGATCTTGATTCTGAGATGATGCTTTATTCTGTACTTTACTAGAATTATCTTGTAATCTTTTATCTACATCAGCTTCTGATTTTGTTATATTTTTATCAACATGATTAACTTTTAATTCTTTTTTTACTTGTGAGTTATTCGTTAGTTCTTCTTTAACTTTTTTAACATTAGGCTTAGGTTCTCCAGGAAGACAAGTATTGCCTCGCTGTCTTCTAAATCTAACAATAATACTTCTAGTATCCCACATTAAATCATGCGCTTGCTTATAAGCAGATATAGATTCATCGACACTGTTATATCTTATGAAAGCATATCTAAAAGTGCAAGCAATACATTACAGTGATTTATACCAATTAACATACCATATTCTATAAAATAAAATTTACCGCGTATTTCTCATCTTCTGCGCATAGCCGACATCTACACGGGCAGCTGTTGGGAATTTACTTTTTACCTCATTAACATTTACAGATTCTGGCAAATTTCCTATATATAATGTATAAGGATCTATTTCTTCAGGCATTGGATTATCTTCATCTCTTAGAGATTTTCTTTCAACTTTTAAATGGCCTACTCCAAAAGGTATCTTTTCCAACTCTTTTATAGCATCGTCGATATTAACACTTTCTGCCATTTGTATAAAACAGTATCTAGGACCACTGGGACTTTGAAAATGTATATTCTGTATACCAGGATGAAATTCTCTAACAATATCTTTATTTAAATCAGGATCTGGAAATTTTATTATTAAACTTTGAGCCTTTACTGTTTTATTATATTCATTTTCGATTTTTAAAGCTCTTTCTGCATCTTCTCGATTCCACGGTCGACTAGGATAACTTTGGGACATAGGTTTCCTTTGTTTATTCTTTTTAACTACAACTTCTTCCTGAAATAAATAATAAGGCATAAGATGTGATTAAGTAACAAACGCAATTGTTGTTATCCGATCTTACCAATACAATTTTAACATCCTGATCTGATGTTTCTTCTCCGTGTCTATTTGTTAAAATCCCCGGAGGTATAGGAGGAAGAGGATGATTAGGAAGAGGAACAGGCATATGACTCATAATAGCATCGCCTGCAGATGTGGTGTAATTGTTTCTTTGCCATTCCAAACCAAGAGTATTACTCAATGTGGCACCAAAATATGCTGCTTGATCAAACTGACCCTGAGATTGTCCAAATCGTGCAAGCCGTCTATTTTTACGATGAAAGTTACTTCTTTGAACATATATATTGCTTCTATTATGAGTAAATCTTTCGCGCCGCATGTAATTACCTCTCAGAGGCAGGTCTCTTTGAAATGTATTTGTTGTTATGTCACGTGGATGCGGAGGTGGTAAAGGTGATGTTTGAGGTGTTATCCATTGCCATGGTGTAGGAGGATGTGTCCATGCTTGAATAGGTGTAACTTGAGAAGGCACTGGCCCAAATACATGGGGAGGTGGTGGAACTCCGGTAGAAGGTGGAGGCATTGGAGGTAATGGTGGTTGTCCTGGCAAAGGTTGCGTGACAGTCGAAGAAGTTGAAGATGATGAAGTAAAAACAGGATAGGAACCTTCATATCCAAAATTGATGCATTCTTGCTTAACAAACGATCGTTTTGTTTCTCCATTTTCATCTGTTATCTGAAATATGAAAAATCATGAATTAAAAATTAGATGTATCAAAATTTAACTTTACTAAACAATTATAATTTAGTATCATTAATTTAATATTGTAAACATTGCAAAATTGTTTCTATGTAATAAGTACATATATGTAAATATTCTAAACAATTACTGTCAAACTAACCTTCCTTAAAAATACCATTAATGGAATAAATGTAAATTTATTACTATTACTGTAAAATTATAAGAAATAGAGAAATAGGTCTTTACCGAACGTTTCATAATGTAGATAAAAGCGTTGATAATGCTTAGAGAAAAATTACGTTCCTTAACTTGTAATGTAAATACATCATATAAGACTACGACGATGGCCACTGTCAAACTACTGTGCATACAAGGATACCAACCCTTATTTTTCACTTTTTATAGCGACATATGTATGTAAATACTTTCAGATAGTAAATAATCAGCTTCGCACAATGAAAAATGCATAATTTCTTAAGGATATATTTGCGATACAATTTAATAAGATATTATGAAATTAAACATTATAAATAAAAATTAAATCAGTGGGACTAGGACCTCCAGACCCAATAAGGGGAGCACTAGTAGAAGTACTAATGTAATATTATTTTATTTTTGCGGCAGTTATAAGTATAGCCTTCTCATTTTCAGCTTTACGCAATTTTAAATCATATTTTTGCATTTTAATATAACAAAAACTAAAATAACAAAAGATAGTTTAAAATATTTTCACAAAACAATTGAAAGAACATAAAAAATATGAAATGAAACAAAAGCAATAAGTGTTTTAATAATGAATAAAATATGTTATGTTAAAAGACATTTCTTCAATACTGAAATAATTTCTATTCATAACTATTAAGTATAGTTATTATTAAGTATTTGTTATTTTATTTATTACGATATCCTCTCGATGCGCCGGTGCAATTTCATATTTCTATCTTAGGAAAAGAATAATTTGATGTAATAATTTTACCGACAGATGCCCTTGCTGTTAGTTCAGGGAGCGAAAGTGTTCGTATAGTGTGTGTGACATGGCTACGAATAATACAGAAGAAATTGAGGTATATTCTCTAAAAACTAGTATAATATTATAAATATTGTGAAAATAATCTGATAATTCTTTCAAATACGGTTATAATTTAAATATTAGAGAAAAATTTGTATGATTTCGTTTGAAACATCATCATCGTTGTAGCATTCCGTGATTTCTCCCATCTGTTCCCATGCTTGGTAAAAGCTATCTAAGCTTAAAAAGACTTATTATATTTCTTCAATAAAATAATTCAATATATACTGCGTTCGTATAATATTTGTTAGGTATCATTTATACAGATCAAAGGAATATGAAATTTGCTAACGTCTTTATGCATGCAATACGCGCAGGTTAAAAGAAGTTAAATTATTTGCAGGAAGTAGAGAGGAAGGAACAGGAGGTAGTAAATTTCGATGAATTTCCACCAGAGGTTTTAATTAAACACCCACTCCAACATACATGGACACTTTGGTACTATGAACCAGATAGAAACAAGTCATGGGAAGAAAGTCAAAGAAAAATTACAAGTTTTGATACAGCTGAAGATTTCTGGAGGTAAATGTATAAATTCTTTTTTTATAATTTAATAATACTTTATTGGAAGGATTTATTGATAATTGCAATTTATGTTTCATGACAGCTTATATAATCATATAAAGCCTGCATCAGAATTAAGACAAGGATGTGACTATAGTATGTTTAAACAAGGGATCAGACCTATGTGGGAAGACGATGCTAATAAATGTGGTGGAAGATGGCTTATAAACTTAGATAAGAAACAAAGAAGTATAGATTTGGATCACTATTGGTTAGAAACACTTTTATGTATGATCGGTGAAGCATTTAATGGATATTCTGATGATATTTGTGGAGCTGTTGTGAATGTGAGGCCAAAAGGAGATAAAATTGGTGTATGGACTACAAATGCTAATAATGAAGATAGTGTTATGGAAATTGGGTAAATTAAAATATTTATATATATATTTGTATTCAAAATGTTTGTTGATGTGACATTTCATTATTTAATTAAACTTTTTTTTTATAGGCGTAAACTGAGAGAAAGATTAAAATTTGCCTCAAAAGTTATGATAGTATATCAAATACATAAAGATGTTATGGTTAAAGCAGGAAGTCAAACAAAAAATGCATATACTCTCTAAATGCTATTTTAATGTCGCTCTTAATTAAAATTGATCAAGTAACATTAAATATGCATTAATAAATAGGGATATTATATAAAATTTGGAATACTACATCAAAAATTAAGTGAAGATACAACAGAAATTTTTGAAAGATCACATTTTCATTGTAGTTAAATATTTTCTTAATGAAAATCATTAAAAAAACTGAATAAATGTATGAAAACAAATTTATACTACAACGGTTTAAAAATTTATATTAATGTAATAATAAATAATTTAAAATTAGAGTATAAAAGGTACGCACAGGCTGCTGTATTTATAACAAGATAGATCAAGTATACAAATAATTACTGATGTAAAAAATTTCCATTAAACTGCTTTCCCTATAAATATTTCTCTCATGTTACTTGTGTAAACAATAAAGACTGCAATATTGAATTTCTCTAAAGAAGAACCTATAAAACTAGGTTGCCATTTTTAAATCAATAAAAATATTGAAAAATACAGCAACCTAATTCACTTTAAGATAGTATAGTAATATTTAATGTTTTCACAATTGTTTGAAAAATAATTATATTTAAGTTTTTCTTATAAATTCGTGAAAAATATAAAATACTGTTTCTTCACATTAGTTTTTATTTTTAAGTTACTTTATATAAAAAATATTACATTTATAAAATTAACACAAAAACATTAAATTTTTAATTAATATAAATTACCCTTCTTATAAATTATTTAATCTTTACCGTTATTTATTATAAATTTTTCAGCAAGTTCTTTGAGATCTCTGCGTCTTGCCTTTTCCAATGCACGTATTAAGTTTAGTTCCCAGTTGCCAGTGTCGTATTGGGATACATATAACTTTAAAGCCTACAAAGCTATTTAGATTACGCTTATGTAAAGAATTTTGTATAAAATAAGTATAAATTAATTAAACCTTACTTCAAAACTTTGTTCCCTTAAATCAGAAGGGTATTTATTTTGGATTGCATCAATTTGGTATTCAGGAATATTTAAATACCTGGCTGTATCTCTCCAAGAACGACCAATTCTTTCACTAATTTGTAATAATACTTAGGGCAGAATAGTTTATGTTAATTTAACACATAAATAATAATAAATATATTGTAAGAATTTTAACTTATACTTACACGTTTGTTGTAATATTGCTTTTTGTTCCAAAACTGTTCTACAACTTTCTACATTACTTTGTGATGTTTGATATTTAGAATCATTAGTAGGTATTTTTGATTGTGATATATCACTTTTAATTACATTTGATATGTCTGTTTCTTTCTTGTTTTTATTTGCTGTAGGAAAGCACATAAACATTATTACTAATCTTAATTATATTGAAAAGAATTAAATTATTTATCGCAAGATAAAAAATTACCATCTTTACTTTGATACATGTTTATAAGTGGAAAGGTTTGCATATTTTGCAAATGAAATTTATAATCTCTTATTTTACTTTCTATTTTTAAATCATTTAGAAAATTAATTGAGATATAAAAAAGTGGTTCAACATTATTGTAACTAAGATAATCCCTTTTTTCCAACACTTTTAATAATGTTCTTAAATCTTTAATTTGACTTAATTTGCGATTTGAATCTATTTGTGGTGTATAATATTCTTTGAGTACTTTTAATATTCTTTCATTAATGCAAGAATCAGCCACAGATAAGAATTCTTCATATAAGCTATTGTATTTTACTTGCAATGTCATAATATTACTGTGGGAATACCCTTGCTCTAAACCAAACATCTTGATCAGTATTTGAATCCTCCTTCAAACGTATCCTGAAAATATTATACATTTTAATTTCTTAATAATTGAATTACGTTTAACTGGTTTTATTTTATTAATTCAAGTAGAATATTAGTTATAAACAAAAAGTAATAAACATACATGTGTATATATACATATATTGTATATATGTGTATAGTGTATGTATGTATAATATTACATACATACGTAAATGCGATCACAAATAACTGCAAGTCTTGTACGTATGTATACCTTTCTTTTTCAAGTTTTATATACCTATAATTTAATTCTTGATTTTATTATTGGAGAGTAAAAAAGTATTTTTTCGTTTTAATTACAAGCTACGATTATGTTGGCTTCCTGTATATTGCCAATGAACTAAAACGTTTGTAGATGTCGATTCGTACGAAGCATTTTTAACATCTCAGCAGACGTTAGTAACCACGTTACTAATTTCATAGGTCATGTGTATGTATGTATGTACACTGAGTTCCATCGAAGCTGTCGCAGTGAAGTTGGCGCACTAACATACTTACATAATATAGTATCGTGCATCCGTGTCATTTAGGTGTATGCGGAAAGTGACGTAGCATAGCATGCCGTTAGTTGGATGCGATAACTGAGGTGGCGCTGAAATCAGTTTCTGTTCGGCCTAATTTTCGATGAAACGTTGACTGTTTTACCAACGCGGAATTTGGAGTTCGGCCTCGACGCTCGCATCACCTTAATTCGCGGGATTATTCAAGTTACATCAGTAAATCAAAAACCAAGGTACAAGTATGTCACTCACTACATTACCAAATATTATTCATAATGAATGACAGAAAATAGGGAATAGTAATTAATGTGTAATATAACATTATGTATATATTTATTTCATAATACTTCATAGAAAAATATACATCTATTTGTTTTAATTAGACTAACATATCAATAGGAATAATACAACTAAAGTATTTAAAGCAAAATGACACTGGCAAAATATCTTACACTTTATATCTCCAAACCGAAACGAATTGTTAGTTATCAGAAAATATCTTGGTATACTACATATTGATAAATAGAATAATTATTAATAATATAAAAAAGCGATATTAATAACCATAACAGTATACCAGTTCATATTCTAAAATATCGATCAAATATGTCAGATAAATAGATAAATTAAATTCATATCACATTAATATTCATATCAATTTAAAAAATTTATGTAACTTCTGTTTATATGTACATGATTAAATAATTGTGTATTTTATTCTAATATATGCTGTCCTTTTTCCATATTGAAACAAATTTGCTAACATCAAATTTTCGTTTGCATCCTTCATAAGTCATGTATCTTATTTTTCCAAATATCTCTCTCTCTTTAAAACCCATATCATGAATGCCACATATAGACCACATACAACCTAAGAAAACAATCATTATTCATTATTTTACTACATTTGTGCAATTATTCTTACATGACAAACACAAAACTGACCTACATAACCATTAGGATCACAACCATCTATACTGTATTTATTATTTAAGTAATTGGCCCATTCTAAGGCACTTTCAGGTGATTCAGTCCATTCCAAAATTTTCTTTGCCCAATACATCCTCAGAAATCCATGCATTTTTCCTATTGTTACCATTTGATTTTGACATGCATTCCACAAATCATCATGAGTTTGAGAATTTTCTAATACGTATAAAGAATATATGTACTTCCTTCTATCCTTCCTGTATGTAATAGAATGCTAAGAACAAAGTGTGTATACAATGTATAACGAAGTAAACAAAATAAATTACCGATGTTCATTTAATGTTGCTCCTGCCCAAGGGAAAGCCCCTTGAATAATATCATAATTTTTGTTATAGAAACAAAAATTATCGCTAAGTTCTCGTCGAATAATAGCTTCTTCCATGAAATCTTTAACTGATTCAGGATATAATTCATGGTATTCTTTTATTTCCAACATGCAACGTTGTACCGATATCATACCAAAATGAAACCAAGGGGACAAATCACTAGTAGCGTCTACTAAAGGATTATTGCGCCTGAGCGCATATTCTTTAATCCGATTTTGCAAAAAATCTTCTAACTTTTTAACGCCATGCTCATAACCAGGCTTAGCCCATGTAATTTCATCTACAGATGTATCTGCTTGTACACTTTGTAAAGCCATTTTCCAATCATTATTTGAAAACTGCATTTTTTCTGTATATGGATGTTTTATGAGAGGTGGAAATTCTGTTAAAAATTCGTCCAATTTTTCATTTATTTTACTTCTAATTGTTCTAGCAGAATATTCCTGCTTTGACGATGCGTACCAACAAGGTACGATATTATGTGCATCTACCTTAAAGAGAATTATACTAATATATCAACAAAATCATTAATTAATTAATAAATCAATTCAAATTATATTTACTTGACAAAAAGGGATATCTTCAGGAAGATTCTTTTGTACATCATCAATCCATGATATAGGTAATTTTAATGGGTAGAAGTCTGTAATTACAGCTCCCATTTTATGTGTTTTCACAAAGTTTAGAATACTCACATTTGGTTCACCTTTCAAAAGATGAAAATTTATATCTAATTCTTGACATTCTTTCTCAACTTGCATTAATCCTTTTAAAAGAAATTTATAGTATCGAATAGAAGCATTCAGAAAACTTGGCATTATACAAAAACATATATGAAGAGGTACATTATTTTTCAAAGCAGTTTTCTGAGCAAGAAGCAAAGCCCAATTATCTAGAAAAATTACAAAACTTCTGTAATAATATAAGCATTGCTGAAATTTTATGCACACATATATATTGTATAAATACCTTGTATCCTAATATCACGTAACATCCAATATAAAATGTGTTTACCTTTTTCAACATCATTTAAACCATTTAAAAGTCTAGCACGATTTTTGTTAAATGGGAATGTCATGATGGACTTAGTCTAAAAACCCAAAATAATTTATATAAAATTTACAAGAATACTACACAATTATGTACTGCCAAAAAGGTTTACCTTACATTTTTTCTCTTACGTTCCCATTTTTTCAATAGATCAAGTGTTTTTCTCCGTTTAGGTGGAATTAATTCATCCATATTTTAGTACTTTATTTTTAAAAAGATTTAAATAGTTTTATTTTAAGATAAAGCAACTTTTGTATACACATATTAAACTCAGTGACTACGTAGTCACTGTTAAACTTCTACATATATAAAAATCTTAAAATATTACGAATACAGTAATCAGGTACAAAAACACAGGGCCCAGGTCCCAGAGACCCCTAGTGCGAATAGCTCTGTATACACAAAATATAGTCGGTATGACAGTCGTGTCTATTTTATCACACCTCGCAGGGACATGCATAGCACGAGAAAAGACAATTTTGATCCCTTTTGAACCTATTATTTAGAAGATCAAAAAATTATTAAAATAATTGTTTGACAAACTTGTATTCACTTCATATGTCTTGGCAATTCCTTGAGATTTTCAAAATCAAAAAATAAACTGCAAAAGTTGTAACTTTTATTACTGTATGTAAGTATAACATTCAATAACTGTTTGATCTTTAATAAATTATAAAAATAATGTACATAAATATGAAACTTACATTAGAACATAATAATTACTTCTTAATATCGTATAAAATATAAATATTTAATATAAATTGGTAGGATACTTATCCATAAAAGTTATAAAAATAATAAGTTTCAATAGATGTAGCAACAATTTAGTGAATAAATTATTGTGAAATTAAAAAAAATTATTAAATAATTTTTAATAAAATAGTTAAACAAAATTTTGCAATATATCCACGCAAAAATGTAAAGCGGTAGAAAATTTTAATAGATATAACAATAATTTAGTTAATAAATAATTATACATATAATAAAAAATTGCAATTAAATTTTAATAAAATAATTAAATAATTAACTTGCAATATATTCAGGTTAAAAACGGAAAAAGGTGGAAAATTATAATAGACGTAATAATAATTTGTTTATTAAACAATTGTATAATAAAAAATTGTAATTAAATAAATTTTAATAGAATAATATAAAATTCGGGTAAAGTTAGCCGGTGGCAGTGAAATGGAACGTCACGGTTAATCAGGCACCGTTGTAAACCGTTCAACCTAGAGCGAGGTCAAACCTAGTCATTCTCATCGCGACCGCCGAGGTGTGCGCATCTACTCGTCAAGCAATGACAGGTACGAGTCTACGTTTGGCTTACATATTGGAGCATGCATTAATCTATGGATTATTTAAAGCGATAATGCAGGTGTAACAATACTTTCAATTACATATTAAGCTCGAAATATTACGAGTTTAATACCAAGCTTTTGTTGAGTTAGCGCATCGCGATTTTATTTCCCCTTTTTTTTCTAATTTATAATTTTATTTCAGAGATTTATTATTTTCTTATTGATTTCGCATATAAATCGTATTTTATATTTTCATATCACATATTCATATTTTTTATTAAATGGTTCTGAGATTGCAATGTTAATTATGTTTTCTATTCCTGGATTTTACTGTTTCAATTGTTAATGAGATTACCATGTTAATAATTGTTTCCTGTTCCAACATTTTATTCTTAAAATTGATATTTAGACTGGATTACTTTTATAGTCACTTCCACGTGGTGTGTCAAGGTAATCGGTATCGTTCTCTAAACATTTATTAGAAGATAGTTTTTAAAAATCAATGTCGAGCGAAGCGTTACGATTCGGGAATATAAAATAGTAACATAAATTTTGTCGAGCAAACATACTTAGACACGCGGTACATACATTCATCGAGCTATTTATTTTTCTTTGATCCATTTTTTCGAAAAGATCCCTCGATCTTTCAGCTCCGATTTAGTTCCTAAAATTACCGTCCTGAATTGCAGAATACGCCACAAAAGGAGTGGCGAAAATAAGGTTCGAAGCAATCTACTGTTACCGTCAACATGCGTTATATTGTTGCAGTATGAAGTTCTTCACATTGAGTACGAGGTAGCGCTCGTTCTCAAGACACAAATTTAACATTGAATGATAAATCTATTCTATACTTCGTCTGTGGTTAGGATTTTGCAGTGAAAATGTGTTTTATTTATGCATATATACCATATGTTGTAATTTTATAGAAGCAAATTATGGTATTCTGATTTCTTTTTTCCTGAAAAAGTATATACATACTACATATTATGATTAAGTTTATATATTATTTCATTACCCAGTATAAATATAATATAAAGTGAAAAAAGTAAGCCTCATTTTGTTTAATAAATGATAATTGAAATTTAAAAAAATGTTCTTAATACTTTCCTACTTACAGGAGAAGCGACAAATATATTGATACATATAATTACTATGGATCAATAGTAAAAAAATAAAGATAAAAGTTTGCATTTGATGTATAGTTAAATTAAAACTTTTTAAATGTATATTTAAAGCAATAATATTATAAGTATATAATGAAAGCATTTCCTCAAACCATTGCAAAAATTTGCCCATTTATTACTCTATTATATAGCGTAACTAATGTCATTCTAACAATATATATTAATGAAAAAATTACTCCAGTTTTCATATTTTTTTGTATCCAAGTATATTTAAATTGGTATTCTGTGTATACCATAAGCCATAATGCAACAACTATGGAAGTTAAAGCAATGGGAAAGAAATTTTTAATACATAATAGAACAGATAATAGTACAGAATATAAATATTGGTACTGCGAAAAATGTGCTACTTATACATGTAAACCAACGCAGCATTGCATCTTTTGTAAAAAATGTTTTCATTTTAGAGATCATCATTGTTTTTTTTTAGGTGCTTGCATATTAAGACAAAATATAGGTAATTTTATCTTATTTTGTTTTTATACATCATTAACATGCATATATTCATTATGTACTCTTGGGCCATATCTATATGAAAATATTAATCGTGTAATAAGAACAGACACAGATTCATTCAATATATTTCTGAACTTCTGTTTTCCTATCGCTCTTGTTAGATTATTACATTTTAAAGAAAACACATATATATTGCTGGTTACTATGTTCGATGTACTAGTTTCCATTTTATGTATTTGTTTGGTGTATGCAACTTGGAAGCTGCACAGTTGTATGACCGGTAAACAACGATATGCAAACATATCAGGCAGACAAAGTTTGAAAGAAATTTTCGGAAGTTACGGTCTTTCAAACATTATTTTTCCATATAATGGGCTTATAGGCACTAGAGATCTTAATGGAAAATATGAATTGAAACAAGTATAAATGCATGTAATTATAAACATAAATCAGTAAATTAATATACCATATAAAACATGTTTATACATTTTTATACATGTATGTACATATATAAGATAAAATACATATTTCTTAATCATTATAAATTGTATTATAATAAATATCACACATATTTAATACAGTTACACATCAATCTTCATACATCATACTACACTCTTTATATAAATTTTTACAAATACATTTAAACAATTGCAATATATTATGGCGTATAAAATAATTTATTGTTACTATATTCCTATATGTAATAAAAATTTATCAAGGATAATCAGAATCATACACTTTATTTTACTTTTATCTGAATCATAAGAGTAAAACATAAGAATAAATAAAGTTATTATGTGGTAATATTTTTTTATATAAGATCATTGGCAATGAAAAAAGTGTATATTTTTTTTTTTAATGAAAACAGTTCTTTACAGAAACAAAATTATCACATATTGATCTGTAACAAAATTTACCAATAAATTAACAGAGATTTTTGCCATTTATAATACTCAATACAAATTTATTTTTAAAATTACTTACCATAAAGATATCTAAATTTAAATTATAATTCTGTATGTGCATGATGTTGGGCTTTAAAATCATTAGGGTGAATAAATACCCCTTCTGCTGTTATCCATTCAACATGAGGACTACTTGGAGAATATTCACCTACCACTTCGGTTTGACCACTAATTGGATTACCATAAACTCTTCCACTTACTGCTAAGTACCTATAACATAAAAATAATATTTTAGTGCTTATATAATTTCTACCTTATATGTAACGTAGAAACTTACGTATCTGTGTCCACATGCTTTAACATAATAGGTTCATCTCTTTTCCAAAATTCAGTCTGACATATTAAAAGCCAATTGTCTCCATTGTCGCCTTCTCCTTTATTATCTCCATAAGCAGATATTTCTTGTTTGCCACTAAGAGGCGAACTAACCCGGTGAGAATGAAGATTTTTCTTGGTTGCTATGTGTTCTAGTCTTACGATATCTCCACATTTAATGGGCTCGCTGTATATAATTAATGTAAAAATTTACATTATTTGACAGATAATCAAAATTATTTAATAGCTTACTATGAATAAATAGCATACCCTCTAGTGCATTGTTTCTTTGTTGCAGCTTTGACAAGCCAATAAGAATTTCCATCTTCTTTTGCTGTTATTCCTGTTACCGATTGCTGACCACTGCCACTTCCATATTTTATATCATGAGAATGTAATCTAACTTTATAGTCCACATTCATTAATTTTAATGTAGAACCACAAGTCACATGCGGTGTTCCTTTTGCTACATGTACATAACATATTATTTATAAATTTCATAGAAAACAATTTTTATATAATTACTGCACATTTATATTAAATATCAAACTATTTGATATTATTTCTTAATATATATATATTGAAATAAGCATTTATAAAACCGTTTCAAGATAACGGTTTGATTTCATAACTTTTAAAATATATTAGTAAAATATTATTAATGATTATAATAATGGCTTTATAGAACATAAGACATTACTTTCTTGAATGTAATTTGATATTTAAAAAGTAATATACTTGATTTTGACATTTCACGATGAATTAATATACCTTTTACAGAATATGTCCACAGCACAAGTACCATCAATATTTCAAGCGAGAAATAAATTAACTTTTCTCTCATTTTTAAAATAATGTGTTTAATTTACAAAGCGAAGCGAAATTTTAATACACGTGTAAATATATGTCGTGTTAGCTTCCTATTGGTGTAGTAATATAACTACTTTCAGTGGTTCTCAATTTTTTGTAACTTTTACTTCAATTTATCAACTAAAATTATAATAATCAAATGTTTCTTATACTAAATTGTATAATAATATCGAAAAAAATAAATGGTACTTTAATACTGTTAAATAAAAAAATAGAAATAATGTGATGATCAATATGTTAAAAAGAAATAGAAATTGTATAATTTGTGATGAATATATTTACATATATATATTTATATTAAAATTACTAGATATTTTATAAAATTATGTAAAATTATTTCTATGGAATAAATGTATAAGAATGATGCTAAAAGATACAACAATATGTTGGGAACCTTGTTTAATGTTGGAACAATCATCTTAGGAAATTCATCATTAGTTTATAAAATTGCATTTAAAAAATGCAGTAAACTGCAATGGAATATGTAAATGTAAAGAACAATTATGTTAAGGTAGACAAACTTTTTAATAATAGTACAAGTACTTCCACCTTTCCTTCCATATAATAAAAATTCCTTATTTATACTTTCTTAGTTGGTACTTATGTTCCAATATTATGTATCATTTCATGTGAAAAATATTTTTTTTAAAGTTATATAATTAATACATAATATCTATATTTGATTATTGAATGATAGGAATGGATTGCCTCATGAGCAGGCTTTCACATCTGCCCTCTTATCAAATAATTCTTATTCAACCGTACAAATATATCAAGGAACTTTCTCAGCGATCTTGAAATACATTATGAGTTATATTTTAATGTCAATAATAAATACGTCAATTAATACTCAACAACTTTTGGACGGGTTTTAACATAAACATATGCTGCTATTACAACAAATATTGCAGCAATTGTAGGTAACACAATAGTAAAAACACGTTGTTTGTTTTCTAGAAATTCCTTTTTCCTTTCTTTCTTCTGTTTGTTTGTTTCTTTTGTCTTTCCTTTCAACTGGCGCATCTTCTTGCTACAAATAAAATATATGCAAATTAATAAAGTTGATCATAATAATAATAATAATAATAATTTTGTATTTCTTATATTATAGTTTTATTTAAACAAAGTTAATAATAATAAAAATAATAAACATGATATTAAAATATCATTTTTTAATAATAAATTAATTTAAAAATACTGTAAGTAGAAATCAAACTTTTGACTTGCTTCAAATTGTTAGAAGTATTGCTGTATATTAATAAAAAGGTTAATTCTGATTAAAAAAGTGCATGTATTATATAGACATACTTTTAAGTTTAACTGTTTAGTTATTAAATGATACGATATTCCAAATACATTTACAATGCATATGTTATGACAGTTTTAAGCATCGTTAACATACACGCACTTTCTATTGAATGAAAATAATGAATTTCTACATTTTACTATAGACATATAAGAACGTGTATTTCAATACCTTCAATAATTGAAATAATCGAATATCAAAGTATTTCAGGGTCTGTTTTAGAATTCTCAAGCAATCGAGAAAAGCAGATTTGCGTACATGACACGTAATAAAATAACGCTACCCTACCAATCGGAATTCATGTCACTTCCGTATGGAGGTATTCAATCAAACTACGTTAATCAGTAAACTTGATTTAAATTTATACATTTTTATTATACACAATTATATCATTCACCTCAATTTTATTCCATAATTGTAATTTGCATGTATTTGTAACATTCAACGCAAAACTTAACAAATTTTTAGAAGTCATATGCTAATAGTATATTTACGATCAATCAATAATTTAATTAATCGTTTAGTAAAATAAAGTTTAAAACACAGCATCAATATTCTTATGAAAAAACAGCGAACTTACTATTTTCTTATAAAATCACTATAAAAAATGAATTAGTATCTTTTTATATAAATTATAAAAACTAAATAAAGGTTGTCAACACTGAATGAATATTCGGGTTTTTCCCGAGAAAGATAATACATATCGAATATCAAGGCATTCCCATAATTCATAATTTTCACTATAATTATTGTATCTTCGACTTGCTTCGACTGACAACCAGCTCCTAACTTTTATATTTATCCGTCATGGGAAATATTATTCGGTATGTTTTTATAGTTCATTAAATTTGAAATAATATAATAAAACTTGATAATCATTTTTTTATGAAATTATATGCAAGGTAAGCATTTTAAAACCTTCTAACAAATTTTAAGCAGATATTAGTTAAAATATTAAATCTTTAGGTGTATGTACATATATTAATGTGCTCATAATTTCATGTCTTTTTAAAATATTACTGCATAGTATATAACTGACATGAGTTGCATTGAACTTGTCGCAGTGAAGGCATTCACGCCGCGTCGGTGAACTTACATAGTTAAATTGTAATAGCAGCTAAAGGTTGGTTCATTCAGTGTAATGTTGGTATTTATGTATATACATATACATACTGTCACCGGCTGTGACACTGTATATCCACAGTATATTTAGATACAATTTGGTATGGGTGCGACAGCAAATTAAAAAACTGAAAATTAAATAGAAAGTGTTGAATGCAATATACAGTGTATGTTTTATAAGTTTTAATAAGTTTTGAAGAAAAGCACGATGAAAATTATTTGTTATCATATAATTATTTTTTATAGTGCCAAGTTATGACATTCCAATAATGTTAAGTACAATTAATTAATAGCAATAAACAATCTATTCTTTCTTAATATAAACTACCTCTTATTTGTATAACTGTAAAATATTGTAACTGACAATGTTTAAGAAATTATTAGAACATAATATAACCAGTTGTGATGAACAATTTTTTTGTCATTTATGTATGTCTGAACAATCAAATTTAGAAGATGCTTTACATCACATTAATGAAGAAAAGCACCAGTTATTATGGTCGGATCAAACAGTTAACATTTTGAAAGACTGTGAAGGACAAACCTATCAGATACTTAGAGATAACAAAGTAGCTATAATTGCTTTAAGTAGTTTTAATTGTACGTCTTGTTATTGCAGTTTTCCAGATTTAATTAGTACTTTACAACATGTTCAAAACAAATGTCATATTGATCAATTAAAAAATAAATGTGTAGTCTTAAATTGTGATAAAGATAACAGTGAAATATGTATTGTATCTGTTAAGTCAAAGTTATTAAAAGTGAGAAAAAAGAAACTTGATTCATCTGATAAGTCCTTGTTGTTAAAAGATACATTCACATATAAAGATGAAAAATATGATTCATATGTTTCCCAAGGACATAGCAAATACGTACCATTTGAGTTTTTTAGAATAGTATATAACTATTCAAACGAAGATTGTCAAACTCTTGTTAATAACAGAATACTCAAATTTGAATATTATCAATTGATGTGTCAATGTTGTTATCGATGTTGTTTAACTCCTAGCGATATTTTACAACACATTATGGCAATGAAACATACAGAGACAAACACAACATTAAATGAAAGGGAATCTAAACAAATTCAGCGCATACCTATTAACTCGGAAGTAATTAAAAATGTTGTAGAATCAAATTTAGATGAAGTAAAAGAAAACTATGAGAGTAAAATTGTTAATTTATTACAATACATAAGCGTGAGAACTCAGCAAGAACAAAATATAAATAACGATGAAGATTTATCATCTAATGATTTAATATGTGAGCTTTGTAAGTGTCATTTGCCATCCCTAGATCATATTTTACCTCATATCAAAGGAAGGCAACATGTCAGTTTATTAGCTAAAGTTAATCAGTTACCTCAGAGTACGGAACAAAATGATAATGACAATACAAAATTAGTTTTAATTGAAAACAAACATACATCTCAAATAACAGTCGTGGATATACTTTCAAAAAAGTCAAAAACAAAAGATCATCAATCAAATTTAAAATTTAACATTGACTGCAAAATTTGTACAACAGCATGTGTGAAGAATTGTTTGAATAAGTATGATCAGATTTTTCTAAGTAATAACATTACAATAAAAGGATCTAAATTTATATGCGCACTGTGTGAACGAACATGTAATTCATTACATGATGTTTTACAACATATTAATGGAAAGATTCACACCAACAAATTAAAATGTCAAGATCAAAACTCAAATATTTGTAAAACTACATACGCTATGTGTACAAATTCTGACAATGATGGAAGTGCAAATCAGAAACCAACTGTTAACTTTTCAAAGAATAAAATGAATGTAAGTGTAAATGAAAAATGGAGCCTAAATGATACATCCAAACAGGAAGATTTAATAAATATTGCGGAAAAAGATAGAATTAATGAAATACAAGATAATAGTAATAATACTAATGCTCTTGACAAATCTTTGTATTTTTGTGAATTATGCAGTATACAAATAGATATTAAGAATTTACATGAGCACATTAATACAGTAATTCATAAATGTAACATACCTGCTATGAGTATAAGTGATGATATATTTTTATTTAAATGTTTTTGTTGTAAATCAATAATACAGGGAACTAATTCATTAATTACTCATTTAAATTCAACAAAACATTTAAACAACTTGAAGAATACTTTGATACATATTAAAACAAATAACATTAAAATATTTCCACAATCACCTGATGATACTCAAAACATATTAGAAGGTACAAAATCTGCACTTTGTAGTGTTCTCTTTCCAAAAATAGGAAATGTACCTATGTATTTATCAGAAAAGTGCCTTATATCTTTTGATACTTCAAATATTGTAGTTTGTGATGATATCAAGAATAAAATTATCTATTCCTGTTTAATTTGCAGAGTAACATTAAACACATGTCGCAATTTAAGAGAACATTGTCAAGCACGGATGCATCTGTGGAGAATTAAACGAATTTCCACAGAAACATTAAACGATTCTAGTAAAACATTAAACTGTCTCAGTAATAAAATGGGGAAAGAACAGACAACTACTGATAATTGTTTTGATATAACAAGTGATATAAATGAACAAATTACAAAGCTTCTACAAGTTTCTCCATTTAAATCAAATTCATCAGAAAAACATGGTCATAAAGGACAAAGGCTAGTAAAACGTTTGAATAAAGTATATTGTGAAGAATTTTTGGAAATTGAGGAAAAAATGTATACCTTGGATAAAAAAAAGTTGAATAATATGGAATTAAATTTTAAACCATTTATGCCATATAGTAGTAAAAACTTTTATTGTTTAGCTTGTAATAATACTGTTTCAAAAGAATTGGATCTATTATATGAACATGCGTGTCTTGACGCACATAAATTTAAGTTAAATACAATTAAAGAAGATAAAGACTCTGAAAAATTGATAAAGCAATATATGCAGAAAATTTCAGAAGATTCCATAAAATGTCATATATGTAAAAGTTGTATCAAAAATGATACTGATAATATTGATGCTCATATTAATGATAAGATGCATAAGAAAAAATGTGAAACCTTTTGTGCAGTTATAGATAATGCTTTTAATTCTATAACACAGAATCTTACAAATTTATGGTATAGCATTCAAAAATTTTCGTGTGTTCCATGCCAAAAAAGTTTCAATTATAAATTGGAATTTATAGAACATATTGCTACACATACGAAAGATTCAACAAAGGAAATATTTGATTTTTGTATTCCATGTGCAACATTATGGTTGGACACAAAAAACTGTTATACAGAACATTGTAATGATCCAGTGCATAAATATTTAATAAAAAGTAAAGATTTTATGGTTGAAGATCTTCCTGAATGTATAAAGAAATTATTAGATCAAGTTGACGAAATTTCTGATGTTTTATTTGAACAAACACAAATTTTAATGAATGACACTATACAAAAGGAAGTTACACAATCTTTGGAAAATACCTTGAAATCATTTTATCCCTCTATTAAAGCATTTTTATTCGGATCTAGAATTACTGGACTTGGATCTGTAAATAGTGACATAGATATATATCTTGATTGTGGTACGTACATACATATATATATATATATTGTAAAAGGACGTATAGTTTATGAAAATTTAAATGTCTTAAAATTTGTTATTTTTTAATAGGAAATACATACTATCAAGATCAAGAAGAATCATTAAAAAAGAAATATTTCATATCTATTGAGAAAATTTTACATCAACAAAAGGAAAAATGGGAAGTGAAAGAAATAATAGAGTCAAGAACTCCTATAATAAAGTTGTTATATAAACCAACAAATATACAATGTGATATTTCTCTTACAAATGGTCTTTCAGTTGAAAATTCTAAACTAATAAGGTATTGTAGCCTATTTTATTTTAATGTTATGTGTAAACAGATAAAATATCGTATTTACCATTCATTTTAATTATTAGGTCATTTAATGATGCATATCCACCGTGCAGAAAACTAATACTGTTCATTAAGAAATGGTTATCTTGTTTCAATTTACCTTCAAGGCATGGTTTAACAAATTATGCTATTGCTTGGATTGTTATATTTTATCTACAGTTAAATATGCATTTACCAAGTGTTGCTACATTAATAAAAGAAAAAAATAAATCTAGACTTATATGTGGTAAGGTGTTATTTTTAATACAAATACTCTGAATACACAGGAGAACATAATTATAAATTTAATTTTGAAATAAAATTTAATTTTAGGATGGGAAACTGGTGTTGCACAACCAAAGAATAATAATAAATCTGTGCAATCTCTTTCTATGCTATTATTGGGTTTTTTTCAATTCTATGCTAATTTTGATTATCGACATTACATTATTTGTCCACTTATGGGTTACGCCTTAGCGAAAAAAGATTTTATAAATCTAGATATGCTGCCCAAAGAAATGAAACCTTATATCAATCATATATATAAATCTAACGATCCGGAATATTTTCGGATTGATTCTTCATTATGTGTGCAAGATCCATTTGATTTATCCCATAATCTGACAAAAGCTGTTAGTAGTATTACTTTAAAGTATTTTAAGCAGTATTGTCAAGATAGTGCATCTATATTAAGTTCGAAAACGAAGTGATATAAAGATAAGTACAAAGGATTCGTCAATTAGAAATAAGAAAATACACTAAACGTATTCGTGATTTTTTACAATGACATGTTACCTATATGACGAAAAAAGATATATTTCTATAATTTTATTAGTACGTCATATATTTTTCTGTAACTTAATCGTATCTTATCGTAAGATTTGTGTGCCTTGTATGCCTCAACCAAGTGATATTTGTTTCAGTAACTTTAAACATGGTGCTACAAGTAATTATAAAGTTTTTTAAGGGAATGTATATTTTCACAATCGTGCTATCAACTTTTATTTTTAATATATGTATTTAAATCGTGATGAATATATATTTTTATATGATGTGTATTATTAAAAATCAAAGTTATATATTTAGTTTCAGCTACTGTTACGTTTAGAATTGATATTGAATACTTTATTTATTGACTTAATTTTGAAGAATTATCTATAAAATGTTACATTCTTGTTAATTTTATGTTATTGTTATCAACTGTACCTATGTAATAATTGTTATTTAGTTACTATGTTAATTATAGGATGTGGTAGGATGTGTACTACATGTATTCTTGTACCAAAGGAATTTAAACCATCAAAAAATAAAAATGTACAATAAATTGCTGTTATAAAATAGTTTAATAAAATAATGTAAATTATTTTATTATACATTATTCATCGAATAATTCTCATACTCTGTACAATGCTAATAATATTTTATAATTATTCATGTATTATGCACTTAAGAAACAGTGGTAGACTCATTTTCAATAATATCTTGTTTCCATATATATTCTATGCTGTATCCATTTTTAGGTGTGCACGATTTTATACAAGTGAATACTCCTAAAATTCCCCAATCGATGCACTTAAATGGATCTTCTAAATCAAGGAAGTTCAATAATTGAGGCATAATCTAAAACAAATAAATTTTATATAGTGTACAAACTTCTTATTAAAAATCAAGTAGCAACTATTTTTATTTTTACTTGAAATTCAAACTGTCTCTCTCCATTGCAGTCAACACATTTTGGTATTTTATTAATTTTAGCTTCTGCTGAGATATATAAAATTTCACCTCCCCTGTTATATCTGTAGATCAAAACATTGTAGACAAAACGTCGAACATAATTTTCTTTAGCGAATGAATAAGAGAAGGAAAATCAGTACCTTATAATTTGATCTGGATATTCATCAATGGCTAACTGGAATTTAGAAAATGTTTCATCTTCCTTTTGATTAGCTATATGTAATAATTCTTCTTGTATATTTTCATTTTGAAGAGTTCCTGCTTCATTATTTTGTATCATTGTTTCATACTTCTTAATTTCTTCTTCCTCTTCGTTCAACTTGTTCACATCATTATCATTTTCTACATCTTCTCTTTCTATCACTATTTCATGTTCAGGAAATAAAAATTTATTGTTTACAATGACTTCTTTGTTAGCGTTACAAGACTCTTTGTGCCCATGCTTCCAATGATAAACTTGATGAGCACGACAACAGTAGTTTACATTTTTACATTTAGAACAATGATTCGGTGCTAATATTCCACAAATGTAACATGTGTTTTTCCACTGATTTATATCTAAAAATTTTGAATAGCATTACATAATAAAATTTGCTTAAATTTTATTTGGTAAAAAATTTTTATAAGTCTTTAAAGAACATACTAATATCAGTCCTCCAGTCATTCTGTTCCACAGGTGGTTCGGGCGGATAAAATTCATTCACTTTTGGTAATTGTGAACGAAATACCTTTAAATTTCCGTTTTCATTTGTTCTACAGCATTCGGATTTCTTGCATATAAAAACAAATATCGTTCGATGAAAAGCATCGTCATTATCTTCGTATGGGGCATAGATTTGACATAAAAAAATACAAGGTTCTTTGCAATATTCGCATTGAAGATCTTTCTCTCCAGGAATATTTTTTAAATTAAGCCATGCCGGCTTACCACCAATTTTGCTTGGAAAAAATCTACTTTCTAGCCGCCAAGATTCACGTTTTTCTGCAAAACCTAAATCTACTGTCATTTTATACAAAATATATATTTTTAAACATTTGTTTACTATAAACTTATACCACGTTCGTAATACTTTTTTGTTAAAGCAAAGTAAATATACGTTGTTTGTTTCTACGGTTCGTCTCACAGGCGAGACAGATTTACTGCGTTGGGTGGAACGTATTCTCTATACTTGTCTATTTTTATTCTTACACAAAAGTCATCTTTTAATCAAATAAAAAATATATTAAAATTTCAACTATAAAGTTTTTTGTTACGATACGATACGATTATATCGAATATGATCGATATAACAGGAAATACACTTAATGTCAAACAAAGTTTACAATCTAGAAATAGGTTTCAGAGTTTTTGTTCTCAGTATTTTTCAATGCTTCTGTGGTAATTGGAATTGATATGTGTTTTTATTTAGGTTAGCTGTCTAATATAACATTCTGAGCTATTTAACTGAGAATTAAAACAAAATGACGTCGTGTTTGGAACATATACAGTCTTCCAATTGCATATGGTTTGAAGCAGGTGAAAAACGAAATGTATTGGCATCTATGTTGGCTGGAACATTGGTAAACATTGATATTTACATTGTCTGAAATGAAATTGACATTACAGTAAAATCTATATTGCATTTAATTATACATGAAAGTATTGTTCAGATTTTGTTATATTATTTTATAAAAATTAATTAAGATACATAACATTTTGGTGTTTACAAAAATAAAACATGCTAATTAGTTTTGTAATTTCAGTTCTTTATAGGATGGTGGTTTATTATCGATGCTCATGCCAAATACCCTAATGAAATGTCAAATGCGTATCATGTGTGTGGAGTATTTGGAACAATATCTCTCTTTATGTAAGTTTGTAATTTACATAGATTTTTTAAATGAATAACGTTGTACATTTCATTTAATTCAGGGTAAATTCTGTAACAAATGCACAAATAAGAGGAGATGCATACAATGGCGGTTATTTAGGAGCTAGGGGTGCAAGAGGTTGGTTGTTTGTTGGGTTTGTAATGGGATTTGCTGCAGTTATCGCAGCTTGTTGGATTTTATTTGCAGATTTTGTAGCTGCAGGTATGTACATGTTTTCTAATCTAATATAGACAACCGAACGATTGAATGTTATTAATTTCATTTTTAGAAGCACAACATCATTGGCCTGGTGTAGGCCTATTTTTACAAAATGTATTTATCTTCTTGGGCTCTCTCACTTATAAATTTGGACGATCAGAAGAGTTATAGGATTATTCAATATTTATGCATATAAGATATTTTTATTATTTGCACAGCATCTTCTAGTTCTAATAAGCTTTAATATGAAACATCTCAAACTAAGGATCAAATAATTACATGTATTGCACTATGAATGGATTGAATTATTCATAACAAAATTAAATAACTTTTCAAATTTATGTTTCATTCATATATAACTTATATTGTTTATCTGCATTACATCTTATTAAATTTAAATAATTAACAAGTATAATAAAATATAAACGTCATACTATTCAAATAGAAATAATTTACTCAACAATTCATAGTTTTCCTCTTTTTATGATTATTTATCATTATACAGTGCAACATTAATAAATTAAAATCTAATTAAATTTTTGTTTTGAATAAACACATAAAAATCGATAGATTATTTTTTACAAATACTAATATAATTTATAATTGTAAGTAAAAACTGATTAATGTATTTCAGTTTCTTAAATAAATTATGATTTTGTTTACCAAAAGAAGTGGTTCCTTAAAAAAAGAATCACAATTTTATATACCTAATTCTTTAAAATATACTTACTTTAGCATAGTGGGGGTGAAATAACGGATTATTGGTTTTGATTTGCCAACGCGGACCAATATGAGCGTTTTCTTCCATCTTCCATTACCAATCCCGTTATGCCACACAAACACATGGTTGTGTTCAGTTTGACGAAACAGGAAAAGAAGTAACGTTTTCTCTTACGTTAAATAAATTAAAACAAACGTTTGTCTGTGCCTATGGCAGTAGCTCTTTTATCGTTAGACTAATAGCCTTAAGATAGAAATAAAAAGTAAGTGAAATTGGTAGTGAATATTCCTTAATTTTCCGGCTATCATAACCATGTTTGACAGCCTTATGAAAACCCTCGTGTCATTAAAAAAACATCTTTTATACGTTTACTAAGATTTTATATAAATGAAAATTATTATTTAGATAAATATTTTGTTTATTGGTTTATAGTTACCTGTTTTTCTTTCTGAAATGTATAGTATAATCTCTTACCCATTAACTGTTTGATTTAACATTTCTGAAGTACTGCATTACCAGACACTATGGTGTTTATGTATTGTTTTTAATTACAGATGAAATCAAGCAAATTAAATATGTCTATTATTTGGTCATTATTGATTGCTATCATGACCCTTATTGATAATAGCAATGGGGTTGCTGTTATGAGTATTGATATTGGTAGTGAATCAATGAAAGTTGCTATTGTTTCGGTATGTATAAAATATAATACTTTATTAATTCTATATAATAAACCTTTTGAAACGTATGATTATTGATAAATTTTAACGATAGTATTTAATGTTAAATATTGTTTTATATAGCCTGGTGTTCCAATGGAAATAGCTCTTAACAAAGAATCAAAGAGGAAAACGCCAGTTACAATAGCATTTCGTAACGGAGAAAGAAGTTTTGGAGAAGATGCTCAAGTAGTAGGAATTAAATCACCTAAAAACAGTTTTTCTTACATATTAGATCTCTTAGGAAAATCAATAGATAATCCTATGGTGCAGCTTTATCAAAAACGGTTTCCATATTATGATATTATTTCTGACGAAGAACGTAAAACAATTGCATTCAGACTTGATCAAAATACTACATTTACTCCTGAGGAACTACTTGCACAAATTTTGTATAAAGGAAAAGAATTTGCAGAAACTTCAGCTGGTCAGACGATTAGTGAAGCAGTAATAACTGTTCCAGGATTTTTCAATCAAATTGAAAGAAGAGCTCTTGCCCAAGCAGCAGATCTTGCGGGAATCAAAGTTTTGCAACTAATTAATGATTATACTGCTGTTGCATTAAATTATGGAATTTTTCGTAGCAAAGAAATAAACGATACTGCACATTATGTGATGTTTTATGATATGGGGGCTAGCAGTACAACTGCAACAGTTGTAAGTTATCAAAACGTGAAAACGAAGGAGAAAGGATTTGTTGAAACTAATCCACATGTTTCTATTCTGGGAGTGGGTTATGATCGTACTTTGGGAGGATTAGAAGTGCAACTTAGACTACAACATCATTTAGCTAAGGAATTTGATGCGTTAAATAAAACATCAAATTCAGTATTTAAAAATCCAAAAGCAATGGCAAAACTTTTTAAAGAAGCTGGTCGTGTCAAGAATGTATTAAGTGCAAATACAGATCATTTTGCTCAAGTTGAAGGGCTGATAGATGAACATGATTTTAGGGTGCAAGTTACCAGAGAAAAACTGGAACAACTTTGCACTGATATATTTGAACGTGTAGAAAATCCTATTAAAATTGCTTTAAAAACATCAGGCACGTAAAGTTAAAATACAAAATATATACATTTCGCATATAATCGTTCTAAATTCATTTGAAATTTTCAGGTTTGACAATGGATGTTATATCTCAAGTTGTAATAGTAGGAGCTGGTACTAGAATGCCAAAGATACAGGAGTATTTAAGACAGTATTTAACAGTTGAACTATCTAAAAATATTAATACAGATGAAGCAGCTACATTAGGAGCAGTATACAAAGCTGCAGATCTTAGTAAAGGATTCAAAGTGAAGAAATTCGTTACCAGAGATGCTGTGCTGTTTCCTATACAAATAATTTTTGACAGAACTGTTGATAACAGAGTAAAACAAGTAAGTCTTTTATTTTCGTATATTTATAAATTATATGCTAAGAGACCATACTTAGGTTCGTTTTCGAATGTGCTACTTTTAGGTCAAAAAGTCATTATTTGGCAGAATGAATCCATACCCACAAAAGAAAATTATAACATTTAATAAATATACAGAAAATTTCCAATTCCATATTAATTATGCTGAATTGGACTACTTGCCTCCTAACGAAACAGCGTAAGTATTTTGTACAACTATTGTTTGCAGTAATATTTTTATATTTATCAATCCCATATTTTTTTATTTTAGTGCTATTGGTAATTTAAATATATCTACTATCACTTTATCTGGTGTAGCTGAAGCTTTAGAAAAGCATACTAAAGAAGGAGCAGAAAGTAAAGGGATTAAAGCACATTTTGCCATGGATGATAGTGGCATACTTAATTTGTTGAATGTAGAATTAGTGTCAGAAAAATCAAGTTCAGCTTCTGACGAAGAAGAGGGTACTTTCTCAATACTTGGCTCAACTATTAGTAAACTTTTTGCAGGTTTGTGCTGAATGCATTGCAAAAAATGTTAATTGTACTTTATTAATTGATTAGTTGATCAATTTGCACTTCTAATCCTCCCAAAGTACGATCATAACCAACTCCCAGAATAGAAACATGTGAATTAGTTGATTAATTGATTAATTAATTATTCCCTTCTTTTCTTTTTTTTAAAATACATTTTTGTAGTGAACTTTAGAAAATGCACTAAAAAGTTTATGGAAACCTTTTTCTTGCAAAACTTTAAACCATTTTTTGCAAGCATTTATAAAACATAATGACATAAAAAGTTATGAGAATACTTAAAATTTTTGTACGAATGTGGAATAAGTATATCATTGAAATTTACAGGATCAGAAGACAAAGAAGGAAAAGCAGAGGAGCCATTAAAAGAAGACATCAAACCAGTTCATGAGGAACCAGAGTATCCTGACTTACAAAAGGAAACGGAAGATAAAACGAAGAAGAAAAATGAAACTACCACCACTGAAGATAAAGCAACAAACAAAACTGAAAAAGTAGAAAAAGAAAAGGAGAAAAAGGCTACGATTGTAACGATTAAAGAGCCTATTAAAGCTGAAGAAATCAAATTAGGATCTCAGATTCTTTCTGGAGATAAACTTGTTGAATCTCGTGATAAGTAAGTAAACGTATAGATAACAATATAAATGCATTACATACATGTTTAATATTAACATTGTGTTATATTTTTAGATTGCATCGTTTAGATGTATATGATTTCGAAAAAACGAGACGCGAAACAGCTTTGAACAATTTAGAAACATTCATAATTGATGCTCAACAAAGATTACAATCTGAGGAATATGCCGTTGCAGCTACACCTCAAGAAATAGAAAGTATATTAAAAGCGTGTTCTGAAATTTCTGAATGGTTGTACGAAGATGGATTCACTGCAACTGCTGAAGTATACGAGGAAAAATTGGCAGAACTTCAAAAATTAACTAACGACGTGTACGAGCGTGTCTACGAACATAGAGAACGTCCAGAAGTGTTAAAGGGCATGACTTCTATGTTAAACGCAAGCACAACGTTTTTAAACAACATGAAAAATTTGAGCTTGTCAAGTGACATTTTTACACAAGTCGAGATAGAAACATTAGAAAAAGTGATTAATGAAACTCAGGTAAGTTATTAATTTAATACGTTTCATTTATTCATGATATTTAAATTGTCTTTGTTTATAGGAATACCATGATACAGTTGTTAAATCCTTTGCTGAGACGAGTTTACATGAACTAGTAAAATATAAAGTTCGCGATATTGCAAATAAAATGGCGGTACTCGATAGGGAAGTAAAATATCTTATAAATAAGGCAAAAATATGGAGACCAAAGCAAGATACTGCGACAAATCATACAGCAAGCACAAATGAAAACGCGACAGATACGAAAGAACAATCTCAATCAGAATCTGTTCCTAAAACAACGGCTGATTCACAAACGGAAAAACAGTCAAAAGAGGATCAATCTGATAATATAGAAGTACAAAATGAAAAATCAGAAGGTTCAGAAGAATCAGAAGAGGCGTTAAAAGACAACAAAGCCCAGGCGAAAACTCAAGAAGAAGAGATACATCAAGAACTTTAAGATACTTAAAATGGGGTGACTTCAATCATTGGCCGGTTGTGTTTCGGTTAATATTTTAGCCAATTTATTATGTTGTAGGACAGGATTGAAAATGCATTTAAAAACCGAAATCGAATGAAAAAAATTATGTGTTAATGTGGTTGCATGAATTATTTCATGGATGTGAATATTGAAGTGTTACTGTATTTAATTACACGTACTCGTATAATAATAGTAAAAAAAAAATCATTTAATTCATTTGATACAGAACAAAGTGACAGAATATCTTACAGCATTTTGCATACAGAAAACAGGAAAACCGACCATCCTGTAAGAAAGTTTATTTTTAAGTGCCAATTAATAACAGTTTGAATATTGTATTTATAGTTATACAATAATTAAAGACTTTAAACAGTCGTATCGCGATTAAACAACAGTGTGTTTAATAGCTGAATAAATTATTTGCATAAAGTTGTTATTTACAAGTGATGTAACGTTCTACTTGGTCGGATTTCATCTACTGTGAATATAATATTTAATTGTGATATTTCTTGATACTATATTCTTAGATATACTCTATACTATAGCTTAAAAATGATTTTTTATATTTACATCAATTATTATAATTACACACGCAAACATACAAGCCAATCCCTTTATTAGGAGAAATTTAATGTTTTATTTATTATTTTGATGTCCTTAATTCATTAATTTTTGTTAAACAACGCCTAATTTCAAAAAATTTTATTCATGCTACATTATATCAACAATATAGGTAATTTTATAACACAATAATTGTCTAATCTTGTTATAGTGAAAAATACATGGTATGTTGCGATTTAACTTAAAACACTAAGTGGAATTTTATATCCGCAAATGTCATTTGTATAAATAGGATTATAACTTGTGTGCAAATAATTTACTTTTATTTAATTTGATACAGTTAATTTAAATCATTCCAATGAATATAATTGTAATTTAAAACTTAAATTATGTTATTTATTATGTTGGATGAATAAAAAGGCGTGTAAAGTATTTACAAAGTAAAGAATGAGAAAAATTAATATTACTTTTAGTCTATGTATCTCACACCAAAGTTCATGATTATAAGAGAATGATACATAGGTATTATACAATCCTCTTGCAAACAAATCAAGTTAATTTATAATTATTTATTAATTATTTCATGTCACATTCAACAATTTGGGAGCAACAATAAATTATTTGTCATGATAGTAATAATAACAACAACAACAACAATATATACCTGTTCATTAAGCTTCTAATATTTATTTTTCTCTTTACTAAGTGAATAAAAAAAAAGTACGGAAATAACAAAATAATTGCACCATTTAAGAGAATGAGAAGTAGTGAAATTTATATAATTAATATAAAAAGTTACAGTTGCTCAAGCATCAAGGTGTATTGTTACAATGTGTCTACCAGGTATCATCACTAAACCAAGAGTTCTTGCTTCTGTGTGATCTTCTGATAAAAATTCTGAACATGATCCTAAAATCACATTAGCATCACGATCCGTACATAAAAATGCACCCATTAAAACTCGACCATCTGTCATTTTTATTCGTAAATTTCGATTCAGCCATCCACGTAATTTCTGTTTTGCAGGAGATTCCTCTGTATTAACAACCTATTATAATTGTATAAATAAATTTATGCTAATTTTGCTTATAACACATATATATATATATATATATATATGTTAAAGGTATAAAAAAGATAATATTCAATAAATTTTTAATAAATCTCTAGGAAAATTTACAAATATTTGAGAAAAACATTAAGGTCAAGTATTTCTGGACACACACGCAACTAACCTCTTAAAGAAAATACATCATCAAGGATCATAACACAGGAATATCATTAATAACAATGATTTCGAATCTTATAAAATACGCGATTAAAAAGTTACCTCTCCATTCCCATGAATATATTCGTCGTTTGTTACGTTCGATACATTGTTCCCTTCTTTCATCTCTATTCTATTGTAAATTTAAATGCTTTGAACGAAAGTATATTAATTTAATCTGATAATATACTTTACAAAGCTTAATATCAAACGAACTGAAATTCTTCTTGATTTAAGCTTTCACAAGTTATAACGATGCATATTGATGCACATTACTAAACAAGTTTTTCAAAATATAAATTTTTTAAATACGTGCTTATAATCGAAACATACGATTGTGGATCAGTGACAACATATGAAAAAAGACTGGACATGTATTTGTTTTCGAGGGGTCATGTATTTGTTTTTGGGGGTCTCAGACACCCCCACATATAGATCTGCATCCAGAGAGCACAATTGGTATAACAATCGTACTTACCTACAGACTGACATCTGAGAAGACCTAATTTTCACTCCCTCTTATTCTATTTTTTTTTTCAGAAATCAGTCAAAAGCAGTACAAGACTGAGCAATTATTATTATAACAAAACCGAAAAATGATTAGAATAATTATGTGACAAACTTATATTTTGAAAAACCCGCCTAGAATTAAGTATTTTTAAAATTCGACCACTGCGCCATCTATACAAAAGTGACGGAAACTACTCAATAAATTATCGACTTATCGACTGAACTTCCGACAGTCGGTAATCGACCCTTCGGTGGTCGGTAAGTTAACGAATAGTTTGCGTCACTTTTACATAGATGGCGCAATGGTCGATGGCTTGGGGTGTTAGGGACCCCGAAGCACCAGTGATACTCTGCACATCGACATTATGGCATCCGGGTTGTCAGGGACCCCTAAGTTAAAATGTGCTACTCATAGACTTTCTATAGAAAAATTGAAACATCTGCAACTTTTGACTCCGACCAGTTAACCGTACAAACGCAACGGTCTTGAGGTAGTCTCATTGTCAGTGAGACCTTTCTAACGACGTATAAAGCGTATCTTTAACCCTAGTAGTTCTCCAGTTTAAAAGTGACACGGATGGACGTCTTTGCGCTTTATATATATAAGATTGTTTGACAAACTTGTATTCACTTCATGCGCCTTAGTAAATAAATCATTTTAAAAAAGCAACTGAGTTATATATTTAATGCCCGTAATTTTTTTTCACAATTAGTTATTTATTTAACTTAAATTCTTCTATCAATTTAGTTATTCAATGTACTTAACTTCTTTTCTCAATTATTTATATAAACCAATAACTGCGGTGCGACCTCCTCAGTGCTATACCGACAGCCGAGCGGTGCGGATCAACTTGTCAAACATATATATACCTCTAATTTCCTTTTGTAGTTTATATAGTTTACTTTATTTATTTTCATTGCTTATTAAATAAGCTCATCAAAAGTTATGATTTTATCCCTCTTTTGGGTCTCGGCCGACCATCCCTTTGATTTCACTTTTTCCAGTTATTAATTATTTTATCCTTTTTTATGGGCGAAGACCCACGCTTCCTAATTATTTATTATCCTACTCCTGTTTATGGACCAAGGCTTCTCTTCCCAGATATTTATTTTTTCATTCTTTTTATGAGCCTCGCGGGAACTACCACTAAATCACGGTATCTCTGTCTCCCTTGTATTCTTGTAACCTTATAGCACTGAATCCTTCACATCAGTGCCTTCCTTACATCTCCGTATCCTTTACACCCCTGAATTCTTTATATTTCTGCATCCTTTCCATCTTTGCATCCCTTACATCCCTGCATTCTTTACATCTCTACATCTCTTACATCCCTGCATCCCCTACATCCTAGTATCACTGTACCTCACCAAAGATCGAAAAATCGTGACGAATTTAGTTTCAATTTTTACCGCATGTGGGCGCTGTTTCAACGTGCGAATTTTAGTTTACATTTTTGCCGCTAGAGGGCCAAATTTTTTGCAACATTTAGTTCCTTTTTTTACCACCAGAGGGCGCTGATTCGACGTCGAAAATTTAGTTTGAATTTTTCCCGCCAGAGGGCCAAAAAAGGTTGCAGCATTTAGTTCCTTTTTTCGCCGCCAGAGGGCGCTGATTCGACGTGCGAAATTTAGTTGAAATTATTGCCGTTAGAGGTAGCAATGCAAGGATACAAGGGTTGCTGTGATGTAAGGAATGCATGGATGTAAGGGATGCAGAGATGTTAGGAATGCAGAGATATATGGGATGCTGGCATGTAAAGGGTGCAGGGATAATATAATGAAAACACGGTTGCGAGGGATGCAGAGATGGAAGGGATATAGTATCGGTAAAACAATAAATAAAAGGATAAAATAATGGGCAAGGCACACAGGAGTAATAAAATCAAAGGCCTTTATCCTTCTAATGAGTTTATTCAATAAGCCAAGAAGGTAAGTACAGCACGTTAAATAAACGCAAAAAATAAAATAAGAGTGTATGTATGTATGTTTAGTAGGTAGGTTCTTACCCCTCGGCGATCGCTATAAGACTGAGGGGGGTTTCACTTCGTTTCAGGTCGAACGGTTAAGGATGATGTCGCAGTCAGCTACCTTTATTCGAATCAGTGCCTGCAGATATTTTTTTTTTTTATTAACATGGGGAAATCTAGCATAAGACCTTCCACCGTCCCCTTGGAGAAGGCGGCGGGGGAGTGTCAGATTCCTATTGACTAAAACCCCACGGCGACCGACACCACTGCTAAAGGATGGTTCCGGGACCTTGTGTATAGGTATTACTCCAGAGTCCTCCACGGCTGGCACACAGGTGTCCATCTCGGGAGAGGTCCAAACTGAGATCTCCCTCTGTTGCCTACTCTGTGGTCGACATCGGGGGTTACATCCGGTACCGGCAACTCACTCAGTTCACTAATTTCGCCCCTAAGGGCCGGCGCTTTTGGGGACTTATCTGTCCCCATATTGCCCAATGAACCCTATCGGCCACGCGCCTTCGGGGATGTGCTGGCAGCCCCGCCAACACCAAACCCCGCGCATTTTTAAATTTCGTCACTCATACTTGTCCATACTTTTAGGGTCTGCTCATCTTTTGTCCCAATCGGTGTGTATGTGTGTGTACGTGTGTACGTGCGTGCATGTGTACGTCGTGTGTGTATGTGTATGTGTCTGTGTGACCCCTTTTAGTCGCCTCTTACGACAGGCAGGGGATACCGTGGCCGTATTCTAAGCCCCCTGAGCCACAGGGGGATGGTACCGGCATCTTCTCGGGCCGCTTGCAAAGGTGCCTGGAGCCCCCACTCCCGTCGCCAGGGGCCCTGACGGCCCCATCGGTTTTGGTAGCGAAGTCGTCATATGTAGTTTTGAGATAAGGGTTGGATCAACCTCCCCTTGCTGCTCCTTTTGTTGGGTAAATTAAATAATTAGGTAAATTAAACAATAACTTAGTTGCTCTTTTAAAATGATTTATTTAGCAAGGCGCATGAAGTGAATACAAGTTTGTCTTACAATTATTTTAATAATTTTTCGGTCTTGTACTGGTTTTGATTAATTTATAAAAAAATAGAGTCAGAGGGGGTCGAAATTGTGTCTTTTCAATTGCCAGCGCGGGGTGTGGTAAAAGACGGACTAGTAAAACAATCTCGAGAACAAAGGCATGTCTAAAGATCACAATGTTTGAAAAGAAAAAAGCATGAAGTGATTATATATACGTATCATTTTATTTTAAATTGTGTCTGTTTTATGTATAACTAAGATACATGGGCGTAAATCACAGCACAACGCATTGTTGTATAAATATTTATGCATTCATCGAGTATCGTGTATGTACATTAAAGATTTTTAAACGAAACATATTACGAGACTCGAACTTACAATTAGATAATCGTCAAACGAAAAAGCTATCAATGGTGTGCATATAGTTATATTGCAAAATGCGTCAGTTTTAATGCACAACATTTAATCGGCGATTATTACATTTAATTAGGAAGAAGTTAGGTATTAGTCTCGAGTCTCATTCGCTCAAACAATTTTATTCGGTATAACGAAATAAATCGTAAGTAAATATTTATATATACATAGATTATTAAAAAACATGAACAAGTTTGACAAATAACCGTTTATCATCGATCGACGAGGTAGGCGTTTCATGATAAAGCTTCGAGGAAACGACTCAACAAGAACATTCACAAAATAATCATACACGTATTATTCATATGTATACGATATATATCTTTTTTGTATATGTACAAAAAACTTGTATACGAAATCTTTTTTAAAGATCGTAAAAAATATTTCAGAAGAAACAGCATTTTGCGAGGACAAGAAATTCGTATCTGGGAAGCAGACATTATAATTACAATTATATCACCCACATCGTGTTCCATTTTCTTTTCATATACATAGGACGCACGCTATAACATGTCATGTATTCATCGTTTTCGTTTTCGTTTTCGTCTTCGATTTTCGATTTACAAAGAACGTTGAAATCACTTTAGCGAATCGGTAGAAAGAACGTTTTTAAAATATTGGCACTAGATTTACACTTTAATCAAGCGATTGTCGAAAGAGGAAATATATAATGCAACGAAGCGACACGACGTTCTTCATTTCTGTGCCCTGAAATCGTGCTTTAATTTCGTGTACAACGAATTGTATTTGATTCGATGTTTGCCTATTAAACTATCGGTATAATTATTTTAAACGCGCTTTCTCTACTTTACCATCGACTAGCAAAACTTGCCGTGATATATTTTAAAAAGTAGAACGATACGTTAGATACGTTATCTTATAATAAACATAATTAAAATATATATAATTTTTTGAAGTCATAATTTACACAGTTGTTGCGAGTACAAAAAGTATTTCGTCACAGCTATAAGAAGAAATAATAAAGACTTAAAATTACAATACAATAAAAAACGCACAGTATTTTGTCGAACGGACGGATAAGGGATTTTTTTTTTATGCAAGCGAGAGAAAAATTTCTTAGAGAGTCTAGAAATCTATTTTATTACCCTATGTAAGATACTTTCGTGTATGATACTCTATAGTGTAACAGTAGTAATATAGTTTGATTTGAAAGTGCTAAAGTTCTATTTGTACCGGTGCACAAACTTTTAATTATATTCTCACTAGTTAACGGGAGTAAGAGATTTAATGGAGTAATTCTTGTTATAAATATCGAGTGCTAAAATCTTATCATGAACAGCGATGAAGCAAGTTTTTCGAACGTACAATTTTACAAGCAATTCATCTATCGCAACATTGTTTTATTCTTTTATAGAAAATTCCTAACGAAACAATCAAATATACACATAAGTCATTTACCGATAAAAAGAAATTGTTGGTACATCGTTTCTTCCTCGAAACAATGAATATAACACAGTAAAAATTACTTGAAATGAAAGTTAAGTACATTGTACCACGTCTATTACATTCGTTGATCTCTCAGGAAAAAAGAAAATGTGTATTTACATTAACAACGTCATTGATTCTCTCTCGTAGAAAAAATAATACATATCGCGATATACACAGAACGAGCGACGAAATTATTTCTAAAATAAAAACCTTTGAGCTTTGACCGTCGATTTACCTTAAAATACATTTGTCTTTAAAGTAGTTGTGCGAGAATTGCGAGGGTAGTACATTTAAAACTAACAAATATTAAATTATCACAAAAATATTTCAAGATCTACAAACACAAGTATGTACAGGACTTTTCACCAGATATGAAACACATTTAATTCTCTGTTTCGTGGATCAATTTTTTCTAGAAGATATATCTTTCTTTGAAACAATCAATTTAAAAACTTAAAATTATGCTTAAATGAAGAAAAATCTTACATATGAGTTTTTAAGTGAATACAAATCATGTGGGTTTTAGTGAATTATCCATTATGTACCAAGATCGTTCAAAGAAACATGATCCGACAACGTCTCCCTAGTTTTTTTAAATTCGTCAATTCCCTAGCACATTAGTGAAAAGATAGTGTGTAGAAAATTACGGTATGTACACTTCTCTTTCATCGAGGTCTTCCAAATGCACAGCAGTCAACAACATTGAGCATCAGGCAAATTATACTATACGCATAGTCGTTGATTAGAAGTATCGTCGTACTACTTGGAAGACTCCGTCGAGGATTCGAGCATCTGCATTCCTTTTTTTTTTTTTTATCACCCGAACGGAAATTAGGTAATCCTTCCTCGTAACCATACATAACTTTCTTACATACAAATGTCATTCGATAAACGCCCTGAGTCTTGACGAAGAAAAGAAAGATACACAATCGAATCTTTCAGATCTTCGGCAACAAGATATCTCTTTCGAAGCTCTCGTTTACAATAATCTCGTTAATCCCTCGTTTCTTTGTGCGTCCAAGTTGGGTTAAATCGCGTTTCCTCGTTAACTGGTTTCTTGGACGCGTCTTTCTCTGGAAAGATTCCCTTTTTAGGAAGACTTCTTTCCGGACTAGGACTAGGCGAGGAACTCGGTGATCTTGAACTGCTCGAACTCGACCTTGACCTTTCCCTCTTCTTTTGTTCCAACTTATTTCGATAATCGTATAGAGGTCCACGGATTATCTTCAAGGTAGTCTCTAATTCGTAGGCTCGGTCTTTTAAAATATTGTACTGATTTATGTCGAGTCCCATCTTCTTTGCTCTCCTGTGAAGGGCGATTAGCTGTCGTCTATTTAATACGTCAGGCAGCATGTATTCCTATTAAAATTCATAGTAATTAGAGCCATATTAAATCTGTAAGTTTCAGTGGCGACTCGTAGGTAAAATTAGTGGGGATGCTGGTCCAGAAAATTTTTAGCCTTTGTTTTAAAAAACCGGCACTGCGGGAGTGACAGTGCTCTCTCTCCCGCGCAGCCTCGCGCGCAGCTTTCTATGTGCGCATGCGCAAATAGTCACACGCTGCTGGAACTGTGAAGCGCACAGATCCATACAAAGATTTTTGTATCTTTTTCATAAAGTGAGGGATGGCTACTGACATTAAGCTTAAGGATTATATATTGTACAAGTATAAAGAACGAATTAAAGAAAAAGGACCAATTATATTAAATGTTATCGATAATATCAATTGGAAATACGGGGTGCTGCAGTTCCACAGTGCCTATACGCGAGTCGCCACTGGTAAGTTTGAAATGTGGTCTTCTTTTAGAACACATACATTGTTTGTTTCAAGGAAGAATTAGTCAATTTGTATTGAGAATATCAATGAAACGTTTGTACAGTCATTATTATGAAACTTTAAGCTGTAAATTGATATACCGTAAATTGTATTTTATGATACTTTCATGAGTTCAACCGAATAGTTTCAAAAGTATTAATTATTACAGACATGTAACCATTTACTAGACTTCTTCATCACATTGACTAATGCATTTTCCTTGCTGATCAAGCAATTGAAACTTGAAAATATATAAAGCAAATACCAACTTGTTTCGTTAAGACGAAGTAAACGAACCAGGCCATCGTTGTACCATATGTAACAAAGTATGTGACCGGTTCCATTATGTCCCATGAGTATTCCCACCAGGTTAGTCTCGCTAGGCCGCTGAACTGAACAGACATCATGATCAGACAGAAGTAGATGAACAAGTTTGCATTTCTTGCAGCCTTGGTTTCTAATTCTTGTAATTTCTGCGACAACAAATAAAACAGTTCATTATTTAATCCAACCCGCCGATGGTATCTAAAATAAAAGGAAATTTAAGAAGCTGAATATATTATTAGCATTCCAGCCGGTAATCGCGCATGATTATTCAATTAAATGCAAGACCTCTTATTTTACCGCTCGTTTTCTTCTAACCGCGTTGAATTAATTAATGCCTGGCAAGTTCGGTTTTAATTATCGCGCATTCCCGCTTTTACGATGGCGTAATTAATACTCCCTCAAACTGAGGGTTGTTAAACGCATTATCTGAGAGGAGAGTTTGAAAATATTCCAAAATCGAGGTGACAATTATAAAATATGAAACGAGTGATATTTTCTTTATTAATCTTCGTACGACAGAAACGGACCAATCGTGACCCAGACGTTTAATGCTTCCATTAAAATTAACCATTTAAATAGCCTAAAATTAGGGAAATGAAAATGAGGTCGAGTCTAGAATTAAAGATCGAGCGTCACCTGTTCGAAAGGTTGCAGTTCCAATCTCACTGCCTCTAATTCGGCTAATACTTGCTTCTCCATGTCGGCATGGTATTCTCTTACATGAAACGCCTCGTACAATTGGCAGACTAACGTTTGGACGTCCGACAGCTTCTCCATAGTTTCCTAAAGAGACAAATTTCATCAGTCTCTGAGATCAACGATTTAATATAAATATTAAAGTAAGAAATTTCACCGCATTCTTAATTTGAAAACAAGAATGTATCATGCCAGTGAACAAATTACCATAGTGAGTTTATGGTGCAAAGGCGGTGAGACAAGGTATTCATTGTTGTTCAGGATCAACCGGAAGTCGTCTTCCAGTAGGGATTCGACTGTGTTGTTGGAACCTATCCTGACACCGTCTGAAATCATTATGATAAGGGATCAATGATTATTCTATAAGAAAAATGATCGTTAAACTCACCGATCGTCATGACGACAGCTCGATCTATACCACGATCTTCCTTTTTCAATAGCCGAAGGAAATCGCCGACTGTATGGGTTATCGGTTTCAGTGTGAACACGCAATGTTCTTGTCTGGATGGCAAAGGTACCGTGATCTTTGGTAATCCTCGATGGTAGGTCACCGTTACACCCGCAGCTGAAGTAGCGTTCAAGTTTAATACATTGGATGGCCCTTGGGTCGCAGGTGATCCTGTGAGAATACGGCAGAGATAATTGCAGTAGAACGAGAGGAAAATTAATCTATCAGGGTTTAAATTAGATAGGGGAGAGTGATTATTCTACGGTTTCAATTAGAGAACAGATGGTAGTACACCGGTGACCCTACCACTGAATTACAATTTCTTCAATTAAAATTTCTATGTTAAATTTCTTAAACTTGAAGATTGGGTTCAAGGGATTAGGCCACTCTAGAATTTTGGAAAAATCGAAAATTTTTGTTTGTGCTTGAAAGGTGCCTTAATGTCTTAAAAATAATATGGCAAAGCAAAAATTTCGAATTCTGGCGCAGTCCCTCCCGGTCTGCTGCGCTTATTACTGAAAACTTTAAACGCATTTTTCACACTGGCCGGACTCATAAATCAAACAGATCATCACCAATCGATTTGAAAATTTAACAGTATATTCAAAACTAAATTCTCTACCGAACTACGTAGAATTCTTTCATTATATTGCACAGTTTTTTTGTTATAAATAATTTTCTGGCAATTTTTTCTTGAAATTTTACATTCTCTCTTAAAAAATACTCTATTTTTGCAAAAATCCATATATAAAAAAAATCCTAAGTTAAAAATTGCAAAAGTTGTTGATCCGGCCGTTTAGCCCTATAAAAAAAGGCATCATCGAAGAAATGCTGCAAAGCCCATATTTTTACTTCAATCACTATACAAAAATGAATTTTTAAAGTTTATTAGTTGTAAAATAAAGGCATGCTTACAGAATTTGGATTTATTCCATCACTTTTTTTTTAAATTCCCAAAATATGCTTATTTTTTCTTACTCTAGAGTGGCCTAACCCTTTAAGAAGAAACAGTGGAGTGTATGCATACGCTTTTAACCCTTTCAATGCTAGGAAATTAAATCGTTACATTTAGAATACCTGATTCACCTATTTCTAACGTATCTAATTTTGGTGGTATTGAAAAAATGTCGACTTGGACATTCGTTGCTTCGGCTTGCAAAATATGCATTCAAACAAGTGGCACACGTAGTACTACGTTATGCGCCGTTAACGCGCGAAAACCACTTTATGGGTGCTCGTTACGAGTTCCACTTCTGATCCATGATCGAACGTCTGTCAATGAGGAAGAATATCGCTAGTCTGCTCGTTCAGGAGAGTGACGAGCTAGTTTTTTCGTTATCGAAACGACCGGGTCGAATTAATTGAATGGAGTTTCTCTTCTTTTACCTCCATTTACCATGCATTCCTTGCAACATCCTCATAGTTCGACACGCACGCTTCTTCCTCTGAAAATGCAACGAGTATTCCTCTCTTTTCTTTCCTTTTTACATCACTTAAACCATCGAGCAGATCCAACTTTATTCTCTGAAAGTCTATCAGATACCTTGGTTTCTCGTAACGTTTAGGTTTTAGCGTTCCTTCAAGCGGATTTCGTTGGACTTATCGAGTGCTTTAAGTTTTCTTGTAGAAGAAACGGAGGAAAAGAGAAGATGATCAACTCCTTGAACTTGGGAGAATTATTCGATACCTCCGATACGAATATTTCTATCAGAAAATGTACGGCACGCCATAATTACAATTTTCCGTATTCCATTTTTTCAAATTTTCTATTCGCTATTTTATTAAATTGATTACTTCGAATTTTCCGTATCGAGAACCGATATTCTCCAGGGCGTTGCTTTGACAAAATTTCATTTCGAAATATGAAAATATGATACGGGAAGAATCGTAGGATCCCATCGTTCTATAAATATCGCCTTTGGTCAAATATCGGGTACGTCGTTTTCAGTGAAGGAGAGCAGGGTGAGTGCTGGTCGTTTCCGTGAATTCGTTTGCGTGATGGTCGCACGATCGAGCGCTGGATCGAGTTAACCTGGTTAGCAGCCGTTGATATGAGGAAGGTATTAGAGTGTGGAGACCGGAATGGGACGGCTATATACGTGGATCTTTCTGTTGTAAGCAGAACGGAACCGAGCGCCGTGATCCGGCTGCACGATCTTTGGAAATGCATCTGTATAGATCAGGCTAGAACACACGGCGCATCCGACAAGGAATCATCGCGTATATGAAAAAGTAATTGAATATTTCAATATTCGAACGAAATTCTATTTATTACCCAAGGTATTATAAGTAAATAATTATTTATACGAAGCGTTGACGATGGAACGCGATACCGCGTGATGAATTTTATATTTTCTCCAGACCGATGCAAGAATGCAATAACGGATTTTCATTCGACGAGCGTCCAAGGAATGTCGGACTTGTGCAAACGGTAGCTTTTGAAAAGCGTTATGATAGCGTGAAACGAACACCGGAAGGAATTATGCTCGCTGGAATCGAGCAACAACCGGCCTATCGATCGACGCTTTGTGTCACGCGAGTTTCGCGCGATTTCAACGAATTCAAGCGGAGTATTTGATTTTAATTACCTCGAACAGTTGTATCGGAACATTGATATACGATAAATTGAAGAGATACCGGGTGTCGACACGTTTAAGTATCATTTGCAAGATACCGAAAGAATATTTCATCCTTAAAGGGAAACTAAGCTCAGTCTGAAATGAAAGTCGTCCTCTTTATTGGTCATTTATTTAACTGTTTTCATTAAGTTGTTAGGAAGATTATCGTCGTTCAGATACGCCAGATAAAAGTATATAAAGAGCACCTTTTGTATAAACCTTAATCTTTAAAGATAATTTTTAAATTAAAAAACCTTCTTCAGATTGAATTTTATCATTCGATTTTGAAATTCAATTCCTTGGAACATAACGAGTCATTTAACTTGAAGAATAACTTTGGAACTATAATTTTGATCTATAATTACAATAATAAAAATAAAAATACGTGGACCATATTTTGCATAGTTACTTTCGAAACTGGTATCATATTTGTGAAAAACACTGATTTCTATTATATCTCACAGCCAGTTCCGAAAGCGAACTTAATCAGAAGCAAAAGACTTCAGTGATTCAATGACGTCAAAATATTTAATTATGATGATTTCTCGAATTTTATAAATAATAATACAGAATCAGTATTAAATCAAAGTTATTTCAAATATCACTCGATACTGTTGTACATATTTATACCTCCCTATTAAAAAAGAATAATTATCTAAATTATTCTCAAAATAATTCACTAATGACTTTTTCTTAATAACGAGCAGATGCAACGTTCGACAATTAATGCGGCCCCCACGAGCTCGATGCTCGTTTCTTCGGCAATGTAGAAACATTGGAAGTGGCAGGAGATGGTACCACCACCTTTCCGGTGTCGTCCTCCCTTCTTCTCATCGCCGTGAAAACTTCGCGGTGGTGAAGTTTTCTCCGTTGCCAGTCTACCTCTGGATTCTATTCAACTAATAAGCAGTGACGTGTGCGTGAACAATTCACCGGGTTCCTTCGTGCAAAAAAATAAAAAAAAAAAAAAAAAAAATAAATGCGAACCCATCGATTTTTCGTTTCCTAATAGGGTGCTTTTAAACCGTGTTCAATATATCGTAAACGTTTAAGTGACGTGGCCTCTTCAAGGATGCACAACGACTGATCGTTGGGGATCACCCCAAGGGTAGGTGAATAATACATATATTCTCCTCGTACACCACTTTGATGATAGGGAAAGTGTATTTAGGGGTAGGTCCTTCCGTTCAAATTTACACCCTTAACACGTTCTCGGGATCGAAGGTCGTGGGATCTACCCAGTTCCTTTCAATAATTAAGTTTTCGATTTGTTAGCTTGGGCCAGAACCTTAGGCTCAGACCCTTTCTGGAGAAAATTAACGTAGAAACAACTCTCGGTTCATCTTAACATGAAACGATATTCCCTGCCTTCTTTATAACGCTTGCTCGACCTATATCACCAGCAGGAAAGCGTTCTCCCTCGACGCCATCTGTGTACGAACTCGGGCACTAAATATTCCGGCAAATATATACGTGTGCATAAAACTGTATGCGAGAGAATTAATTACTTGCTGTTTTTTTTTTTTTGATTTTCCACTCGTTGCACATTTTTCTTTCAATTGTACTATACACTTTGTCTCGCTTTTAAATAAATTTTTATACATCTGAGGAAAATATTGTTTTACGCTAATATAATTCGTTATAACTGTTTGCTATTGAAATTAAAAATGAAATCAAATTCAACCGCGATAAAGACTGAACTGTATTATTTTAACCCATAAACAGTTATTTAATAAATAAGCATTGGGTTACTATTAAATTATTAATTATGTACATAAATGTATTGCAATTAGGTTAGTTGATGCGAAGAATATTAGCAATTATATATGCATAATCGACATCGTACAAATTGGATATTCGTAATTGATATCGTATAATAATTGCGTATTCATAAATTTGCATCAGGCCTCGTCGTTCAGGGGTCAACCATGGGTGGAGTACAAAGTGGATCCCATACCCTTGGAGAGACATTATGGGTGCACGAGAGGCAACGACAAAAATGCCATCGGTGAGTAATTTTCATAAAACAATAGTATATTTTTAAATTAACACCTGGCTACCATAGGAATCGCCAATAACTCAAATATTAAGAAATATTAAAAATTAAACGATTGAATGGTGAATAATAATTATTGTAACTATCTCTGTTTTTACTGTGCTAGTAGACGTATTAAATTACTTCTAATAATATGATTGTAAAAAAGCGAAAAGGGGAGGGATTAGGACAAAAAACAGAAGAGGGAAAAAAGAAATTAACTGTGCCGTAAGTTAATTACGTTGCAGGATAATAGAGAGGAGGTACAGCGTCGTGGCCCAGATTTTAAATGAACTCGAAAAATCATCTAGAACTTCTCTACGGTGCATAAATATCAGAGCAGAAAGGATACTATAGCGATTCCCGTAAGATGATATTATTTTAATCTATTCCTGGCTATCTTTCATTATTCAGAACGATGTATAGCGCGATACTTAATCACGGGGAATGTTATAGGGAATTATAGGAGAGCTTGATGGTATAGGTACTGTAGTTTCTGATCTAAATTGGGCTTTCGG